CAGACAATAGCAATTATGTTTAGCCAAAATGATTTAATGTTAAATCTGCCGGTCCACAATATAATAATAATAATAACAATACTACATCATCAGCGGGTTTTTTTCTCAAATAGAATAAGACTGAATTCCATTGTTGCCCCGAAACTTCCCCACGGCAAAAAAAAGGACTCACCCCTGAAGCAGACAATTTTTCAGCACAGACAAGATGTTTTGGAACAACATTGTTTAAAAACTATACATTATTTGTTTATTATGATCTGTAATCTACATATTGTATGTTTGACAAAAATAGGTTTCCTTCATTATGAGATTCTGAAAGTTGATACATCCCCTTCTGGCCATATTTGCATGAGGCATTCATGCAGGATAGGACCTGGTTACGATTGGTGTTATTCGCAGGGGTGGGTGGTACATACAAGTTGCCTCGCATCAGTCAGTGTGCCTCACGGCAGCTGTGGCTACAGTAGTAGTTTATCACCACCGTGTATGGAGTGAAAGAATAATGACATGTTTTAAAGCGCTGTGTAAAACTGATACATTATTATCATTAGTAATTATTTTGGATGCATTATTTATTTAAAGTCACTACTGCCCGACATACATGCCATTGCTCTGACTATGCCCTTTCCTCATCTGTACATCTGTTACTGAAACTTGGAAGCGCAACATATTACAGGTAAATTAACTTTAGTTTTTCTAATTTTCCAAGTTTCAACTGCATTTGAAACTATATTCTTTCTTCTGTACTGTGAAGGGCATTTTAGCACTAATTGATTAAAACCCACGACTTGCTACAGTGACCCTTTGTCGTGATGACATTCACCGTAAAGAAGCAGTCAGAAAAGCACCTACATTTTCAGGGCAGAATAAGAATATTTGTTTAGTTCCCTGATGTTCTGCTTTTGATGACACCCCAGTCTGCTTGACTGTCCCAAAACAAATTTGTGTTTCCAATTATGTTAAATTAAAGGTTATCTAGTGTACGTCCAACTTAATAAAGGTGGTTTTGGACACAATATATTTGAAACGACAAAATTGTCCCCATTTTTTTGGGCGGTAGAGGCACTGAGGGAGTTCTATAGTTTAGTAGTTTACTAAAATTGCCAAATAAATATATAGTCCATGTTTTTTGTCCAAACTGAAAGATGGTTTGAGATCTCATTTCATTTTTCATTTGATGAAAAAAATGGTTTGAGATCAATTCTGTGATTTATAATCTGTATCTAACTATAGAAGACAAGTCAAAATATGTTTTTTCTCAGCATTCAACCCCCTCAATAATTGACCTTGTGTCAGAAAAAAGACAAACTGATAACGAGTGACTTGACCTGTTTTTGACAAACTTCAGGTTGTGCGACGGTCTGCTGCAGGACAAGGGCGCCAGTCACGGGGAGGGTCCTGAGAGTGCCCCCTCCCAGTGCTTCTGTTGTTCCTGTGTCTTTCCTGTACAGAAGGAGCACTTGTTCCCAGACCGAAGGGGCGCGCCAGACACACAAAACTGCTTTATGAGGGACGAGGAAAGAGTTTTGCTATTTCTATCCTTGAACTAGTTTTTTTTTTTTTTCATTTTATAAAATAAAAAAAAAAAATGTGCAATTTAACACAAGGTTACAGTCTACATTTTTCAGTTCATTTAAGTTCCTTTTCAAAAAGACTAATTGGATTTGGATATTGTATAAAGTAAAACCTTGTACTTTTGTTATGTTGTACAGGACAGTATCCAGTATTTTGTTTTATTTTGTTATTGTGGGGGGAGTAAATAAGTATTTCACTGCCTCTCACTCCCTTTCAAGCAAAGAGCATTACTTCATTGTAAGAAAATTAATATACTGTATATTGTTTACTATAATGTTTAGGACACCACAAGTTTGGGATGAATTTAATGTTTGTTATTGTTTTATGGTCATGCTTGAAATAAATTATTCATTCATTCATTCATTTTTATGTTATTTCTTTCTTCCCATAAACATGTGACATACTATACAAGGCCAACTAACATATAGCCTACTAAACCAGATAATGTTGTACACTATAAAATATCCAAACGCTTGCACAATAATGAATCCAACACAAACACTCTCCTACACTTGTTATTAGAGTATGTTCCACTCTTACACATGGAAAATACTGATCAAACCCATCTGGAGCTGATGTGTTTATGAAGAGCTGCCAGCGGACATATCCATCTACACAGATGAGGATCAGGGCGACATGCTCACAGTGGCCAGGATTGTCCCATATTTCCCAAACAACCAAATGTGAATGTTTAGATTCCAAAGCCATTGTCTGAAGCGGAGGCAATCAGCCCAGAGCTCCATTATTTTCAAATGTGAAATTTATAGCCACATAAAAGTAGAGATTTGATCAATGGTGGTCTGAGAGTTTGTAAACCAATATGTTTCAGTGTTTCACCCTTTCCTCTTATGCAAGATCCTGGCTAAGAGCCGCTGGGTTAGATAAGCCCCCAGACTTGACCGAGGACACGTTTGGACCAGTTTGATGTGTGGCATGGATCAGGACACAGTGCTTGTTTCCTGTTTGTGTCACAAATGACCCCTCCCCTCACTTCCTTCCCTGGCCAGTGCACCTGCAGCTACGGCCCTCGTCGTCAGCTGCCTCCGCCTCTGGACCAGGCCTGCAGAAAACAACATATTTGCAGGAACAATGCAGCTCCTGGAAAACAAGATTGTTTTTGAACTGATGCAGATTATGAATAGAGAGTGACTTCAGACGCTCAGTGTGGGGGACTGTTTACGCACGGCCAACGATCTCATCGTATTGAGTCCAAAAATGTCTGGAATGCAGGACACAATGACCAGCTGCTTCAAAACATAATGCTGCAAGTCATTAAGATGGATATCATTCCACAAGTCCCAACTTAGGGAGCTCTCTGGACCAAAGATGGTTTTATTGTGCAAACAGATAAGAAGTTGTTTGTTTGTTTTTATTGTTTTTTTAAATGTTGGGAAGACCAGACTCTTATAACTTCTTAAAGGGATATGTATTTAAAATATTTACCAACCAAATCATCATAGTTTTGTTTCTTGAAATATTCTAACTGTATTTTACAATTCTTTGATCTAAAATTCTAAATAATCTAAAATCTAAAATAGTTTAGATTGTCTCATCTATTTAAATGAGTCTTATGTTTAGGTGCCTGATTTTGGCTTGTATCTTTATACGTGTGTTAATGGTGTCTTATAAACCCATGGGTAGGTCATCTATCTATCTATCTATCTATCTATCTTAGCGCAAGTATAGGATAAGATTAGATTCAACTTTATTGTCATTAAACAATGACAATAAAGTCATAATGGCAAATAAATGAATCTGAATCTGAATCTGAATTACAAAGTCAGAACAATGCAACGGAATGCAGTTTAGCGTCTAACCAGTAGTATAGGATAATATTTACAACACAATACAATTTATTCTTGTATAGCCCTAAATCACAACAGAAGTCATCTCAGAGACTTAACAAAACCATTGAAATCACCAACACAGATCAGAGAATCAACAGTTTAAACACATAAAGAATATAGAACACATGTTTAAAAAAAAAAATGTCCATACATGTTGTAGAATGTTAAAGTGTCCTGATCATCACCACAGTACTTTTTGTTGGACACTAACTGTCCAACAAGACCCTCCTGCAACACAGATAAATATATTTGCATAAATGAGAGACTGTACAAGCTGCTATTGCTAGTATATACATTAGTTATTTTACTTTACATTAAAGTGCATTTAATGGGCTTTAATTGGTTAAGAGTTCAGGAGTGTGACTGCTCTGTGATAAAAAATGTCTTAAAATCTATCTTTCTATCCAAGTAGAAATGTATGTAAAATTCTCCCAACAGCATATCTGACCTGGAGTATAATTTGATCCAATGAGAACGGGTTTTCCACATCCACAACTGAGCATCTCAAGACAAGCCGAACCATTGATCACTTCTGATAAATCCACTTTATCATTGTCAGCGCAGTGACCATTACGTGTATAACGTGGTCTCTCTATAATTATATTTATATAATTCAATTAATCTTGGTGTACCTAACTTGTTTGTCCCATAGTTGTCCCAATAGAAACAACCAACTCTTGTGAGCTAATCAAACCACAAAATGTAGTCTTGATCATATTAGAATACACACGAGTCACTATATTTGACTATTGGGGCTGAGTGAGGGTGGTCCTCTCTTTTGCACTTTTCTGCCTGAATAAGCTGAAGATGTGACCGAGGCCAAAAATACATGCATCTGGAAACAAGTAAGAGTTTACTTAAAGTTTAGTTTGAAAGTTAGAAACCCAGCTTTAATAATACCTATAGCTAAATGTGATAAATTCTCAAGATAAGCAGTAGTTTCTGAAAACCCTTTTGATGAGGTAATCTATTTTGGCTGATTCCTATGGCTCTCTCATACAAAACACTGCATATTCCAAAACACTAAATAACAGGGCTTCTCTTTTCCACAACATATTTCAAAACGTATTTCCTGCTCTTAATGTTCAGAGTCCAGACCTCAAAAATGTCACACACAAAAATTCCCCCGTTTTCCACGCCAAGAACCAGAGGCATGTGGGTTCCTACATATTTTTCCTCCCATATGAGATATGAGAGACATTTTGCACCTAGAATGCCCCCGTACTTTCCCAATAAGCAGTTGTTGACCACCCCTTTGTCCACTGCAATGTTGCCAGAGAAAACAAGTGCAAGGCTCAATTGTGAAGATGTGAATGAGGAGACCACTTTGTATTGTCCCAAAAGTGATTCATCAGCTTTAGGAAAGTCAGCTCACTTGGAGACTAAACATTCTCATGGTTTGGTCAACACGCAATACGAACATGAAGCCACATCTGCAGACGCTGGAGGAAAAGGCTTACAGTAAAACCGCTGAAGTGAAATTACAGAAGTGAAGCAAAACATCAATTCTCAACAACAACTCACTCCCAGATGTGCAGTTGTTTTTATTACGTGCTACTGTCCCACCTTGGGTTTATACGGAGGTTTGATGGAGCAGCTGAGAGGGTATATCAAGAGAGAAAACCACAAATGCCATTAACTGTATGCGCCGTTATAAAAGCAAAGTAGGTAATAACAATATTGTTTTACTGACTCTACAGTCTAATTAAAGCCGTCGTCCCCCCAAAGAGTAAACATGTGAGTAAAGTGCGTCATCAGCGCAGATGTAACGGTGGTGAAGAGCAGAGATGTGGTGAGTGGGGAGTTCAAAGCAGCTCACAACAAGTGCAACACATATAAAAAAGCAACACATATCACAATCCACGTTTCATAATAACCCTGTAATGTAGTCAAGGTCCATTTTTATATTCTAGATTTTATAAGATATAGGAACTCTAATAAAAAATTATTTGTTTGCATTTTTTAACCCCTAGTTTTATGTTATTATAGGGGTTTACCCAAAGAATCAGAATCAATGGTTGGGCAGTTTGATAAAATTGCCTAAAACCAAACGCTATAAATGCCCCAATGAGGTAGATATAGTGACTAAAAATGTTGATCCGCCAAATGCTTGAGCAAACCATTAAAGGGATAATTATCAGAAAACTCAAAGTGCCTCACAAAAGCAGTAGAAACACTCCATACAAGGCTTAAAAATCATGACTAATCACAGAACATTAAAAAGAGGAAAAATACGATCCTTCAGTTGTCTGCACAGCTAGAACTGTTTTATCCTGGATTTTAAAATTGTCAGAGTAAAAGCCAGTCCCTGTGCTCCTCAGAGTCGGAGTTTGTTCACACGACACTAACAAGAATGTTTGATATCCTTTGTTGTTTAGAATGCAGGAATGAGATTTTTTTTCATTCAAAATTTTACTCCAATTAATGTGTCACTGAAGTTTCTGGAGGACATATCATTATGACATATTTAAGATAAGGTAAAACTTTCTTGATCTCACAAAGGAGACATTTACAAGCATTTCAGTGTTGGAGTGGGTAAACCGAGCAGATAACAATTGTTCAATTATAGTTGATGATTATTGAAGAAACATTATTAGTCACAATTAATCAATGTCAGCTTTATTTGTATAGAACATTTACAACAACACCAGCTGCACAAAGGGCTTCACAGGCACAAAAGAAAAGAAAACAGCACGAAATACACACACAGTCCTATACTTAACATGACTCGAATGCAATGAAGCACAAACCACTGCAGCCACCGTGCCGTCCCGAAATTACATGTTTAAATCATGTCTCAAATTAATTTTCAACTCATTTAAATGTATACAAATCAGGGAGCAATAATTCACATAGTTTTGATATTTTTATATTTGTAACAGTTATTAATTTTAAATGTATAGCTTTAATTAATTGTATTTAGGGACTGGTTTATTTTTAATGGTACAGTGTAAGTTATAGGACAGTAAGTAGTAAGTAGTAAGTAATCTTTATTTTTATACCGACTTTCACAGACCAGAGTCTCAAAGCGGTTTACAATTGTTATTTTTTGGGCATTTGTCCTCTCACTCCACACAGAGATGGGAGCAGGGTCGCCAGTACAGGAGGCGCATGCCAGAACTATTGTACATATTTTTAGTGGTAGGGGAAACCGGAGTACCCGGAGGAAACCTACGCAGAAACAGGGAGAACATGCATCCAGGATTCGAACCCAGGACCTTCTTGCTGAGAGGCGAGAGTGCTATCCACTCAGCCACCGTGCCGCCCAGTCCCATTGTACTGTGTTTTCCTTGAGAAGACATGACATATCGAGGCCCCTCATCGGCCTTCTACTCAGTGTATATGTCAATACGGTTAATTATTTTGATACCCGTCTTATAGTCCATGTTATTGACACAATTATTGCAGAGTTAGCATTTTAATGTGACCATTCCAAGTGTAACATTGATTGAGCAGTCTGGTTTTATTATCGGTGTATTCAGTCTTGCGTAAAAATCTATCTGGTTTATGTTGTAAGCAGAATTAGCACTAATCACAAATATTGGAGAGTGTGTTTGTTTGGGATTATCCTGCATTAACGCTGAATCCCCAGAACTGCTTTTATAAAATGCATTTTTAAAACCATGTGTCGATTTTGTATTGCAGCTTGCATGCATCCTGATCCTGAACACCTCAGAAGTTAAGCAGGACAGGGCCTGGTTAGTACTGTGATGGGAGACGTCTGGAAACATCAGATACCACAGTTTTTATAGATTTGTTAAAACCTGTGTGTTTCTGTTGCGTAATGTTTGTATTTCTGTTGACCATGTGTGCAACAGAAATGAAACCACACATCCACAAGTTCAAAATTAAGTAATTGCACAAAATAGAATGTTATAAGGAGACTATTCTTAAGGAGTCTGGAGCCCATTTACTGCAAGGTGGTCCCTCTGTGCTTCTTTTTCACTCTGTTTCCTGGAACGACGTTTATATATTTTGGCAGTGTGCTTTGTCTGAGTCGAGTTACGTAAAAGGGTTCACCTGCAAAATGTCTTCCCGCCGTCACAGTTCATATTTCATGCTCTTATTCGCTAATGGAGCGTGATTTTAGATTATTTGAATGTATGTGAACAGGTTAAGCCCCTCAGGTCAGCCTTGCACTACTTCAAGATCACCATCTCCTGCCAACATTTTTTTTTTTTTTTTTGCTTCAATACTCATAATAAAAAACAGATGTGGGTCAATATGGGATGTTTTTTCAGCAGAGAGGAAGGAGAGACCGCTTGTGTTTGGAGGTGAAAATGAATGGGAACATGGACATACCTTGAAACCAGGATATCTGTGAATGTGACATGGAAGAGCAGGGCACATCCAGGGAAGCTGTGTGTCAAACAGTCATCCATCACGCTGAAATGCATTGCAACAGGGATGTATTGAAAAGTGGTGGAGTGAGAGGAAAAAGGAGGAGGAAGTAAGAAACATGGAGAATCTGTGGGTCAAGAGCCAAGCATAAACAATGTGTTCCTAAAGTGTGTTGTGGGCTTGTGACGACAGGCTGAGGTGCAGTGAGTGATCTGAGGTGGTCTGTGGGGTCAGGTCTCAAGTGTTTGCACAAAGGTTAGTATTAGTATTTTAAGGCCGGAATACCTAACTTTTACGTTTTGTGAATAATATATTGGGGATCTTAGTTGCTATTATGCTCGTATGAAACACTAACCAACGTGGGTTTCAATTTGTGGAGTTGAGTTCTGTGGAACGATCTGAAGGATGAAATCAAACAAGTTGATATTGTAGAAAGCATGTGTTGGATAAGTATGGAGAAACTGAGGCAGTAACTTTGGATGTTCATGTGATGTTTAAGTTTGTAAATTGTTGTTTATGTTGAATGATTGGAGAAAAGTGACTGAAACAAATGTATTGTTTAATTCAAGAAGGGATGAAAAATATAAGTTTTATTCTACTAATCACTCCTTTTGGAATATGAGATGTTATTGGTCTAAAAAAAGCTGATCTGAAGATGAGACAGAGGCCAGAAAAACATGAATGTGGAAACTGGTGATAGTACCAAAGCTGTTTTAGAGCCAGGAACTTATAATGGCATTTATAACATAGTTTGTTTTTGTGAGCTTTAGTTAGAAGTCAACATATCAATTGTGTTTGTTTTCATTCATTCTGCTTATTATTTATTGATCATACATGTTGATAAAGGCTGGGAATTGGTCCATATTATCCTGCGATTGGTTTTTCTGGTTGGGTTAAAAACAATGTAATGGCCATTTTGCAACATTAACAATGGCTATACACTGAAATACAACCATGAGGCTGACTAGCTGTCTTTAAAGTTCATTTCAGAAATAATGCTGTTAAAAGCCCAATAATTACTCATGACAGTACATATTGATACTGCTGTTCATATCAACTGAAGTTTCTGTCTTTAGAGCAGCAGAAATTTGGAGTAAAACGTTGCAGGTAAGTAGGTTTGATGACGCAAGGCCCATTTTAAATCCAGAAATCCCAGTTTGTCATGAATAATCAAACAACTCTCAGTGGTCTCACTTATTCCAGTGACTTTCTACAGTTGACAAAACACTTGACGCTCCAAGAAAGTTGTCATCCATATGTAGATTTGTGACACCCAACAGAATCCACAAGTGCTCTTTTATAACAGCAACAGTTTCATGAACATGTTTCAATGAGAAGCAATAAGAAACTTGAATCTGTCTCCATTACCAATGCTAATGTGTTTTTGAAAAGACATGACAGGAATGAACCAGACAGAGACGGATCGTGGTGCGCCAAACTCTGGAAGTTTATTTAAGTTTCTCTCAAGTTCGAGTGGTTTCTGATGTTTCTTTCTCTCGGACAGAATAAAGGCAGTACACAGTTTATATAGTCATTGTCACGTCACACATCGAAAGACGTACGAGTCACACAGAGACAGAGCATTGCAAATCATAGTCATAGTCCCTGTAGAGTCTTGTGCTTGTCCTGCACGTAGGCTAAATCGCTTTCTAATCCTCACAGACAAATTGCAGACAGAATAGATGGAGACATTCACTCTTGTTCCATGCTTATGTATTACAAGGGATCATCCGGAGAACAGCCTTCAACATGTCATAATAGCCAATTGTTGACACTTCCCAAGATGCATCTCTGCGCCACAGCAGACTGCACAGACGACAAGTGACGCTCAAACTGTAGTCACCGCTTATGTAACCGAAAACCTGCCTTCACCGGTTTGCGCCGAAACACAATCCAAATCCTAAAATAAAGATCTTGATTTTGGAACGATTTTGAGAAAATGCGAACACCTTGGCTGGAGTCCATGGCTTCAGCCGTTTGCCAAAGACTGACTCACAAAAGCACTGATCAGCAGTTCCTGTCATCACATGGTCACTGCTGCTGTGAATCGAATTATAGACTTATTTTGAAAACAAGGATTGAAAGGATTTAATCACAGACGTTCCACAGAAAAATCTTTCGTTTTGAAGAAACAGCTGAGCATCTGTTTGACAAGAAGTCAGATGTATTTCAGACACAGTGGATATTATTTACTTGTTTAGCCTTTGTTTATGTACTTTACCCATGTTTTTTTTTAATATATACTGGACCTTACTTTTATTTTTACAGTTTTGATTTTGTTGTCTCTGATGCACACAGGACTATTCTTCAAGCATCCCAATGTGGTTTTGCAAATAAAAAATACATCTGAAAGGGGTGTGTCTGTTTAAAGATCAATTTCAATTATTTTAATTTTGCTAACTTTTTAAACAGAGTCCAGATGCAACATAATGTCATGTATTCTAATTATATCTATCCACCTGCTGTAAACTTCTGGTTTCCACAGTATATGTTGTACAATTTCACATACATAGATTGATTCCTTACATGACAGTGTATGGTTTTTTTTAAATATATTTTTTTAAAGATTTTAGAATTAAAACTATACTGAAAGCCGCCCTTACAGATTGACATTTTCCCTATCTGCCTTCATTAAACAGTCTCCTGAATATACTAAAGAAAATATGAAGAGGTCCTGGATCGGGTTACAGCAGAAGACATGTTTTATACCACAGCAAAAACCTATAGCTCCCCTCAGCTTGCTTGGACCTTCAGAAAACAAAAAAATCAAGTGGAAAAGTACTGACATCTTTTGCGTCTGTTGTAATGACCAGCTCAGTTTTAACATAATCGCACAAAAAGTCTAATAAAAGATCCATGGTACCTTTCAAAGCCTTTCTTCTATTGTCACTGTTATGCATTAAACAACTGAAAGAATAGTCCCTTTTTTCTGCATTAGAAAAAGGTAAGCTGTGATAAGTGTGTTGTTTAGCAATACCCACACATCAACATAAAGGGATGTTTTTTCTTTTTCAAGAGGCTGCAAAGAAGAAAGCCAAGAGAGAGAGAGAGAGATGAACGTCTCTTTGATAGCATGCATTTGATTTTCCTTATTTGACCCATGGGACGTCCTGTTTGAGAATAAAGCAGAAAAACACAGACATACGGGTCGGGGGTCTTCCAGTAGCTCAGCCGGAGCTCTTACTGGAAGCCCATGAGTCACCAGTCACTTTGTGCCTCTTTATCGCCCTCCTACGCACACCCACTTGTTTGTGTACATGGCTCCTACTTTGTACTCCTACAGCTGCTAAAACAGGGACACCAGATTTTCAGAGTGAATGATAAGAGAAAATGCTAGATTAAATGACCCAGGTTGATAAAGCTGGGGTATCTAACTTTCAAACATGTACAACAAAATTATGCAAACAAAATCCTGGCTCACATGCATGTACTGTTTGGCCTCTGTCACATCATTTGATTAACCTTTTTTATGGATAGAACAGTGAAACAAGAGCCGATCAGCTTCCAGCCCAAAGAGTCAAATAATGGCTCACAGGGCTCTCTCTTAAAGCATGCAAAACATAACATTTTCATTATGGTATGATTTGTTTACAAAATCTTACCTTTACAATACACATTCTGTTCAGACAAACAACATGCATTATTTACGGAAAAAGGTAAGGCAAACCAGCTTTATTAGAATATTCAAATTAAATACAATGTTTACAGTATACAGTGATATGCATAAAATATTCATGTATAATAAATATGTAAAATGTAATATTCATGTTTATCTTATTTATCTTGTTTACAGCGCTTGTCTATTTCTACTGTCTGTAAAGCAACACTATAGGTTCTTACTATGGTTTCTTAAAACAGTGTCTTTGTGAGAACATGCCCAGGCGTTCTGAATGGAGTCCAACTTTTACATCAATACATCTATATAGTTATGCCATTAAAATGAGCAACAACTTCCCAAAAGCAGAAACCCAAAGTTGCCACAAAGAAGCTGATTCGGGAGTACTGTCCCAGAACTAAAGCCATTTACTGGAACCAGACAGAAACTTATAATACGCAAAAAAAAAAAAAAGTCTATTCTTGGGAGAAAGGAATGCTGGAAATGCGAAGACCCCCCAGAAACCCCGCCTCCCCACCCTTCTCTGTCCCACTGGCCCAATACCCATTATTCCAGGTCCGCCCACCCCTCCCCCGAAGATCTCACCTCTTCCATCCCTCCCCCCACGGAACTGGACTGTAATGATCTCACGCAGCTGTCATGGTCCCACCCACAGTCACCCACCCTCATCCACGCGGCCGCTGGGGGTCTGACATCACTTGTTTTGTTCAAGTTCATGTCCTCTGTATATGAGTAATCTTATAATTCATCATTTTTGGCGACATCATGTTGTTTGAGTGGTCTTTTCATTCCCACTGTTCTGTAATTAACTGTATTGGCGACATTGTGGGAAAAATACTGTTTTTTGTGTTTTTACTTTAGTGGATTACTGGTACTGGGTTGTTATTGGCAATAGCTCTTAGATGGAGGAAATTGCCTTTATTTGTATAATATGCTATTTATAATATGCCGATAATTACCTCACAGCTTGTAAAAACCCCAATTATAACATCTATCGAGAATTGTAGACAGAAGCAGCACAGTCGCACCTGTAACCCAGTTTATTTTTGACTCCTTCCAGCTCAAACAAAATAAGTTTTTTAAATGATTGTGCATAAGAACAAAGACGTCATCACTTGAGATATTAATGACGTATGCTTAAGATATAGATACTAGTAACAATGTAGGTCAGAACAAATACTTTCAGTTTTTTTGATAATAATGTTTTATCAGTAACACAGCTATAACAGAGGTCCACAGGAAAATGAACCGAAAGCCATACTAATGATCCAAATTATAGCAAAGGAATACATGGCATAATGTCTGTAATGAGTTTATATCATATATTAGTTTGCTTCAGTTGAATTGCAGAAATACATTTATTTATATATGAAAGTTATTAACATTTTCCAAGTTTTATTTTATTATTTTATTAAACCAAGACATAAATATTCTCCATGAGATGTTTTAATTTGTGTATGGTTTAGAAAACAGTTTTTTTACTAACTATAACTAAAAGAAAAAAAGTATCTTCTGTCTGAAGGTGGAGCTAGGACAGTCTTGTTGGTGATAATCGGCTCTATCCAAGGGCCTATAAACTCTGTAGAATTGATTAAATGCCTTTTCATCTGGAAGAATAAAACAATGTTGTGAATGACCAGTGAGGTGTTGCTCATGGTGTCGTTGGAGCCTGCTGTGTGTTGGACCATCAGCGCTCTGCATGATCGGTCTACTGTTGTTGTAGCTGCTTCTTGCGTCTGGGACTGGTCTGGGTTGGACTGGTCAGGGTTGGACTGGTCTGGGTTAAGGCGCTGGGCCTTGCTGAGGCACAGTGATCATTGTTTCAGATTTAGCTTTATTAAAGTGTTAAATCGCACTAAACACAACACATTATTATAGAGTTATAATTTAAGCACTGCTACAAAACAAAATTCTTGGTGAAACTAGGGCAAATATTGTTGCTTGATTATATATCCATGTTTAAGTAAGTAAGTAAGTAATCTTTATTTATATACCGCCTTTCACAGACCAGAGTCACAAAGCGGTTTACAATTGTTATTTTTGGGCATTTGTCTCTCACTCCACACAGAGATGGGAGGGGCCAGTACAGGAGGCACATGCCAGACCTATTGTACATATTTTTAGTGGTAGGGGAAACCAGAGTACCCGGAGGAAACCTACGCAGACACTGGGAGAACATGCAAACTCCACGCAGAGAGGCCCAGGTCCGACCAGGATTCGAACCCAGGACCTTCTTGCTGAGAGGCAAGAGTGCTATCCACTCAGCCACCGTGCCGCCAAGTTTATAGATAGGATGTATAGGTAAATGTATGCACAGAAGGCAACATATAAAGGATCATGTAAAGTTTGTAAACTAAGGAATGTCAATATTGTAAATACTTGTGATAATTTCTGCTGGAATTAATACAATCAATCAATGAATCAATCAAAAGAACTTGTGACAAGAAATCAAACTTATCACAGCCACAACATTTGCCACTGCTTTACTGTATTATGTGGTAATGTCTCAGCAAATGTGGCTGAATAATTTAGTTTGTGAATCAATTGTGTCCATATTGTTGATAAGCTGACATTTCAAAATAGTGCCTTTGAGACTTTGCTGATGTCAAGCCACACCAACAAAACAAATATGGTCTCATGAAAACTAGTTTTTTTTAAGCAAATATTTTGGAGAATCTTTTGTTTACTCAGACTTTACTTAAACTAATATTGTATTTGATGAAAGTAGAATGTTCCCTCCAAGGTGAAAGTCTCTGTAGGATTCATTTGTATATCTTTAGCCATGAGGGGTTGGAAGCAGAGTAGTACGTTACTACAAATAGATTGTCACTCTCAGAGACTCTGGGTGCGCTCATTCATTACAATAGGAAATCATGTTGCTTGAGTTGCCCATTACTTTAACAATAGCACAAGTGACACCATGTTCAAACACAGGGAAATTAGCGCCACTAAAGTATTTATGGCTATAGTCAACATATTCAGAGTGACTGTCTGAGGCCAATGAAGAACCACAGAGATGCTAACTGGAAACAGCGGAGGTTATACCAAAAAATCAAGTGCCGGAAAGGCTGATACACATGAGGAAGCCAAAGATAAAGCTTTTAGAGAAGCCTAATAGAAGCCGCCCTGCTTTTACTTATAGCTACTTCTGCAAGAGTGAAGTCATACACAGACCATCTTAATATATAATCAACATTATGGGAATAAACATATGGCTCACTCCCCACAGATCAGAGGTGGATGGATATGTTTGATGTCATAAAGTAGAAACTACAGGCAAAATACTGAAAATTTCAATGAGAAAACAAAATCAAAATGTAGTAAAGACATGAGTGCTCAGTCAGTGGTCATCTGGGAAACAGACTGTTTGGAACAAAGTTTTACTCGTCACTGAACGTTTGAAGCAGTAGTACAGAAAAAAATGGGCAAAAAGCAAAACCTTGAGGCACTCTGTAGATCAAAAGCAGTTTAGAGAAAGGGACGCCTATACGTGTTTTGACCTGGAATGTCTTTGTCATGACAATACACGGAGCATCCATGCATCCATTTTCGGGGGAAGCAGAGACATGCAGACTTCCCTATTTACACACACTTCCTCCAGCTTATCCAGGGGAATCCTGAGGTGTTCCCAGGCCAGCTAACAGACATAGTGCCTTGAACATGTCCTGGGTCTTCCCCGAGGGAACTAAACTGCACATGGAGCTCCAATCAAAATAATTGATAAAAAGGCAGAATATCTCAAGATTAAAGTGGTCCCTGGTCTTCCATTCTACATGAAAACAATTCACATTACAACCCAAACAGTACAAACAGTATGAAAAGAAATTGTAATGCAATGGAATTTAAAACTGAAAAAAGAAAGAAATCATAACGTTTATTTTATGTTTCTTTGCCTTGATGCCATAAACAGCAAATTCCAAGCAGCTGAGGATCAAAACAAAACTGTTCTCCACATACAACTCAACTTTGGAGAAGGAACAACTACATCTCGAGAGCAGACCTGCCGATGTCACATGTCATTGGCAGTGGACGCTGTAAATACATTTTTCTACAAAAAACCACAGCACTAGAAGCAGCTCTTTAATGTGTCCTGTTTGAACCATGACACGGTGTGAAATTACAGAAGTAATTTCCTTCAAAGAATCAATAAAGGCTGTATCTTTATATCCATATATCCATTCATCTATCTCGCCAGATTTTGCATCCACTGGACCAAGTGGGAACACACCAAGTTTTATTAATCTCCGTTGGCCATTAGGGTGTTTGCATAGAATCATGTGTGTGACGTTTACCTGTGTTTCAATGCACTGCTGATTTATTCCATTGCCTTTGGACACAGTACGCTGGGTGTAGGAGTTATTTTATTCATATCCCTGCAGCCTGAAAGACACAGAGATCAGCTATTCTCGCCTAAACAGGGATGTGTCAGGATATAGAAGGCGTCAGTAATTTTGAAAAAAAAAAGGAGAGAAAGAAAACGATGCCCACAACTTAGAGGTTTGGCCTTGTGGGTTTATATAATTTCACTGTTTATGCAACGAAGGACATGCTGATGTGGAGCTGAGGAGGTGCAAGTGGTACGCACCCACCTTGACTTAAGAACCATATAATTCAGGCAAAATTAGATAGGTGGAGGAGTTCTAAAATACAGCATTGGCTTGACGTGGATTCTAAATATTTGGAAAATCAGATGGCAAGTTTTATGCATTGAATAGATGGGATCTTGTTACAGCTGTCTTGTCTTTTCACTGATATTTTAGGAACTACAAAATGTGTTATAAGTTTAAAATATTATTACAAAACAGAACACGTTTTTCCGGTGCAGAAATTATACATATTATTACTGTGTCAAGTTGTAATTGTTTTGTTTGTTTTCTTCTACTTCCAAAATACAGATTGGAGGTATACTTTTAAGTGCCGAGATTGTTAATTATATTGAAATGTCTTGTAAGGTAATGGCCTGAAAAATGTGTAATGCTATTCCAATGTTATGAAGCCAAACCCATATCGAACACACAAAACTCTAAAGAGACCCACAGTACAAATATTGTTCCAAAAACAACGCAATACTGAGTGAGTAATGACATTTATATCCCTTAAGTGTGTGAAAATCTGAAAATTACAGTGCCTTTGCTTGAACTGTTTATGGTTTTTCTCAAAGGCCTGGTGTAACTTTTTTTTGCAACGCTCCAGTTGAGTAATTGATGGCAGCAATGTTTCAAAACGCCTATTTACTTTTGAGAGTCTGCTAACAGCATTTACGTAGCCTACAGGTCCAATTAAACCGTTTGATTTTACGGCTTTTAACACAGAGCATAGTGTCATAAACTAAAGCTAGTGGGAAAGCAGACATTAGCGTTTCACACCAGGGCCGTGAGAGGGATTAATCAATACAACCTCTATTCAGGTAGTGCCAAATTGTGTTGTGAGCGGATTGAAGTTAAAACCAACTTTATAAGCTTTTTCATTTTCGTTGCATCAGCTTAGTCAGGTCTAGGTCATGGGGCAATACAGTCAATGCAGCGGCAAAATCCAACCTCTTATTCCGGGTATTAGATGCAGAAACCGTTGTGCTAATATGTAATATGAAAACCTTCATTTGAGATGTATTTGTTTTTCAAATAAGGCTTTCATAGGCAATCTGTTTATGATATGATAGTGTGGCGATTACGAAAGTGGGTCACGGATTTCATGATAATACATTTCACAACATGACAAGTAAAACATATTAAGTCAAAATGTGAAAGCACAAAAATTGCTTTCTTTTAATATTTACAAAGGTTTTATTGTCATTAGTTGGCAAAGTCTGTTGAAAAGAGGATCTTATCTTTCATCTTTTTCATTTCTGGAAAAAACAAAACTCCCTACCGCTCACAAACTGGAAGCACTGTAACCTCGAGCGCTAAGATAAATTCTCACGATATTTGTGAGTTAAAGTTTCACAAGCTATTCTAAGGAATATACAGACATGCTTCTGACATGAGCCACGTTAGAAGCACTGGGCCCAAACTGAAAAACATGTAGTATCAAAGTTATACCAACAATATAATGTATTTTAGTCAAAAATAGAGATACATAAAGCTTGTTTTTTCAGTGGTTAATGCAGTGACACATACGACCTTATGAGTGGGCTTACAAGTCCACAAACGGATAATTGTCCTGGAGTAGGGCCTGCTTGTTCCCATGGAAATACTTCTCTTTTGAATGAGCTGCAGCATCACTTATAATTTACCTTTATCCAACGTAAAAGTGCAGTTAACATACCACCTGTAGAAAGTTACAGTGTAGCTTTTCATCAGTGGATTTTAGTTCCAGCTCTTGAGATTTGTGTGACATTAAAATACAATTTTGCTGCACCCCATGATACATAAACACAAAATATAGTTTGTAAAATGAAGTGACTGTAAGATTGTGAGAAGCCTCTGCATTCATCTATCTTAGCCTATACCAGTTGCATTCCCCAGCATTAAAACATTTCCTTTACATCCTTGTGAGACGAAAGGCCTACAGCAGTCTATCTGGACATTTGGATCTTACTGTTACTTTATCTGACCTACATTTGAAGGAGCTGCACACGCCCCTGGCTGCTTACACAATTATGTTATGAAATGAAGACCTATAGTGGTCCCTCAACCTCGCAGAGCACACATGGCCCCCATCTTCTTCCACTAAATTCAATTTATAAAAATGGGCCTGGCAAGTATTTCTGTTGCCTAAGAAACATGTACAAATGGAGCTAATATCACAAACTGAGACCGCCATGCATGATTAAACAATGCAAATGTATACTAGTGGTTCCAGTTTTTTGCGTTATTGTATGTAGTGTGATTGGCAAACGTATTAAAAATCAGATATGCATTGAAACTAGCTAGTCAAAACTGGACAAAATCATAATATCCTGAGCAATTTTTAAATAATTCCTCTTATAAAAAGCTGTGTCTGAAAATGTCTTCTTTATGGATGCTTGAACTCTTCTTATTGATTACAACCAATGATTCGCTTTTACATTTTGAATGTTATTTCAAAAGCTGGGGAAAAAAGTGGTGGTGTTGTAAAAAGGCATGTCACAATTACAGTGTTATAATTTGTTGGTATTGAATCCATTCATTAGTATCAAAATCCAAGTTTGAAATGTTAGCATCGTGACAGCACTAGATGTAGGAGGTCTGGAGGAGGGGTGATCCAAAGGTTACCGAAACAAAAAGTCTGAATGTTAGTCTATTATGCCACAAAACAATGAATTCCCCTTACAAATGCATAAAGCCAAATGCATTCCTAAGTCGAAACCTTACACCTCTGCCCAGATCTGCTGCACTCCAACCAAAACACAGGCGCTCTCCTCTCGGTCTGCGGTTAAAAAGGGGAGGAGGGATTTAGGCGAACCCTGACCAATCACAAATCGACTTGACTTCGATTTTCCCATCCCTGCGCTGCGATTGGCCTGAACCACACCTCCTTGCACCCGCCTCCGCGTCGTGATTGGCTACTTTTCCCGGCTCTGTGGAAGTCATTTGAATACGTCTCTAGCTTTGTGGCTGCTACATTTTCGCTTGCGAGTTCAATTTGACTCGAATATCACAGAGGGAGGCACAATGAGGCGAGCGACCGCACTTTAGCCACTTCTGAAGACGCGCTAGGCTTGTTTTCTCCAAGCTTTTACGCACAGGAGAGGAGGATCTAACTGCGAACTGGGCACTTTTTTTGGGATAGTTACACCTTTTGTGCTCATTTTGAAGACTGCAATCTATTCAAGAGGTAGGTAGTTCCTGGTCATATATTTGATTCTTAATTCATTCAATGTGATACACGCAAGATCCAAGTGTGCATTTTTCGTTTTGAACTTCATCACCATCAAAAAACGTGTCTTTATAGTATTTTTGAGCTATACTGTACTATATTGCTGTTTTTGTTACTTTGGTCAAGTGTAGCGGGCAGATTGTTACAATGGCTTTCACTAATCCAACCTATTACTGTGTATTGAACGCTGAACGAATGCAGTCCATCCAAACCAACCAGGTATCCAAGTGTTTCTATTTTTATTTTCCCTCTCACCATTGTTTATTTTGCTTGTTTGGTTCCCATGTGAGGGTAAAAATGAGTTTGGATGACAGACAAAAACAAGCATTACTCACCAGCAGCACCTGCACTGGGTCTGCGGTTGCCCAGCATGGGTTTTTCTCAGTCACTTTTTACTTTTACTGTGTTTATGACTAAGCCAAGAACCCGGAGCGCACACCGTGGATCAGCGCTTTTGTGCGAGTACCGTGGGGGGAATAGCAGATTGTGGGGTTGTCTGTGCGGAGAGAGAGAGAGCGTGTGTTCTTTGAGCCAAGTAGAAGCGTTTGAGACTGGCTTTCATCTGCAAATGAAAACCAGTGGAGCCATGGCGTGCGTGTTGTGCGTAAATCCTGGAGTTGTACTTTGATTCATGTATGAGTTGTCTATAAATGGTTTAAGATTACAGGTGCGTATCTCGTTTAATAATTCACACTAGTGCGAATGAGGTATATAAATTGATGATAATAATAATAAAACTTTATAAACTACTACACTCAATGTTTTTCACGAGTTGTTGCGTGTTCCAAGTACAGTGAGTGCCAGTTCTGCTTCATTATGAGTGCGTTTGAACTTGTAAGTCATATGTTTTGTTGCAATAGTGTGTTTCTGTTGTGAAGTTAGGGAAGAGATAAATGAAAGTGAGCTGGATTGTGTGGGAGAGAACGCAGAACAATTCTTCGCCATAACTGTCAAAGTGTTTCTGGCTACTGCAGAAACATAGGGGGCTGACACTAAGTCTATTTAAAACTGTGAAATGTAATAGTTTTTTTTTTATAAAATCATGCTCTACATCTACATAGCATGGAATCACGAGGTCTTTCATACAAAACAGTATTATCTCAATGTTAATCCAAAAAAGTCTGCAATAAGTCACCTTTTTAAGAATCCAGTTACATAATGGTATTTTTAAAGAATGGTGAAGATTGTTAGTTTTTTGCTTTCTTTTCAAAAACAAATGTGTTAGTTTACACATTTTTAAGCTACACTGGCAACAATGCCCAAGATGTAAAAAATATTGTTTGACAATTGTTATTTTTATATTATTCCACATTGTGGAAAACATCAAGGAGTTATTTTGCCTGTTCCAGGTCCCTTTTTTGTTTTGATTGGCACGTTGCACTTACAAACATGTCCCACTGCATCCTCCACAGGCACTGGATATTGGGCTTTTTACAGCAAGCCATTTACCACACACAAAGTCAGGGCACATTGTTTGCTTTGCCGAAACACAATAGAAAATGTTTGTGTGTGGATCTCTGGCTCGTAGATCAGCTTAGTTGATTACATCCCCGCAGCAGAGCAGATAATGTGGCCCTTTATCCCTTCTGACTCTGGGTTAATACTGTACTAGCCTACAGCCCATAACATAGAGAGAGGTGTATATGCTAACCCTTCATACTTTGGCTTCCTCTTACATGGGGAACAGTAGTGGGGCAGATCACGTCCAGATATCGGATTCACTGTGTGTTTCCGGTTTTATTTGTGCTCATCTTGTAAATCAGTCGAGGCATCATTGAAAACCAGTCCGGGCGCTTTGACAGCTGATGTTTGCACAATGGGACGCAAGCCACATCTGACACTAGGCGCACTGTGGAAGGGGCCGGAGTGATGCTGCCCGCTGCTACGTTGGTTTAGCTGTGTGGGCAGGTGACGGACTGCCAGTTGAATTGTAAAAAATGCTCTTGAAGAAAAACAAAACAACAGGTTTAGGCCAAAGAGGTCTTTGTTTTCAATAGTCCACACTTGTCAAAATATTCTTTTAAGACACACTATACAAACATAATTTCACAGTAGACAGATCTCTCCATGCAAAAGTTTCCATTTGTAAGAATTTCAATTATGTTTCTATTATTATAAGGTGAATTCTGCATTTGAGGTCACTTTTTTCAAATTCTAAAACATATTGTTTTTGAAAGATCAAGGTTCCAGGTCTGCATAGTGATAGGCATATTGCTTTGAACAGGAAGTCAATGGTCCTATCTCTTATATTAAGCTTTACTTCAACACTCGGTTATATCATTTTTCCTTCAGAACTTGCTGATAGAGAGGTATTTTCTGCAACTATGAGCCTTACACCTGGTCTTAAATTGCAACACCATTAGTTACGATGGTGTGACTAAAGGATTGTATGGATAATGTCACTTAAGACCACACAAAACCACATACACACTTAGGGTGAATGGCTGTCATGCTTGGACAAAACATCTCAGGGTAACATTTGTCTTGAGCAGTTGGCGGTCATTCATTTATTTTGGCAGGCTCTAAAATTCATCAGGTAATGGCATGTCAATGGATTATTCTTTAGTTACCACTAATTGTAAAGAATCAGTTTCATGATTTCATAAGAGGATTTTGTGTATTACTTTATGAATAATGAAAGAAGTAGTCTCAGTCTATGTTGCCAAAGATTATTATTGCAGTGGTATGAAGGCACCACGCCTGATTTACAAACAGCTCACCTGACTGGTCTGTCTTTGGAAAATGCCACTTAAGATATAGTTGCACAAGCCTCTGTCAGTTCAAGGTTTTTTTTATGTATTTGCAAAGCGTGAGTAAGTCAAATGTCTAGACTCTGGAAGTTTTAACATCATTTACATTGAGCTGCATGTGACAGGTTCTTTTCATCGATATGCCGTGCTGCGACTTATGAGAGGCAAAGTACAGTGAGTGCAAAGAAGAACTCCGATATGGCTGGACTCTGTCTGGCCATAACTATTGTGATAAACGACCTTTACGAGTCTTCTTATCAGGTGTAAATAGTTTCATGGGAGACTGCTTCTGCTCACAGCTTCAGACTTGTTCAGGGTAACACTTTGAAGTGCCAAGGGTTGCAAAAAAAAATATCGAAATAATTTGCTGAAATATCATAATCATACCCCTTGAAAAATAACAAATTACTCAAATTAACCACTGAGAAAATATTGTTATGTGAACTGTTTTGTTGTTGATTTTAGTCTATGTGTCATAATGGATTAGCTTTGTTTCCCCCACTGTGAAGGAACAAAGTATTTACAAGGGGGTGGACCTGATTATTTCATTAGGATGCATCAAAGCTATTTGTGTTTAGGAAAATGTTCTCTATACCTGCTGTTGTTGTGACCCGTCATGGGGTTTAGCTTGACAAGATTAGGTCTGAGATGCTCTTCAGAGAAATTGGGTTTGAGTTAACAGTTAACTGTGGCACGATATGTTACACTGCACTTCTCTGATGGACTGCTTTTCAAAATCATGTCTATTCTTACACAATAACTGAAAATATGTGCATTCTCTTTGATTAATGCGTTCATATTAATAATCACACTATTTTGTGTTTTGGGCAAATATCTTTTAGAAATGGCAGATCTGATACAAACTTTGATACGAGCACAACAAAATACATACCTAGATACAGGGCACTTTCAATTTGATACAATATTTATCTTTGCAATTCTTTGGCCCCTTGACTGATTCACCGCATTATATTAAACATACATCACTGGTGCATTTCTCTGCCATTTAGTGAAGATTATTGTTTAGTGCATGTTCCAAAGTCAAATGCATACAACTGTGGTACCAGTTCAAAGCAAAGACAATACCTGTGTCTATAAATATGTTAGCACATGTCTGGGTCCAGCAGTAATCATGTGCACATCCATCACATCCCAATTAAATGTGATGGAAGCTCTGTTGGCCTTCTCAAAGTTATTATTTCCTGAAAACTCTCCACTTTTAAACAACCTCTTGCTTCCCTTGGCTCAACATCCAAGTTTCAATAGTATCAGTTGGACCCCTGCCCTCACATTTTACAAGGGTGCGGCGACCACATTGTCCCCTCCTTCTTGCCCCATGCTGCTATGTTGGGGCCAGGGTTTATGGCGTGACTGGTGCTTGTTTCCAGGCGTCTGCGGAGGTGGGGCCAGTGCCGGACGGTGAGTTTTGGGAAAAGCCGCTGCCCTCGTCTGATGTGCCGCTATGTCCTGTGATCTCTTCCTAGGGGTCTTTGTGCAGTTGTTAAAGCCGTGACAGCACAGATAATGCTTCCATTGTTTCTCTTTCCCGGCCCTCCCCCTCGGACTGGCTTCAGATAGCAGGGTACACCTTTCTGAAATTCATGTTGTGGGAATTTTGGACCAACTCGGGCTGCATAAGCCACTGCAATCAAATCGAAATGGCATTATTAATGTTCTTTGTATTCAAAAAGAAAAAACATCTCTTGAATTTGGGACAATGTCTCTGGATAAGATTATATTTTGAAGATTTGTCATCAACATCATCTTTCATCTTATTTTAAAACATATCAACTCCTTTTTTTTTTTTTTCAAATATTTTTTTCAATACACATTGTCAAAAATTCCATTGCAAATTGGTGAAGAATATCCCAATCAAACATGTTGCCAAATTTGTGCAGCCCTTGTGAAAGCCGTTTATGTGCTGTTGTATCGCACTCTCTCTAATAAAGATTGGACTTTCAAGACAACATCCAGTGAAGGAAAAAAAACGTTACGGACAAAACGTTTATGGGAGATAAACACCCCTGATTACCGATCTGTTTATTCCAGTCAGGCTTGGGAAACCTCCAAAGAAGCTCTTAAACTTATCCCCTTTTTAACCAAAACCAGACAAAAGGAAGTGTTCACATGCAGTGGAACGGAGACCAAAGCGCAGCCCAAAACCACCAATGTATGCGCTTTTTTGGAAGAGCCTCTTTGAAACATTTGGACACATTTCAGACGTTTTTGCTCAACCAATTTTTGCTCCAAGCCTTGTCAAAAGTTCAATTAACCTTTTGATAAACTGTTCTGGGATATTATTTTTAGGCTCTGTAGGCAACTTTTTTTTTCCCACCCATGAAATTTTGTTTGGAGAGCTGCACAACAAAGCCACAGCATGCGATCGAAAAGTTTTTGCCCGAGGGAGATTTTCTGGTATCACGTTTGACTTCTTTCAGCTTACATGCAAATAAAGTAATATCATACGCTTGGAAATATAAACTTTTGTAGTGTGAGAGCAGCAATCTTTTACATTTTTCACCAGTCCATATGTAAACAATGTGTTCACTTTGCAAGAATGCATACAGTATCATTATTAAGCCATCCAGAGCAAGCCCAACCTATGATTTGGGGGATGAAATTTCAAGAAAGCCGCAAGTATTTGGGTCAACGCTTGAGGAAATCGGCTCGAGAGTAAAACCCATTGAGGTTTTGAGATTTTGGATACGTTCCCTCCTTATGTAAGTCAGATGTAAACGGAAGCGAAGAGGTGGTGAGGAAGGAGGACATTTCAAACTCAATTTATTAATACTTTTTTTCTTGCCACAACCACCTGAGTTCCACCAAGTTGGCAGATTGAATTTGTGAGCCAGAGTAATCTTTTAACCGTGCTAGATTGAGAACAGCCGGGGAGGATCACAAGGTTCACTAGGCAGACTGCCACTGGGCTCGACTCTGGCCTGGGCCCAAGCGTCGCAGTATGCATCTGTGCGTGTCACTTGTTTAGGCCAGACGTCATGTATTTGGATGGAGCTCTGGCCTGGGGTTTGGCGCCATTGTGCAAAAGGGGGTGTCTGCCTGGGCTTAGATGTTGGCTCTCCCCCTTTCATTGCTGTAATGGATAAACAAAGTCTGCCTCCTGGTTCCTGCTGGCTTGAGAATATGGTTTCACTTCAACTGGACCGATTCTGGTTCACTTGGGGCAAAAACTGCTCTATTTGTAGAGAAACCACCAAACATTAGAAAATGTGTCCATTAGTCCCTTATGTCAGTTTGCATCTTTCGAAACAGACCTCTGAAGCATTTTTTCCCCCCAAGAAAACCAAACTTGGCCCAGTTATTGTGAACCAAACCAATAAGTGTGAACACGCACCAAAGTTACCCTCTCTAATAATTGAAATCATGGTAAATGAGAACTGTATGTGTACTGTGTGTGTCCCAAACAAAGCGCTGACAAAAAAACCCTCAGCTTTGCAAGTAGCTGCTTTGTTTTTTCGTCGAGCTCGTTGTGAGTTTGAGCCCACCATGAGACCTTCTCCACCAACTCCCACTGATGACTGCTGTCGTTGTGTCCTTGGGCAAGACACTTAACCCCACTTTGCCTGAAGCCCCCGCTGAAAGACCAAGGCTCCTGTGGACTCACCCCATGCAGGAGGATCAGTGAGGGGCTGGTGCTATGTGTACTGGGTGGCATCTCTGGCCACCTCCCTGACCCAGAAATGGATTAAGGGGAAGGAAATGGATGGATGGACACTTTTACATACACCGGCCCAGTTCAATATCTTAATGATAATCGAAGCTAATGCGTATTAATTATACCAAATTTGTCCTCCAAAGGCCGTTGTGGCTGCAGGTTGTCATTCTAACCAAAGACCACTGCTTTATACCAATGCCATTAGTATTAGTGAGCATATTTATTGACCTTAGAACAAACTTACACAAACCATGTGTCACAGAGCTACAAAGCAAGAATGGGTGATGTATTCCATTCAGGAGAAGACTAACTCCCCAAACATGCGTACAACTTTTATTGACTAAACAATAATGGAAAACAGTCAATAACGACATAATTAAACGCTCTTTTCAAGTCTTTTTCGCACAGAATGTTCCCTTTTTAAATTTCCAAAACAACAGCACCACATATTGAAATTACTGACTTCGCTGCACTTTTTATGACGCGCTCACTGTAGCTTGTGGTGGGGGAAGAAGGGGGGGTCTGGCTCAGCTTACCCCGGCATGTGGTTCGCAGACAGACAACAGTAGCAGGATAAAGGTGGCTCCTGTGTTAAAGCATGCTATGGTTGTTGTGATCTCATATCGGCTTTCCTTCAGATCCAATTATCCACACCAGGCTTCAAATCTGCACTGTTCTAAGAATCACCCATCTGCCTCCCCTGCGCAAAACAAGTGTCCCAACAGATGACAGATGCGCCCATAAAGCGGCACCGCGCACTCTTTGTCGGGTGCTGCCGGCGTAAAAGGGAAAGTCAATATGACGAGGGGTGTCATTAAAAAGCTCAAAGCGAATAGGCGTCAGAGGAGGGGTACTATTATGTGATTAAACATAATGACACATGTGCGAGCGGATATCAACACGTGTTTTCGAAACAACATGACGCTGTTTGTTTGGGTCTCGCTTTCCCAGGACCCAGAGTGGGACTTAGTCAGAGAAATGTAAATGGCATACGATGAAACTATGCGAAGTTATGTTTAAAAAAAAAAAAGAAATCTTGCTGTTATAGTGATGAGGCTAGGACGAGGAGGACTGGGCAATAAAAGATTTTTCTTTTCTTATTTTAAATGTGGTAAATGTCAAAATTGTGAAATCAAGGTCAGGATGTAGTGCGAGATTCTTCTGGCGTCTGCCTCTAGGGGTCACTGTTTCAGAAAACATTGGTTATATTTGATATTTCAGTGTCTGTACAGTACTTATATGTATGTTTTTTATGTACGATATGTCATAAAAACACACATGGTCTTGTGTGCTATTTGCCTGTGGCTATGTATGTGACCTTTGTTTGGCTATGTTTGAGTAAATTAATAAAAGGACTCTTAAAGGAGATGATCCTCTCTCTAAATAAATAAATAAACCCATTTTGGATTCGATTTTTTTTTCAATAAACACTTTACCTTTGCTTACTATCAATTCTAAAGTCATAATCCTCAAAGGGTAAATCAAATTTGAGTTCATGTAACTTTTTTGCCTTATCACCCAACCTTAGCTGGTGGCAATATTTACTACAGTACTGTTGCTGAACTCTGATGCATCATACATTCATAACTACATTGCAGAGAATCCCCCTTTCAGAAGAAAATAGTCACGATAACTTATATTGATAAGTGAAGATATCAACAAACTGATTCAGTGGGAAATATAATCTTAGAGGAGGTTTGTGTTGTGTATTCCTTAAAGTGGATTTGGAAAGTACAAAATGTTTTGCTGTTAGGGTCAAGTATAATAATGAACGAAGCGGGGATGTAACATTTGTGGGAAGTCACATTGCTGATTGCGTGATGTTAAGTAACAATAAAGCCCTTGTCTGGAGATGCTGTGTAGACTCCACTGAGGTATTATTCGGAGATAAATACTTCAGTCGTGCAGGTTACCACAGCTGAGAAGTGAGATTAGCTCTGTTTACGAATAAAAGTAGCTACAATCCTGCCTTCTTTCACAGCACAGCACATTGTTCTTAAAAGCATTTCCACTACAAGAATTTCTGACATTTTCTTTTTGGATTTGAGTCTTCTTGTAATTAAGGTTTTAAACATTATATTCAAGGCTGTAACTAATGATTATTATGATAATTTATCATTATTGTTGTTGTTGTTACATTCACACTAAACTAGTGTTCAGTTTTGTTACTGTATCTATTTCATAAATGCAGTAACCATAGAAACCCTGTGTGAATCGGATTACAAATATGATTGATTGTGTAGTATAGACCCCTTTAAGTCAATAGGTAATCTCTACTTCTTTCTCTATTTCAATCCTGCAGGTAAAAGATAGTGACGATTCACTCTGTGGCAACCGATGGGATTTGTGGTTTCACCATTTGGGTTTTGAAATTCCCGTACCCCAGTTTTAAAATATTTGCTACATTGCGAACCTGTTGCCTCTGCCCGATGTGAACTCCATAACTTACAGCCGCATAGCTCTGTGGTCGCGCTGATGTTATCGATGCCTCAAACTCATGACCCGTGTCGTCTGCAGGTCGCCATGCCTCCCACCACTCCCTACGCAGGCAAGTTCGGCTCCTGCGGCCCTTACACCAGCAACAGCAGCAACAACAACCACCACCCGCAACCGCACAGCCCGTACCAGAGCAACACCGCGCCTAAACCCACCACCAAGACCCACGACAACATCTACAACTGCGCATACGTGGCCACCGAGAACCCCTACGACATCCCCCATAAGTAAGCCATGCCTGCTGGAACGACGTCTATGTATACTGCATTATACTGTCCCGTCGAATGATTAGAATTATATATTTGCACTGAATTTTTTTTTCTTATGCCGTGGTCAGTGATTATTCCAATGCAAATATTCAAACTATTTGTTGAATTACTGGTTCCATTTCCCTCGACCTCTGACGTTGCCATAGTAACACACAGTAACATAGCATTGAGGGAAAACTGTTAACGTACAGTTTGCATTATAGTTACTTTTCAAGGGTCCATTGTACAAAAGGATATTGAATATAGTTCCCAAACAAGCTCAATATTTATGATTTTTCTCCTCTCTGTGTCTTCATTTTAGAAAGTAGTCCTTTTCCTCAAACATGTTTTTTTTTGAGAGTACAGAGGACAAAATGTTTTTTTAATAAGTTTTGAGTGTGTCTAGTTTTATTCATGATTATGATTATACAGTATTTTAACATAATCTTGACATCTGCCACAGGTCGACCCACGTTCCGTACCGCAGCTCTTCTCTTTCGTCCTCCAACACCAACCATCATCATCGCAACGGTTCTCACAATGCTCCTCACAACGCTCCTCACAACGCTCCTCACAATGCGCCCCACAGCCCGCGACCTAACGGCGGCGTGCCCGCTCACGGCCGCGGCTCGTACCGCAGCAGCAGCGGCAGCAGCAGCAGCGAGCAGATCTGTCACAACAGCTCCGCGCCAACGGCACCAAAAGGCAGAGTGTTTGGTCAGGGCGGGGTCATCGCCAGCTACGGGGAGATGTGTTACCACGACAACAGCCTGGTGTCGGCGTCGTTGGAGGCGCTGATCCAACACCTGGTGCCCACGGTGGACTATTATCCAGATGTAAGTGCCCCACGTTCAATACGTTTCTGGATTGGTTAAAGAAAGAGTCTAACGCCATTATATGGGTTGCCGTACAGATGTTCAGATACAGATGATAGACACTTTGTTTGTCAGAAAGAGAGTAAAACTACAGATAAATTACAATAGAAACAAAGACCGAAAAGGAGTAGTCTGAAGCTAATGCTTATATTGCCTACCCTTTTTACAAGTGCCTTTAGTGTAAGTGAATGAAAACAATAACATTTAGATTAGCAACTATATCAATATCAAAAATCTGAGTTCAGGTAGCCATCCAAAATGATAGTTTAAAAAAAAAAATGTAAGTGGTAAAGTGAAAGTGAGCAGACTTAAGTTCATCTGTGCATCGGTTCCAGAGATCAACCCCTCTAACAGATAAACAACTTTTCATTACATTTGTTCTATATTTTTGTTTTATGAACATGTCTGTTCCTCTAAATTCATAATGACTGTCTCTGATTGTGAACAGTTTCTGTAGTGGTTCAGACAGAAGGTCATTTTTTATCTTGAACATTACTATCAAACTGTAAAGGTCAACTAAATGTGACTGTGTGATCTTTGTGAGTCACTATTTGATACTTTTGGCTGAGAACAGAGTGAGGGTGGCCCTTTCTTTTTCACTTTTCTGTTTGAAAAAGCTGATTCTAAAATTCATGGATGCTAAAATTAGTAGTGGAACAACACTGCTTTGATAGCAAGTATTTAGCTGTATGATTGATTTTGGAATTGTAACAAATAATGTTGGTACCTCAGCTTTAAGTAAGATAAACATGTAACGATCACACTCAATGTTTCTCAATCTAAATTAACTACACAGATAACCATAAGGCAGTAATGGTGCTGAAGAGAAGGTTCACTGTTTAGGGGAATGAACTGTATCAGGGACAGACGGCACGTGTTTCTACCTGTCTTCGATCTGCTTTAATTTAAGTTTAGCATCAATAACTAACAAATATGTACCCGTTTTTTCAGAGGTCGTACGTGTTCACCTTCCTGCTGAGCTCACGCCTCTTCCTGCCGCCGTACGAGCTGATGACCCGCGTCTGTCACCTGTGCGTGGAGCAGCAGCGGTCAGGAGACGCTCTGCTCGATAAGGTGGGAGAGACTTCACATCCACCACTCGCAACGCACAGGGTTTCTGCAGGGATAAGGGCTGTAAGAGCACGGATTACAATTGACAACACCAGTCAGGCAAACGGCAGCACGTAGAAGATTTATCTAAAAAGAAATCATAAAGTCATGTGACCAGAATGTGACCAATCTATAAGTTAGCACCATTTAGTATTATTTTACACCATTTTACCATAATCATAATTTATTAGTGTAAATAGACGGTAAATGCTCAATCCCTGTATGTTTTGGCTGACCATGTATTGTCCTTTTGGAAAGTTGTGGACATATTTTATTTGGTCAAAAAGTTTGTAATTTTTTATTTGTGTGGTCAGGTCTTAAACTTTACTCGTCCATCTCAACAGAAACCCGACACACAAATCACTCACGGCTTGATAATAACTGTCCTTTCACTGCGGCCCACCCACACAACCACAGCCATCCAAATAGATCTGGTATTTATACGTATTCTACATGGTTCAAACACTCATGGCAAATATAATTTGTATTCAAGGCCCTGAAATGATATTTTGGTAGAAAAATAAAATGAAGGCCCTTTCCCCTTTGGGAGGAGGCCCACGGGAAGACCTAGGACACATGGGAGGGACCATGTTTCTCAGCTGGACTGGGAACTTCTCAGGATTCCCCCGAATGATCTGGGGGTAGTGTGTTTTGAGAGGGAAGTCTCTGCATAAACAACTGCCTTCACAACCCAGAAATGGATAAAGCAGAAGAAAATTATAGGATGGATATCTAGATATGAAGATAAACTGTGGGATGCATACTGTGTGCACCTCACTTCATCAAATCCGAGTATCAGTTGATTTTTGATAATCAAACATTTCATAAATGTAAATGGTCGTCTTGCTTATGCTAAAGCTTTTAGCCTCAATTTCAAAGTAAATGTTACATTTAATCCGATAGTAATGTATAGTGTGTTAAAACATGGGTGCAAGAACATTTGGCAGTAGTCATGAAACGGTAGTTAAACTCTCTCACTCACATTTACTTTTATTTATTTCAATATTACGACCACAGTGTACCATGGTGAAGGTGAACAACATCCCAGAATGATTTGGAATTCACCTTAATTTGATAATCTACTATTATCCCAATGCATTTCTCTAGTCCTCCAGACCATTGAAGTCATGAACGTATATGATTTCTGCCTCACTCGTCGTTTTGACATGTTTTAAAGGGCGCTAAATGAAGTGTAAAGAACAGCCCTGCGGCCAGCACCACCTGACCGTCTGGCTGTCTCGTCTCTCTCCTTTCAGATCCGATTCCGCGAGGTGGCGCCCAAACTGGTGCAGCTGCTTACCGAATGGACCGAGACGTTTCCATACGACTTCAGAGACGAGAGGATGATGCGCTGCCTCAAAGACATGTCCAACCATGTGGCCAGAGGGGACGAGGTCAGTGCTGTATGCAGTCGGCCAAGACTGATTTCAACTGGACTAGTCCTACACCTGAACCCGGCAAAAATACATGCCTTTCAATCTCATCTGACTCGTGATTTTGACTAAAGCTGTATTTAAACATGTTCAAAATGTGTTAAATTTAACTGCAGCAAACGTGGGGCCACGTCATCTCAGTAAACGATGAGGTGGGTCAGTATTTGATGCTTTGGGCAGAGCACTGCACCTGATTTAGCAAGGGTGGTCCCTTTCACTCTTCTGTCTGATCTGAAGCTGTGAAAACTAGTCATAAAACCAAATTGTTTTGAGAGCTAGACACCAGTTGGATTTTACTGTTTTGGAATGATACACATCAAATCTATTTTACGCCATCCCCCGCCCACAGGCCTGCATTTGCTTGCAAAAAGGCTTTTTTTTTCAATCCAGGTGCTCTGTAAAATGGCGTATGGAATTTTATTACTTCATGTAATTAGATATTAGTTTGAGACGCTACACTAGATCTATTATATTTTACTTCTGTTTCACTGTGAATACTTAAGTTGTTTTCCTTTCCCTGCAGTATTCTTGGAGAGCCATGCAGCAGATGACACAGCGGCTGATCAAGCGCCTGTCCGCCCTGGGGCAGTATGAGGAGGCGGTGGCGTCCCTAAACATCGTGGCCCTGGAGCGTCCCTCGTCGCTGAAGTCTAAACAGGCGGCGGCTCAGAGGAGCGACGTACTGAGCGCGTGCGAAGACCCGTTTGTCCTGGCCCAGCAGCTCACACACATCGAACTGGTGAGAGGCCTCAGAGACTAAAGAAGCTTTTGAACAATGAACTGATATTTAGGGTGAACTTTGTTTTTTGTTACAAATCAGTCTTGTGAGCGGGGGACAGGCGACTCTCCTGGCTGTTTGGTTGATAGCTCGTAGCTACCTGCGTCAGATTACACACTTCTGCAGAATCTGTTCCAATTGGCTCTAATTGGCTTCTTCTGCAAGAAAGGCAAACACTATGAGCTATGTCGGCCCTTGGTTCACTTGCCTCGCATTTTATGGAAGACTGTTTCAGGTTTAGCGGCATGAATCTGAAATACTAACTCCCCATGTTTAGCCCTGACTCTGGGCATAAACAGGAGTTCAGTCCCTGTGCCCATTAGAGGTATATCCTCCCGCTCTGGTAAGACCTGACCAGGCCGATTATCAACGTCTGGAGATGGGCTCTGTACATTGCAGACCACTGCTCCTGATAAACACTCAAGTGAAATCAGGATGGGTCAAATGCAGAGGATGAATTGCAGTACGGGGATAAATAAAGTGCACCTTTACCTTTAGAGTCTGAGTTGGATCATATGGTGCTGATATGTCACAGATCCACGTTGAGACTTGTTCATAAGCCGTGCTGATTTAAAGTCTTTCCTTTGAGCCAGAAACTGCCCAATAACATAATAATGTGTTCTGCCAGATTCCATCAACAACTTATAATGAACTACTTTTTTGTGCAATTTTTATCCAACAGTATGAGTAGAACCTTTTAAATGATACCCAGTCCAGCACTTCACACATTGCTTTTTACTCCAGTTAAGTTCTGCCTTTTTCCTCTTTGCTGTGAAGTGGTTGTGCGTGCTTTACAAGGGCTTTTAATTAGTGTAGCTACATTTAGCAAGCTTTCTTTTTGCTGCGCAACAGAAGGCGTATAAAGTTCTCATGACTGTTGGCTCTGATGTTTACAGCTCATTTTAAATCATGTCCAATCACTTTTATCTTGACTTATACTGGTTTTACTGCTTGTTTGCTGTTTGTGTGGCCTTTCGAAGTTTCATCGTTAGACTATATCTCTCCACTTTGTACTGACTATACTCTTATTTTCGTGTTTATTCCAGGATCGGCTGAGTTTCATTGGCCCAGAGGAGTTCATTCAGTCATTTGCCATGAAGGACCCTCTCGAGAATCAGAAGGTGAGTTTTTGACCCGTTGTGTAAGATTTAGCTGCGACGAGACATGATATTTTTCCTCAAAACAAAGGATTAGACTGGTCACTGTGTATTAGAGAGGGATTAACAGAGGTTTATCTTGTGCTGAATCTAAACTATCTCCGAACGCAGAATTAGAACATTGCATAAGATGACAGCCCGGACATGTACACAAATGGAAGGATTCTGTGCTGACCGCATAATGTGTCATAGTTTTAAATAAACGTTGACTTTACTGCCACCCCTTATTGTAGCTAATCAAGTATTTTTACTTGATTAGCTACATTTTGAGCAACGAATGCCTTATTTTGTTTGAAACTTATACGTTTTATGTATCACTATGCATTGGTTATGTATACCACAAGTGTTTATCTAAAATTTGAACTAAAAACTAAAATCAAATACACACAAGAAACCTTTCTAAAAATACTAAACTTCTGTTCATATTTCTATAATTAGAATGCCTAAAAAAAAAAATTCTCATTCATCATAAAAGCAGATCAGACATAATGCTGATTTGTTTCTCACACTGTGGTTCTTATATTTTGACTGGGAAAATGTCATGCGCTCTTCTTTGGTTTGGCCTATGGAACACTCACGGTCACAGACTTGCACATTATTCTCGTCAAATTGAGCTTTTGATCGCTCATGAGTCATAATTATATCAAAGTACCATTGTGTCCACGCTCTAAGTATATATGAAGTGTTTCTGTGCGTCAGCTGCAGCGGCTCTTCTCTCAGAGCGCCGGCGACTTAGCATTAGCAAGTTCTCCTCTGTTATATAAGACCCACTTTGTTTAAAAGTGGTTGAGTGAATGCATGGGGTCCACAGGAGCAGCGAGGGAAGTTCAGAGCCAGCGGAATGGAGTGGGCTGCTGTGTTGTGCAAGCTTTTAATAGAGCCATGAATCTCCAGCATTACATCATAACTCCTTAGTCAAGTTTATTTATACGGCGTCCTTTCGCTAATGTTTGTAAAAGTCTCTGAGCCAAAATGGTCGGGCCCAACAGCTGAGGCTTGCAAAAACAGGCCTGAGTGTATGTAAATAAGATGAAAATGCAAAGTAGATCATGTCCAACTACAACACACATATACTGTAGTAGTAGTAGTAGTGGTAGTGGTGGTGGTGATAGTATTTAGGTTCAGCCTAAAAGTAGTCATTCATAATTTTTCTCTGATTCCTTGTTTGGATTAGCATGTTCATGTTGTTAGGTCGAGTGGTTCTTTTGGCTCCCCCTCTGCTCTGCTGCTGTTTGGCATCCCAGATATTGTTCTTTGATCGGCCCCAACAGTGACTCTGGATATGTCGAAGTCGAATAATCGTATTCTGCGCTCATTCCCCCACGTTTACACACAATATTCCTCGTGCTTCAGTGAAAGTAATGGGACAGTCCATTGTCCTGAATGAGCAGTCCCGGAGCCTGTTTGAGGTCAATTTTCAGAACGGTGCGACTATTGCACATATGTTGCACTGAATATAATTGAATATACCTGAATCCTTAGTTGTAGCTGACATAATATGAAAGAAAGAAAAGAAATGTAGCAAATGTTCAAAATGATGAGACTATTTACTTAATGTTTGGTTAAAAGTGTGAAAAAATGATTTGCATGATACGTGAATTTCACTCAAATCCTGCTTATATTTCAGGGTTTCTTCCGCAAGCGCAAAACCAACAACCTGGAGGCCTACGTCAACTGGTTCAACAGGCTCAGTTACCTGGTTGCCACGGAGATATGCATGGTAATGTGTCCATTCCCGGACGCTTCAAGAATGATTTGTCATCCAGAAACGATAAACTCCTGACACAAATCTGGTTTCTGATTGCAGCCGGCTAAGAAGAAACAGAGAGCACGCATCATCGAGTTTTTCATCGACGTGGCGCAAGAGTGCTTCAACATCGGCAACTTCAACTCCCTCATGGCAATCATCAGTAAGTGGAGGACAAGAGCCATTGCATTAGGTTTTGCGTCACAAGACATTTTCCGCTCTCTTATGATATAATAATGTCTTCTTTCTTTTGTAGCTGGGATGAACATGAGCCCTGTTTCACGCCTGAAGAAAACCTGGAGCAAAGTCAACACCGATAAATTTGACATTTTGGAGGTTAGTGATGTGATTAAAGCTGGGGTACCTGACTTTTCCCCCATACATGTTTGTCCCAATAGAAAGAGTCTTGCGTTGTTGTTGTTCATGTTGTGATTTTAATAGAAAACCTTGTTATATTTGGCATACTTTTACAAAAGAGCCCTTTGTGTCACTATTTGACTAGAAACAAACAAGAGCGAGGAACTAATTACATGGGTTTTATTACAGAGTTAATTTGTTTGTGGTTTGAAAGTTAAGTACCCCAGCTTTTAAGTAGTGTCATTATAACTGTGATAACTTTGGATTATGACCAACCTAAACTGTTAATGGATTTGGCCTTGCTATAAAACATAAAAAACACCTATTTGTTCTGGCTTAACAAATTGAGCCATTCCATTTCCTTTGTTTTTTATTTCTAGCTTTTTGGCTTCTCTCTCATCCCTATTTGTAATAATTGGTTAGTGGTGAGCAGCACTTCAGTAATAACATCATTGACATTCCCTCGCAGTGGAGACTGTTCACTATTCTGTTATTCTGAAACCCATGGGTTGTATAAATAGAGCTTGGCATGTGTTTTAGAGTACGGTTGTGTGGAAACATGTAATAATTTTGAAATTACTTTGACATCACCGTCTAACAACCAGGAAGCAACATTATGAATGTAACCAAAATTACAAGGCAATACTCGCCAACACCAAATTGAACTGCATTTTAGTGGATTCAAACCTCACTTGAGCTCTAAAACTTAAAGCTCAAATGAGAAACATTTCAGGGATTAAATGGATTTACACATACAGTGGCAAAATTACTCACACAACTGTTGATCATGACCACAAATGTAAACATAAGGATTTTATTTTAAGGCTGCAACAACTTAAACAGCTGTGAAGTGGAGGCCAAAATTATTAAAATAATTCCCAAAATAAATAATTGAAAAGTGGAGCTTGCAAGTTGCATTGGTACTTGTGATAAGCCATCGTAAATGACATATTTATTTCTGAAAACTATCACATCAACACCTTCTTCAGACTTTTACTGTATTTTGTTGTGTATTTCTGAGCTGAAATGTTGGCTCCAAGACAGTTTAAATAGTATTGAAGAAATTGTAACCTCTGTGTGATAAAACATTTGTCTAACCCCACAGCATCAAATGGACCCATCCAGTAACTTCAGTAACTACCGCACTGCGCTCCGTGGCGCCACCCAGAGGTCAGAGACGGCACACAGCAGTCAGGAAAAGGTCAGCATGTCCGGAGTACACGTCTGATGTAACAAGAAACACAGACTTAAGATCTACTCTTTGGAATTTCAGATTGTGATTCCGTTCTTCAGCCTTCTCATCAAAGACATTTACTTTCTGAACGAAGGATGTGCCAACAGGCTCCAAAACGGACACATCAACTTTGAGGTGAGATTTCTTCGCTAAACTATAAAAATAGGTTACTCCTCTGCTATTATGTAAGTGGTCACTGCTGTAGCGCCTCAATCAGTGGTATAGAGGAGGCAAGAGCAATGTCGCCCCCTTGTGGTAGAAACGACAAAATCAACGTCATATGGGAAGCTGTAATGGAGTGGTATAGAACTAATATTTCAAGAAACATATTAAGGATGCAACATCTAGTATATGAATAATACAAACATTATTCTATGTTTACTGAGTCATACAGCTAAGACCCGAACCGCTGGTTTAGAAGCATTCCCTTAAATTACACATGTGCTGTCCTCCGGAAATATTTAACATTTTGAACACTTTTGAAACTTGAACGCAGTAGCTCAAAATTCCTTAAGGTAAAAGCTGGGGTAATCACCTCTCTAACCACAGTAAGGTATGCTAGTATGTAATAAAATCCAACATACAACCGTAGTTCTTCGCCCTTAAAAGGACTTGATTCATTAGGTTTCACGTGAATGTATCGATTTGACCTCTTTAGATCTTATTTTTAGACAGAAAAGTGAAAACGAGAGGATCCTCCCTCACTCAGCTAATCTACGCTCAGCAACAAAAAGTCAAATAGTGGCTCTTTCTCACAAGTATAAGATAAAAAATGTTCCTGTAAGTTAAAGACAGCATGTTGCGTTAGGTACTTCTGCTTTAAGTATATTAGAAAATCAACATATTTGTATACATTTTATGAACGAAGCAAGCACCCAGAAAATGTGGAATAATTCTAAATGTCAGTATGTATTTAATATCTCTGGGAGTGGTTTTATTGCGTTTCCCCTCATAAACTGTGTTCCTATCTCTTCCTCTGATCAGAAACTGTGGGACCTGGCCAAGCAGGTGAGCGAGTTCCTGGTGTGGCGTCAGGTGGTCTGTCCGTTTGACAGAGACCGGCGCGTGCTGCAGTATCTGGTCACCACTCCGGTCTACAGCGAAGACGGTCAGTGCCAAATACATACATTTATAGTATTGAACATTTAAGTCACACTGATGTTTTAATGGACCGTTTGTTTTACAGAGCTGCACTTGGCTTCATATGAAAGTGAAGGGCCTGAGAACAACATGGAGAAGGACAGCAGGAGATCCCTAAGGTATTATTCTATGCTATATTCTATCTCATTCAATATTTTGTGTGGGTATTTTATTTTCTCATTTTGCTTTAAATTTTTGTATAATTTTTTGATTTATTTTTACCCTTTTATGGTTTAATTACTGTAGATAACAGCCATCTGACACACAATTCAAACATAACACATTAGGACAAACATTACGAACCATCTTACTATACTTATATATATAAGCTATACTTAAACAACATGGAGGCACACAATACAATGCTAGAAAAACACTTGTAGAGCACAAACCGCTGCTAAAAGGCACAGTTCCATTCCATTAAAAATATACCATTCCTGAGCTTTTTAGTGAATTTCTTAAAAATCTGCCCATAACCTTTGGAGTTACAGTGCCTTGCGAAAGTACCTGTTGGAGTCTGCAAAAGACCTGAGACTGGGACGGAGATTTATCTTCCAACAGGACAATGATCCAAAACATAAAGCCAAATCTACAATGGAATGGTTCACAAATAGACGTATCCAGGTGTTAGAATGGCCAAGTCAAAGTCCAGACCTGAATCCAATCGAGAATCTGAGGAAAGAGCTGAAGACTGCTGTTCACAAACGCTCTCCATCCAACCTCACTGAGCTCCAGCTGTTTTGCAAGGAAGAATGGGCAAGAATTCCAGTCTCTCGATGTGCAAAACTGATAGAGACATACCCCAAGCGACTGGCAGCTGTAATTGCAGCAAAATGTGGCGCTACAAAGTATTAGTGCAAGGGGGCTGAATAATATTGCGCTCCCCACTTTTCAGTTTTTTATTTGTTAAAAAAAGTTTAAATTATCCAATACCTTTCGTTCCACTTCACGATTGTGTCCCACTTGTTGGCGAAATGTTGAAAGGTTCAAGGGGGCCGAATACTTTCGCAAGGCACTGTATACTGTATTTCTAACAGACAGACAAGTTTACACACAAAACACACAGAATAATGGTCCTGGGAGAGATATTATTCATTGACCATACCCAAGATTGTACCTTCAAAAAACAACGGATGCGTATTTCCCTCCTCACAGAACCTGTAATTTTATAATTTATTTAGTTTAGTTGTTTAGCCTATGAACACAACAGCATCAGTATAAGACGAGGAGTTGCAGCACTTGGCAAAATACTTGAATGCGTTGTTGTTGGTTTGAACTTTGTGTGAATGTGGGGTATTTTTGTTGTTTATTTCCAGATCTTCCCTTCTGCATCGGGAGAACCGGTCCTAAACCACGACCAGCTTCTTTGCACTGCAGACTGAAATTGAACTGCCAACCAGAGACAATTGCTCAGTATATCATTCCCCAAAACCAAATGTAACATTTTGGACCAGAATGAAACCCGATGTGCAGCTAACGCCATCAAGACACTTTTTTGTATAATTCTTCATCTACGAGACGAGCTACTGCAAGTTGACTTTGGTGGTTCTCAGTCAGTGCCAGGCATCTTGATCACCCTTTAACGTCTCCAGAAAAGGACTGGATGTTTTTCAGGATTTTACGAGACGGTTGTTATTTTTACGTGTCAAGAGAAGCTTCTTACAAGTCAGCTCCGTCAAAGGCACTTACAGAAGGAGATGGTCCACAAATGCCTCACCAACTCAATATGAACTGGAACCTCTGAGACTTCCGCAGATGGAAAACACGGCTCTACTACATGTATCATAGTCCTACAAGCAAAGAGGCCTTCACCGCTGCTCTCCTGATGTCAATGGCAATCGCTTTAGCCGTGCCTGCGTTCTAATACCCTTAACGCATCTCAAGAGGTGGGTAGATGCAGCTGAAATCACGTTAAAGACCTTTTCAAGAGAAATTTTCTGACAGCAGGAATATTCAGTTAACATATGATCTGTTGTGGTTTGTTATAGACTTCCCACAATTCCATAGTGACAAATGCATTATGTTGACTAGAGTAAATTTGGCAGCATTTGTATCTGTGATGCAATGTCTGTATATTATTTGGAAATCTATCTGAAACTAGAATCAATACTAAAAATAATGACATAAACAAGATGAAGATTTGACATTTTTGGAGTAACTATTTCAGAACCTATAAAAGAGTTGTATTATTTTGAGTTAAACATTAAAATGTATTGTCCAAAAATAACATTTATTGCTGTGGCGTTTAAATTGGTATCAAGTTTTATTTTTTCTAGTGTAGTATTGTGAAAACACTAATTTTGTCTCAACTACAAATCAGATTTTTCAAACTCAAGTCTTTGCTTTTTAATTTAAAATTGTGTGACATTTGGACAAGTTTGTTGGCTCCTCTACCCACCTCTTAATCATTTATTTTACATCAGCAACATTTGACCACCATTCGCCACAATGCTTTGTATCCAGTTCAAAATGATGATGTTTGCAAAAGACATGATTCGTGATCAGTCCGTCCAACTTTCTCTGTCGCACTTTGGCGATGTATTGTCATGTGTTTTGAGAGCTGTGGTAATCCCCGTTTCGAGGGCATCTCCTTTATAAACAGTATTATTTTGTATTTTGTATTGGAAGTTATGTATTTTTTGTAAATCATGAGCTTGTTGCTGGTTAGCTGGCTCTGTTTTTTGTAAGCTACTAGTTATAGTTTTTTGCTTTTGCCAATCGCTTTTTGTGAGTGGGCAAAGAGCAGGCTGTAATTGAACCTGTGTGTGTGTGTGTGTGTGTGTGTGTGTGTGTGTGTGTGTATGTGTGTATATCGTACATCAGCTGAACAGGAAACTCGCCTTTTCCTCTCATCTCCAGTGATCATGTGAAAAGCCTTGTGATGCATTTGTGTTTGTAAAAAAAAAAAAAAGCTTGTTTTAAAAGTGTTTTCATATATTTTATTATTTTGTGTAACGTTTGTGACGCCTGTAAGGGAACCTGTAAGAGTGTTTGTGAAAAGAGAAATGTATATTTTCCCTTGAATAAAATAATCCTAAATAATGGTTTATGGCTCTGCATTGATTTCCTTACTATATACAATCCAGGAAAGGACAGTTTGTGTATCATTAAAAAACTTTTATTTACAAAGAACATTGGGAATTCACAAGGCACAACAAAAGGTGGCATGTCATTTCTTTTAGTGACTCTGGACTCTGCTGAAGTTCATGCAGCGACCCTGCAAACATGAAACATTATTATTCTGATAATCTGCCATTATTGATGATGAAATGACTTGACAATGAGGAAAGTCATTTATTCCTCCACCATCTCGCTTGCATCATCAAGTAAATTTAACATTTCAAATGGTTTGAAAGCTTGTGTGTATTTGTATGTACAACGTCAAAGTATACGTGTTGATGGGAGAATATGGTTTTGTATGGGGCTAGGTTGTGTCTGAAATAAATATTGTTTGACTGACCTTGTCCTGTGGTGTCGGCCTCATAATCGCCACTCTGTCATATTGGCGTCTCAGCAAAGCCAGCAAAGCATCAAAACGGCCCTGAAAATAAAATAAAAACAATTAATGAATCAGCTTTAAAAAGATATACATACATTTTATTATTTTAATGCAGTGATTGAAACGTGTGCGGCAACCAATAAATCTCCTTTCAAAAAACAGTACAACAATAACCAATGACCAATGAAAAAGCAGTGTAAAATGTGCAGTTGAACTGGTACCTTGATGGGGGTGTACCATTTGGACTGTGGAGGGGGGTGGTAAACAGGAGGAGGTCTCGGTGGGGGTTTTGGGATGATGACATCTTCGTCATCTTCTGCCAGAGTCACTACAGCGTTTTTGGCTTTCTCCAGCCGCGAACCTTCTTCAGTGGAACCTTTCTGACCCCAGCGCACCTAAAGGCCACCATTACAACAATTTAAATTCAATACACAGCAAAAATAATGGTATAATAAGGGTTTTTAGTTTGATTTGAGTAAACATTGCTCAAGGCTGGGGTACCTACATTTCAGATCACACAATTGGAACTATGTAATGTAAATGTAACTAATTCCTTGCTCTTAAATTAACTTTTTTGTATCACTCGTTTTCAGATGCGTGCATTTTTTGCGGTCTGTCACATCTTTAGTTCTGCTTTATTTAGACAGAAAAGAGAGATAGAGAGGAACACCCCTACTCAGCCAATCAGCTCTCAGTCCAAAGCTTCATATAGTGACTCAAAAGTACCGTATATGCAAAAAGATGTTTTTTTTAAGTTGTATAGTTCACAGCATTTGACCTTACCGTTATCTAATTAGGCACCCCAGCTTTAAGTCAAGTAATTTCACACCTGAAAGTATATACATGCAATACGAAAGAAAGAAGATGCTTGTTTACCCATTTAAAATAACATTTATTTTTCTAAATTTTGCAGTGCACTATGCATGTTTTTGATTTCCATCTCATGCTGTACCTCCATTCTCTTGATTCCTCCCGCTCCTCTGCCTCCATAATATGAAGCATCGACGGTTGGCCACTTATTCTTGGGCAGTAAGTCGTCCTCTACCTCCTAAAACATCAAATATATCATACACAAACACACAGTATCAGTACCAGTGGTCAGTGGTGGAGGAATACTCAACGGGCTCACTGGAGTAGAAAGAACCAAAACAAGAAATACTTAAAGCGACTGAATACATCTCTCTGTTAGTGAAATAAACCTTAAGCTTTAGATGAGAAATGGAAATGGATTTCAGAGAGGTCAAGAACGAGCCATGTTTGTTTGGAGACAAGTATGGACTTTAGCGACTTATTATAGTGACAACAAGAATGAAGATCTGTTTGTGTATTATTGCTTTAGAATGATATGTGGAAGTATTTGAATCATTATTTAGGAAAGTATAGTACTGAGTAAAATAGCCAGAGTTCCTTGTAAGTTGTATCAATAGCCTATTTTCAAACCCACAAATGTAAAAACTTGTATACAGAATGTCAGGATAAAAACACTAAAACACATTTGAGTTATTTCAGTACTATTGGAACTATAATACATTTCTATCATTTCTATAATTAAGTTAATAGTGCCCTCTTGTGGTCAGATGCATGAGCTAGAATCAATCCTTGCTAATGTTTCTGCAAAAATGAAAGATTTTGCTTTTGTTTTTAGAACTCGGAACGTTTGAAACAGCTCTATGTGTTTCTTATTTTACAGTGTCTTATTTGAGTATTTTAGAATTATAAAAAAACGGAGGAGTTTTTATTTCGGAATACAAAATATATTAATTTACTTTGAATCTGAAAAGACAGATAATCAAAAATCATGAATGGGGAAAATATAAAATGAAGGAAGATTCACTCACAATAACAGGCGGTGGAGGAGGAGGGGGTCGGTCAGGCGGAGGGTCTCGGATCACCTGAGATAAAACAATTAAAACAAAAACATTTCATACATTATTTAATATATTTGCATTGGGAAAGGAAAAACCAGTGTAAATCCAGACTGACCACTGTGCAGCAGAGCGGCCAGAACCACCAGAAGAGCAGCAGAGCCAGAAACAGCAGCAGAGCCAGCAGGAGCCACAGCAGCCACATCCCATCAGACTGTGGACACATTAACGCCATCACAAGTTTTCAATGTCATTCCAAATCCTAGTGTGGTGTAGGGGTCGCCTGAACAAAGAAATTCTGAATCTCAGTGGAACTAGCCTTGCTATATTTTCCAATGTGGTTTTACTGCAAATGGCAAATAAATGAATCTGAATCTGAATCTATATATACGTACAGTAGGTCAATGTGTTATTTATTTATCACTAGTTTCGGAAGTGCAATTATTTAACAAATTGACATTATTGGGCTTCATAAATGTGTTACTTTTTCTGTCTCTATTTGTAGATTATTTCTATGTAAGGATTTTTATGAAATTATCTTTTACTTTTGAAATGAGAGCAGTTCTAATGAGAACCTACAACAGTACCTCTTGTTACCATAGCAACATACTGTTTACTTGCTAGCAGTTAGCATTTGGTAGCCTTTCAACAAACTGCTTTTTGCTGTTTTTGAAGTTTGAGCACTTCATAAGTAAAGGTACAAAACCTTATAAATAACTTACTTCAATACAAAATATAAACATTTTTGGAAATTTCTACGAATTCCATTGGTTTGAATGAGAACAGTCAAAATGACGGCTCTGAGAGTTCTATTTGTTTCATTATTGCGGGAGTCCTAGTGTTAATAATATCATAATGAAGTAAGAACTTATGTTATAACAGTACAATCCAGTACAGTTGAAAGGGTTGAAATACATGTAGTATGCAAATTGCAAATAAACTGTGATGTCCGAGTTAAAGCTGGGGTACCTATAAGTTTAAGATTAATAGATCCTGTATTCATCCCACAGTGGGGACATTTCAGTGTTGCATCACAAGTAGGAATGAGGAGCGCATGAAACAAAATAAGTGAATATTAAGTAGAGCACAACTCTAAACTAAGAAAGTCGGACAAATCTAATAGTAAGAACAAATAAAAGTCCTGTTGTGTGTGTAGCGTAGGTGTGTGTGGGTGTGCGTGTGTGTGTGTGCGTGTTCCCCAGATTTCAATGCATGATACTCACACAGGTTTCAGCTGAGATGACAATAGGACTTGAAATGTAGGACTGTCCATTGTTCAGACTCACCAGCACCTCTATAGATCTGGAAAAACATCATCACATCACACACAATAATAAGACTTTATTCTGGTATCTTTGGAGATGTGTGATGAGGTGAGAGAAGACAGAGGCAGCTTCACTCTGGCACCATCTAAAAGTGCCACTTATATATTTTGGTCCAGCACTGAGACTCCAAGATAAACTGGCTGTAGTAAAAATATGTCAAGAGCAACACGCTTCTATCTACGTTGTCAAAAATAGTCTAAAGATAGACTTGTGTATGTGTATTTGAACTGCATGTTTTAAAAGTAGTGTTTTAAACACCCGTCCTGTGCGAATGTTAACATTCTTGCAGCCAGTGTTTATGACGTCGGTGACAGAAACATGTCAGATATTAAAAGTAATGGCCGCTGGTGCTTATATAACAATTTAATGACATCTTGTATTTATACTAGTAACGTTCACTCCAGTGTACTTGGGTTTGGACTCTGGACTCAGATGTCCAGTTCTCTGTTTATTGGCCATGTGTTGAGGTATAATAGAGCTGTGTGCAGTGAAGGCCTAAAATGTATATTCTCCACAATTCTCTGAAAACTATTTGTGATTTGACCATGATTTGCCTCCTTTGATTGGGCCATACCTTGCTCCGCCCCCAAGTCTAAAATTCAAGCATCATTGCACCAGCTTCGTCTTTTGTTGTGGAGAAATGTATAAATATGTTACGAGTCGGACAAAGAACCCAAGTGCAGAGGTAACAAAAAGTTTAATTAACAAAAATAGGTAGACTCAAAACACAGGAGAGCCGGGAATGGGGCTGGGACCAGGCGGGGCAGGGCTGGGTGCAGAGCTTGGGTCAGGCGGTGCTGGGCTGGGGTCAGGCGGTGCGGAACGGAGGTCTGAGGCAGAGCAAAACAAAGGTGAGACAAAAGTAACGAGAGCGATAAACAAGCAGGCCTACTAACGCACAGTAACACTGATTACAAACTGGCACCAATGAGCTGGCTTCTGGAGCTCTTGTAGTAGCTTGATTGGAGCCAGGAGGCAGCTGGGCCTGATCAGCCTCTCCCATCCACCTGCTCTGGGAGGCGGCTCCAGGAGAAGCAGGGGAGGGAGGGGCTGCTGGAGGAGCAGCCCTGACAGTACCCCTCCCCCTACTGACGCCCCCAGGCGGACACACACGCCTCCCCGGTCGACGAGCGTAGAAGTCCCGTATGAGGGACGGGTCCAGGATGTTGCCACGGGAGACCCAGCATCGCTCCTCGGGGCCGTAACCTTCCCAGTCCACCAGGAACTGGCAGCCACGACCACGCTATCGAACATCCACGATCCGCCGAACGGTAAAGGCAGGATGGTCGTCCACCAACCGAGGCGGGGGTGGGGCTGGACGGGGGGGAACCAATGGACTAGACTGGACAGGCTTAACACGGGACACATGAAACGTGGGGTGAATCTTCAAGGAAGAGGGAAGCTTGAGACGTACCGCGGAGGGGTTGACGACCTGTTCCACCTCAAAGGGCCCGATAAAGCGGGGCGACAGCTTCGCAGATTCCACCTTGAGGGGAATGTCTCTCGTGGACAGCCACACCTTCTGTCCAGGCAAATAGGCAGGAGCCTGGATGCGGCGGCGATTAGCCTGTACTTGCGTCCGAGCAGAGGCGCGCAGCAAGGCAGAGCGGGCCTTCTTCCAAGTCTTTTGACATCTGCGAAGGTTATCCTGGACCGAGGGCACTGCCAACTCAGCCTCTTGGTCAGGAAACAGGAGCGGTTGATAGCCGTAACAACATTCAAAAGGGGACATACCTAAAGAAGCGCTCGGGAGTGTGTTATGGGCATATTCCACCCAGGGAAGGTGAGAACTCCAGCTGGACGGATTAGAGGAGGACACACAACGTAGAGCCACCTCCATCTGCTGGTTAGCCCGCTCCGTCTGGCCATTAGTCTGGGGGTGATAGCCAGAGGAAAGGCTCACGTTAATATTCAGGGCAGAACAGAAGGCCTTCCAAACCTGAGCCGTGAACTGGGGGCCTCTGTCAGACACGATGTCGGCAGGAATGCCATGCAGCCGGAAGACGTGGTTCACCAACAGGTCTGCAGTCTCCTTAGCAGAAGGAAGTTTAGGAAGGGGTACAAAGTGAGCAGCCTTTGAGAACCGGTCCACAACTGTCAGCACCACGGAATTACCATTAGAAGGCGGGAGGCCGGTAACAAAATCCAGCGCTATGTGAGACCAAGGGCGATTGGGGATGGGTAGAGGACGCAGCAACCCAGATGGGGGCTGGTTAGAACATTTATTCTGGGAGCACACGTTGCATGCAGCAATGAAGTCCTTAGTATCCCTCTCCATAGTAGGCCACCAGAACTTGCGCCTGAGCACAGCGAGGGTACGACTAACCCCAGGGTGGCATGTAAGGTGGGTGCAGTGTGCCCATTGAATAACTTCTGAACGAACGGGGTCAGGAACAAACAAGGAACTCGGGGGTCCCGTCCCCGGATCCGGGTGGGTCAGTTGCGCATGATGCACTCGTGACTCTATCTCCCATGTAACGGTAGCCACTATACGGGACAAAGGCAGAATAGTGTCATTCTCAGGAGCAGGATGTGCACCGCAATAAACTCTGGACAAGGCATCTGGTTTCAAGTTCTTGGAGCCAGGGCGATAAGTGACAGAGAAGTTGAAATGGTCGAAAAAAAGGGCCCACCTGGCTTGCCTTGAGTTGAGACGCTTGGCTGTCTGGATATACGTGAGGTTCTTGTGATCCGACCAGACCACAAAGGGGTGAGTAGCCCCCTCCAGCCAGTGACGCCACTCCTCTAGGGCCAGCTTGATTGCCAGGAGCTCTCTGTTACCGATGTCGTAGTTTCTCTCTGCAGAAGACAGTTTACGAGAGAAAAAAGCACATGGATGCAATTTCTGATCAGTGGGTGACCTTTGCGAGAGTATAGCCCCCACTCCTGTGTCAGAGGCGTCCACCTCTACTACAAACTGGAGTTCAGGATTGGGCTGAATAAGCACAGGGGCAGAGGTGAACCGGTCCCTAAGTTGCTTAAAAGCCAAGTCAGCCTCAGGAGTCCATGCGAAATTGGAAGAAGTGGAGGTAAGTGCAGTCAGGGGGCCGCAATGTGGCTGAAATTGCGGATGAATCTCCTATAGAAATTAGCAAACCCCAAAAAACGCTGTACCTCCCTGCGACTGGTGGGGATAGGCCAATCACGGACAGCAGACAGCTTTTCAGGATCCATCTGCACCTGGCCCCGGGCAATAATGTATCCTAAGAATGAGACAGAAGGTTCATGAAACTGACATTTCTCTGCCTTAACAAATAACTTGTTCTCCAGGAGTCTTTGGAGGACACTGCGGACATGGCGCCTGTGAGTCTCGATATCTCTAGAAAAAATCAAGATGTCGTCAATGTAAACAAAAACATATCTCCCAATCATGTCACGTAGGACGTCATTTACCAGGTTTTGAAACACGGATGGGGCGTTAGTGAGACCAAACGGCATGACCAGGTATTCAAAATGGCCCAGGGGAGTATTAAAGGCAGTCTTCCACTCATCCCCCTCCCTGATGCGCACCAGGTGATAGGCATTGCGCAAGTCCAATTTAGTGAAAATAGTAGATCCACAGAGAGGGGTGAAGGCTGAACTAATCAAAGGGAGTGGGTACTTGTTCTTAACAGTGATTTTATTGAGGCCCCGGTAATCAATGCAGGGCCTAAGAGACTTATCCTTTTTCTCAACAAAAAAAAATCCAGCACCCACCGGAGAGGACGAGGGCCTGATTATTCCCACTGCCAGGGATTCCTGAATGTACCTCTCCATAGACTCGTTCTCCGGGCGCGAGAGGTTGTACAGGCGGCTGCTCGGTAGAGGCGCCCCAGGAAGCAGGTCTATGGCGCAATCATAAGGCCGGTGAGGGGGGAGAGAAAGAGCCCGATCCTTGCTAAATACAGCACCAAGGTCGTGATACTCAGAGGGCACTACCGACAGATCCGGAGGGTCTGGGGGCGGGGTGGATCGAAAACAAACTGGGGTCAGGGCCGACTGCAAGCAATAAGAATGACAGAATGGGCTCCATGAAATGATACTCTTAGCTGACCAGTCAACATGAGGATTGTGCAACCTTAACCATGGCAACCCCAAAACAAGAGGAGAGTGAGTACAATCAAAAACATGGAAGGAAATAGTCTCCTTGTGGTTACCTGAGAGATGGAGGATTGGGAGAGTCTTCCTCGTGACTCTGGCGAGTAACTGCCCATTCAATGCCTTAGCCTCCAAAGGGGTGTCCAGAACTTCGGTCCCAATTCCCAGCTGGTGAACGACCTCACTGTCCAAAAAGCTCTCATCTGCCCCAGAGTCAATGAGCACAGGAAGCGTTAGGGTTTGATCAGAAAAAACAAGGGTGCCCTCAAAACTGGCTCTTAAGGGAGAGGTGCCACTAATTTGGCTCAACAGTACGTCTCCCACTACTGTTGAGCCCGACCTTTTGGCCGTGCAGGACAAGATGCGATAAAGTGCCCAATCTGACCGCAATAGAGACAGCTCCGGGAGTTAATGCGGCGTTCTCTCTCCTCTGCACTGACGAGGGCTCGGCCAAGCTGCATGGGCTCTGGTCCCGGCGTGGCTGGAGGTGGAACAGGCGGTGTCGCTGGAAAAACAACTTGTGGAGAGTTGTAAACATTCACATATTTCGTCCTACCCGCTCTCTCACGTCGCCGCTCCCTGAGCCGGTTGTCCACACGAATGGTCAAATCAATTAAATCATTGAGGCTACCAGGAACGTCACGGGAATCTCGTCCTTGAGATTCTCCGACAGAGAATTAAGAAATGCTCCCAGAAGCGCCTCATCATTCCACCCCGATTCAGCTGCGAGTGTGCGAAATTCAATGGCCAACTCAGCTACACTGCGGTTCTCTTGACGCAGGGAAAATAGTCTCTTAGCCGCCTCCTTGCCACTAACAGGATGGTCAAAAATCTGCCTCATAGCAGCAGTAAAATCGTAATAGGAATCACAAATTGGATCCTGTCTCTCCCAAACTGCGGAGGCCCAATTAAGAGCATGGCCTCGAAGGCATCCAATTAAGTATGAAATCCTGGCTCGATCATTAGCATAACTTAGCGGTTGTTGCTCAAAAATAAGGGAACACTGGGTCAAAAAAGACTTACATGACCCCCAGGTCGCCGTGGTACGGTGCCGGTGGAGGAACAAAAACATCTCTGGTAGGAGGAGGCAGGACTAGCGATGGGGCAGCAGAAGGAGCAGAAATATTATCAGTGGCCGTTGTGTTGATTACTTGAGTCCTCAGGCTTGCCAGGCTGATAGAAAACTCCTTCATGTGTTCCATGAGGGCCTTGAGCGTATTGTCATGTTGCTCCAACAGAGACATCTGGGCAGAAAGGGTCTGGTTGATGTGGTCTGCTGGGTTCATTCTTTGGCCAGTTCGTACTGTTACGAGTCGGACAAAGAACCCAAGTGCAGAGGTAACAAAAAGTTTAATTAACAAAAATAGGTAGACTCAAAACACAGGAGAGCCGGGAATGGGGCTGGGACCAGGCGGGGCAGGGCTGGGTGCAGAGCTGGGGTCAGGCGGTGCTGGGCTGGGGTCAGGCGGTGCGGAACGGAGGTCTGAGGCAGAGCAAAACAAAGGTGAGACAAAAGTAACGAGAGCGATAAACAAGCAGGCCTACTAACGCACCGTAACACTGATTACGAACTGGCACCGATGAGCTGGCTTCTGGAGCTCTTGTAGTAGCTTGATTGGAGCCAGGAGGCAGCTGGGCCTGATCAGCCTCTCCCATCCACCTGCTCTGGGAGGCGGCTCCAGGAGAAGCAGGGGAGGGAGGGGCTGCTGGAGGAGCAGCCCTGACAAAATACCTCTGAGTTTGACCTGTTGCTTTTTTCTACTTGCCCTGTTCTCAAATGCAGATTGCCTGATGCATTTATTCTCTTTAGAACGGTCACCTCACCATATTCTCCTGCCAACTCTCCATCCATAAGCCCCGGTGATCCAAGATGGCGGCCTATTCAAATCAATGGCTTGTGCATGGGCACCGAAAGATTAGTGGAACTCGCCATTATTTGGCCATTTCTCTGGTCCCAGCTTGGCTATGCGCAGTGTACGAGCTCCCATGATGCTTTGCGCCAAATACTAACAAGCACGAGTGTGTGTGGCTCTCATGCATGTGCATAGAGGGGCCAGTGGTAGTAGGTCCCAGCTCAAAAAGGTCCATGAGCATGTGCGCTGACAGGCTTGTAATCTGACTCCTTATCGATGGTGGCGCACCCGGAAACAGAATTATCCAATGCTTTCTTATGGCGCCTGATATCCTCACGGAATTATAGCCTGGTCCAGCCTAGTTTAGCTGCTGTGGACTTTTGAATGAACGCAATAAATGAACGGCATGTGTCAGGCACGTGCCGGCCTCCGCTCCGAAAGTGGACTTTGTTGCTCTGTTCTATTCATGATAGAGTATGTTTTACAAGCACAGCTTGTACAAAAGCAGCATGTACCAAAAGACAACTTTGATGGTGAGAACTTCCCATTTTACGCTGTCATTATGCTGTCATCAAGTATTGTCCCCCGTGTCTAGTTTTATAACCACCTCCAGTGTTGTTGCCGTCTAAATTGCGTGTCTTCATCCTAAAAAAAGACTTCCTTGTGAGTGGGAATACCCATTCAAAGTTATTTAATTCTACATTCCTTCAACACCAGAACTCCCAGAGCAGTCAAACTGACATGAATTAGTTTTGGAAGCGTACTTTTCTGGCCTTCATAACTTTGACTTATCCTGAATTTATATGTAGTTTGTTAGGGTTATTATCTTTATGAAATCTTTTTTTTTTTTTTACTGTGAGAAGTACATTTCAAATTTAGCCATTTTTGGTGGCTGCGTTCTTTGGCAGTTACCGCTTTTCTCCAAGGTTTTGGACACACTTGCTGCAGTTAGCATTTGGTTGCTTTTCATCAAACTGTTTTTGCTGTATTTCGGTTATATTTTAATATGTGTTTTATATCTAAAGGTTAGAGAAAAGCGTATAGATGACTGCTCTGGAGTAGTTTTAGAATTCTGGGAGTCCTAGTTTTTATTTATTTATTACAACTGCCCGATGGCTTTGACGGCTGGGTTCATCAATATTCAAAACGTAATGTCAAAGATATGCCTTTCCTCAAAGTCCCATAGTTTCTTTTTAAAACTGTGTATGTGCAGTGGTCTTACTGTCCGGCCTGATGGAGCACAGGAGCAGGGCACAGCAGATGGCCGTCTCTCACCACTGACGGCTTCTGGTCTGAGGCAGAGAAGAAAAACACAAGGGTGTGGCATCAGAGAGACTGCTGTGTAAATGTGTGGTTATTGTATTAACTGGGATACACAATTACCATATTTAACTTTAGTACCCTTTGGACACTCGGGCCTTTTCTCTTCTACTACATTTACTATCACTAACTTCATCTGCAACAACTTCTCAAACTATTCAAATCAGTAATTAGTTTGGAAGTGACTTTTCCACCCCCATTATCTACAGCTACATGTGCATTGTATTATAAAGAAAAAAGCAGAATCCTTCCAACTGTTACAAAAAAAATGAGACTATGAAATATCAAGCTGCAAAATGTGTTGTACCAGCTATTTCTGAAAGCAAGTCGATATAGCATTACATGGAAAACATCTGTGATAGAGAAGTGGGATCTAATTATCAGTTCAAGTAGAGTTCATGGCGTAATTCAAAATGGTTGGCCATGTATTGAGAGAAGTAATGTCTCCTCCTCACATCGATCTGTTTATAGACTCTGAAGAGATCCTGCATAATGCCCTCTCTGTTCCCTTCAGTGGGGGCGATAAAACACTTCTGCTGTTTGTCCCATGATGCCAGCTGTTGCTATGGTCACTGGAACATCACTGCAAAAACAGATCTATCATTTGTTTTAAATCTGGATCAAGCTGAATTTTTACTGTCTTGTTCTAAAAACTTTAATTAACATAAACTCTTTGCAACTCTATATTTACTTCAGTTTTTTGCAGTGATGTTCTCGTAACTAAATCATGGGACCAAGGGACAAACAACAGAACACAACATTTACTGAAATCACGATTGATACTAATTTATTTTTGACATTTTTTGCAGTGTGGGCTTTGTTTAAATTCTGGCAGCCATTAAAGATTGTCCTTTGGTGCCAAATTATTATACCAAAGAAAATTATGTCCATCCATCCATTTTCTTCCCCTTAATCCATTTCTGGGTCGGGGGGGTGGCAGTCAGAGCTGCACCCAGTCACAGAGCACCAGCCCCTCACTGATCCTTCTGCAGGGGGTGAGTCCACAGGAGCTGAGATCTTTCAGCGGGAGCTTCAGGCAAAGTGGGGTTTAGTGTCTTGCCCAAGGACACAACGACAGCAGTCATCAGTGTGAGTCGTGAAGTAGGTCTTATGGTGGGCTTGAACCCACGACCTTCAGGCCCAAAGGCCAATGCTCTACCAACTGAGCTACTGTCGCCCCCGAAAATTATGTCAAATCAGGGAAAACTAAAGTGTACTATTTTTAAACTGGTTTGTGGCCCTAAACCCACTGAAAATACTTCAATCCAAACATAGATGGAATCATGCAGAATCCATCTACTGTATGTTTGTCTTTCAATGCACCATATTGACACAGCTAAAGTGAATCGTCTTTTCACAACCTTATTCTTTGAAAATAACATTTAAAAGTATGATAAATTATTAGAATATGTGAAAATAAATGTGTTCAATGGAATGGCTGATGAAAATTGGCATGATTCTTAATATACTTTAAGTTTTTATGGTGGTGTTCTATCCACTGGTTAGTTTCAAATTCAATGTATTTTTGTATTGCCAATTTACAACATCAGTCATTTCTGAGGATTTTTCAGGACAGATTAGGGAATTAAACAGTTAGAATACAAAGAATGGAATTATAACAAAAATACAGAGCCATTGATCAGTGTTCATGAATGTGCTTAAATATGTCCCAAATCAACACCTCCTGCATTGGCAAGGAACAACCCAACAAAAACAGATCTATGTCTATCTCTTTGGAGAAAGCTTTTTTTTTATATATAGTTATTGATGAAGAAAGGGCACTCGTAATTGGATTTCTGAATAAAAGCCATGAGCGGTTGCTGCTGGACTGTAATCCAGATGAATGAAGCAGTAATGCACTCACCATAAGTGTTGTGGTCCACAGTGATCACGCACACGACATTATCTATCCTCTTAGAGCCGCTGAAGCCACTCCCACTCAGCACAATGTTAAACGACTCTGGAAGACAGTTGATTAAATATACATGCGAAAAATGTGTGTGATTTATAACAATTATATAACATTTTCATACAAAGTTATGCTATGTTGTGGACCTTTTATGATTTGATACTTTGATTTATTTTGTAACATGGGTTGTCCTGTCCCCTTTGAGTTTCTCGTTCCTGTCTGTTATCATGAAAATGTAATCATTGCTGTACATACTAGGCCCAAACCAATTGTCATTTCTAAAAAATGACAGAAGGACTCAAAATGTGCCTGACTACAAAGAATATGTGATTTAAAGATGCGGTCAATGATTTTTTTCCAGACGCATTTTTTAAAATATTTTGGGAAAACGTCCCTAAACCCTTAAAGGAGCAATATGTAATATTTGCATGTCAAGTCATCATTAAATGACCCGAATATTTCAAAAGGCGTTATTAAATCATACTCTTTTCGAATTCATCTAACAGTAGTTCAGCCGAGATATTTGATTATCAAAATTAGTTTTACGACCCGTAAAAGTTGTTATTGTTTTGATTTTGATGTCCTACCCTCCGCTGTTTCGCCAATCAGGAAGTGTCATGTAAGTCCGTGATCGGGTTGCCAGAACTCCGCGCGGCTCATTAATCACAGTGGTAAAATAACATGTGGCGCAGAACTAAAAAAGGTCTTGTTATGACTCTCAAATCATTAATGACAAAACAAAGACTAAAACGAGGATTTATATCGGGATGCCTTTGAACAATTGAGACAGCTGATCAAAGTTCACGTGTGATGCAGACTTTTCTAATTTAACTCCGTTCTTCACAGTACCTTTGCTCATGTGAACCGGTGGTCTAGCGGTCTAAACTGTGGGCTTATGATGTAGGAACCCGGGTTCGATTCCGGTTAATGTCTTTTTGTATGTTATCACATTCTATGACAGATTGCTCTAAAAACGGTAAAAGATGAAGGTCAAGACGTTTTTTTGCAGATTATAGCTTAATTGTAAAAATAATCATTTAAGACCACATGTACCCCAATTAAAATAATGTTAGTCTCTTTTTGATGTGGGACTTTTACATGTTTGTCTAAAAAATAGGGAATAAATAAAATTGAAAGGTGATATCCTCTTGAGCAAACCCTGATGTTGATACGCTGAAGAAATACGTTCCAACATCCATTCTTCCCACTCCTATTTTGGACATCGATTTCTTATTTATTTTGCATAAACTATGTATAATTACATTGCTTTTATTTTGTTTTTGTTTTTTATCTCAAATGTCCAAATAATAATAATAAAATAACATTAATCAAAACATTCATTCAGCATTAGCACGGCTGTCATGGCAATGTGAATGGAGACGGACAAACAACTGATAAAATAATTCCCTTTTTGCTGCTGGATTTGGTGTGAATCTGGCAACCTGAGTAAGGGAGAGTGGGAGAGGACTACAAAATATTGACTGACTGCAGTACCACTTTTGGCCAGATTTTTACATATTGCTCCTTTAAAGCAGTCAAGTTATCATGTGTTTTTAAATAGTAATGGAATTGACCAGATGCCCATAGTCTCCAAAAATGAATAAAAAACATTGAGCGGACCGATACAATTAAACCAATGGGATTCGTTCATCCCCAACGAACCAATGGGATGCGTTTACCCCGATCCATGGTTTACCCCCTTCACCCTCTTCCTGTTTCTTGCGAGTGTGCGCACCTGAGCTATTGGATTATTTTCTAAAACCTAAAATGACTGAACAGAAAATGCCAATTTCACGTTTCCCACCCACTCTCCCGGTTGTGACAAAGAAGAGAAAATGCTGGATGTTTGGTTTGGTGGAGAGGCGAGGGGAGGGGGGAGTGGTTTCGAGTTGGTGCTACGGCTAAGCTAACAAAATCGCTAACTGCATCTTTAATTAAACCAAGAGGACAGGGGCACAGGTTTCAAATCATAAACAACACACCACAACAACTTAAACATTGTGTCCCCCCAAACAACTGGTCTTGTTTAAATATCTTATTAAGAAAACATTGTGTCTTTTTCATTTTTGTGAGAACGATCCCTGTGAGGCACTATTTGATGCTTTGGGCTGATAGCTGATTGGCTGAGTGAGGGTGGTCCGCTTTTTCAGATTTTTCCAGAATAGTGTTAAAATGAGACTTCTTGTTTATGTTTACTCACCATTCACACACACACTGGACGGCTCAATCATAAACACATCTGCGCACGTCTGTTTCAGCACCTACATGAAGAACAACACTGGTCAGACAAATGCTTTATGATAAATATTTTGCAATGTAAAAAAAAAAAATATATCACAATATTTTCCTCATGATTAGATTTCATGGTCCATTATGAAAAAAATCACAGTATTCAAAACCAATATTGTATTTACATATTACAGCCAAAAGTGCAGAAATGTGACCGCTTTTCAATAATATGGCTAGAACAACCTTTTTCACCCAGAGAGCTACTTTCCCGGGACAATAAAAGCAGAGAGCTACTCCTTTAAGCGGACCCTGGGAAAAATGTGGTGGTATTGGTGTGAACGATATTGTGTACAGTCAGTATTTATCATTGCATATTTGTTACTAGTGCACAAAGTTTGCATTTACAAAAATAAATGATGAATAATACAATCTAAAATGTTAAGTATATTTGATGTGTTAATTTCCAAATCTTTTGGCGAGCTAACCTGGAAGGGGGTGGCGAGCTACCGGAGGCTCCCAAGGCTGGAATTGATGTGATTGTTCAGTTAAAGACCCCAGCTTTAACTGAACAATCACATCAATTCCAGCCTAACAATAACATAACAATAAAAAATAAAAATGTTATATACAATGTAATAAAATCCATCTCACTAAATCTTTCAAAATACAACTTCTTTCACATCTTAAAATCAAGTTTTTCAGACAAAAATGTGAAAAAAGAGTATGCATTTACAAGTATGTGAATGACAACATGATTTTTCCGTTTGGTTTGTGTGGAGGTACTTTTGCAAGATTCTGTCTGTTGGAAAAAACAATATTCGGTACCCCAGCTTTAAATATTTAGCATTTACGACTGTTTTTTTTAAAATATCAGTGATGAGAAAGTGCTCTGCCAATGAAAATATCCCGACTCACTTTGTTAACCACCTCTTTGAGCGCGTGGAAGCCGGACAGCACTGGGAACACTTGCTCTGTGTTGTCTGCTATTTCCACCAGCTGTTAAAACAAATAAATAAACCCAATTTAGATCCTTTTTCAGTAGTGTTCTAACAATTCGGAAAACACAAAAACGATTTATATTTCTATTCAATTAAAAGGATTGATACGCAATGCCAAATTCAACAACTAACTGTACTTTTTATGAGGCCTTGAACTTCTTTCTCATAAACATAAAAAAATATATACCCTCATGAACACATCTTAAATATATATAAAATGTTTGGAAAAATATTGATACTTTAAGCACTATTTATACATGACATTTTATTCATTGTTCTTAAAGTGAAGGTGGATAAAAAATAATAAAAATGAAAAATTATGATGGAGAGACATCCTTTAAAAGCAGGCACCAGAGAGACTCGCTTTGAAGAGCGGCTCTAATGACCGCTGCACAGGAAGCGGGCCCTGGCATCATTTGATTAGCATAATGGCTGTTTTCCCAGAGCTCCACAGAACAGGCTGGACAGAGAACCAGCACAACAGATTTGAGTAATATTAGGGAAATATATTTAAATGTTTAGATTTAGCGTTTTGGATTTATATAAAATAATCGTGGCATAGATGCGTCGAAAATAGAGGTGTGATGTCTAGAAATGGAAATGTTTGAGCTCATACAAATACTGAAATACAAATTCCAAGCTGATACAGTTCATATATAGTGTTTTATTAATGAATAAAATAATGCAGGAAATGTTTGCCAAAATGCCTCCATTATGTAAAAAAAATCTAAATATTAATTATTATTTTTTAAACTTCCACATAAAAACCAATGGATACCTTGGTTCAGTATAGCATGAACTGTTTTTCTTGATCCAGATGAACCTTTCTCACATTTTCACATCCTGAAAATTTCAAGTCCAGGTTGAAGACAATTCTGTTTGCCTGTGCATAAAACTGATGGATTTTATCTTTACTCGTTTAAAAAAATAATAATAATAACAATTGTAAACCGCTTTGTGACTCTGGTCTGTGGAAGGCGGTATATAAATAAAGTTTACTTACTTACTTAAATGCACTGTGGCTATTTATGATTGGAATCCCAACTTTGGTTTTAATATTTGAATGTTAGTTACCTGTGTGATGCTTTAATGACCTGTGGGATTTTAATCCCATTTTTGAAGGTTTATGTAGATTTTAATGTTCATGCTTAATTCCTATTGTGATGTGGGCTGTGAACATAGACTGTAAAGTTGTGAAGCACTATGTGATACCTTGTGTAACAAATAAAGGTTGAGCTTTGAGTAGAGTTTAAGTAAGTGACAGAGATAAGCCAGATTTCAAATTAAATGCATTAAAAGTGCATTTTTGTGTCAATCAACTTGTAGAAGTTAATTCCTCAAACAACGCATGGTCCTTATCCCAAAGTTCTAGAACCACATTCTTACATCATGATGTCACTGCTGATGAATCACTGAAGACAAAGTTGTCTGTTTGGAGCAGTTAGACAGATACAGATGTGGTTTGGAAATGTCTGGATTTTGAATGAATACAATAGAATGAGTTTTATTCACAATGACCGCTGTTGGGCTGAAGTGTGGTGTTGTTCTGCTGACAGATCACCCTGTGAGGACTGAACCCCTGACGGTTACCATTCGACTGTGACATGTGTGTGTCATCACGGCTGATATATTGAGGTGTACAGCATGTAGCTGAAGACCTTCTACCCTCCTGAGGGGCCTCTCCCCCTCTACCCTTGTCCTCATGTTTGGTTTATGTAGGAGAACGGAAATTACCCTTTTCCCCAAACATCTAACAACAGTGACAGGGGACAGTCTCTCTCCCTCTCTTTGTGCATTGTGTTTTAAAATGGAGACTAATGTGCTGTTCACACGCTGCGACAATAATACAATAGAGTTGCATATCGGATTGACCTTCTGTTTGTAGACTGTGTTTCAGGGGGGCAAAAACGCTAGCGCTTAGAAACGGCCTCTAAACGGGGCATGCCCCGTATGTCTTCTTTCCTTACTCTGCACTGATAAAAGCCAGAGCCTCTCTGTATTCAAGGGAAGGGGAGTGGGGGGTTGGACACGTAGCATTAGGTCACCCGCCGCTATTGTATTTCATGTTTGTTCTTGGCTACTGCGCATGTCTACATGCGCAGTAGAGGTCATGGCAGCCAGGGAAATTCACACCTTTTTGAAACAGCCTCCCTCCACGCAGCGTATCTGTTCTGTTCCACTCTGGAGGCCGTTTCTCAACACGTTTTTACCGCCCTGTATCACCGTCTCTGTGTGAATGAAAGGCGAGTCCGATACCAAACTCTATCCCATTACTATCACAGCGTCTCCGTGTAAACAGCACATGCCTGAGGAACTGGACGACCCCACACTGGACCAGGGCCAGGACACCGCACCATGAAGCCACCCACAGACCGGCCGCATAAACTGTACATATCACCGATGTTGGATTCTCGTTCTCACCGAATAAAGTACACAATCTAGAATATTCTGTTGATTCATCTTTAAGACCTCATTTAGAAGGACAAAGGCCCAAGTAAAGCTTTGAACACTATTTCCAAATGGCTTTATTGCATCCTACTCCAGCCTACTATTATTTTCATCATGTATCTATTTGTTTTTTTCATTGTATTTTGCATTAAATCTACAAAACCAGGGATATTTGTCTCTGTTGTCTATATATATATATATATATATATATTTATATATATTTTTGTATATATATTTGGTCCACACCTTAACGATTAATCCACAACTACATTCTGGGCATGACAGAATGACGTTGTTGACAGGATGTGCAGAATAAAGAGGAAGTTGAATGCTGGTTCAGTTTTATTTTGTTGTGGATTTATTTGAAAAAGACAGTATCTTTCCTTGAACTGTTGGGTTTTGAAGAAGAGAGGTTATAATGATTCTATGCTGATTCAGACAGCCTGTTGTAGATGTAAAAACCCTAACCCCTACGTCACATGGTAAAGCAAAGACAAAAGAAAAAAATTATCTTTCACTTTTATCTATTCAGTGTCTGTTTCTGTTTATGATCATTCAAAACATCCGTAAAAACAAACTGTTCTTCTCAACAGGAAGGAAATATTGAAAAACTGCTATAGGCTTTGCTTGAAACACTGGGTCAAGGATACAAGTCTATTGAATTTGAAACCACATGCAAGCAGACTGATACCTCGAAACTCAAATATTGGTCTTACGTTTAGACAAGTGAATTTATCAGCGAGTTTATTTTCTCACGGCTTGAAACAAGGTCAAATACCTGTTTGTGGTCAAAGTCCATCACGCCCACACAGAACACCCGGGCTCCATATCCTCTGGCTTTGTCGGCCTGTGGAGAAACACACAACCTCATTCTTGTATTATGTTTACATTGTATCACAGCTTTAGGAACGTTTTACCCAAACCACTGCATTAAGGCGTAGTTATGTCAGACACCCACCGCACAATGTAAACTATCACAGTAGGTGAAATGTCTTGGATATACAGTAGACCGGTCAAGGCCTGTATACACATGTGGCTTTCCCTAATCAAATATATTTCGTTTTATATGCATCACTATAACAACTTTTAAACATCCATCCATCCGTTTCATCCGGTTTATATCTTTCTGGGTTCTGGAGGAAGCCGCCTGAGCAGCCCCAACCTTTCTACCCATACACATTAGTAAACATTCAAAGATAAATGTGCCGTAGAATCAAAATAAATACATTTTGTTGGGATTAATGTGTGGAGTGAGTTGGACCAAGAGCTAAAAGATTGTAAAACCTTAATTCAATTTAAAATTCTTTTGAAGAAATCAATTATAAAAAAAATACATTGAGAATGGACGCTAAGGATGCAAACTTAAGATGATAGATTGTTTTTCTTTCTTCTTTGTGACGATCTAAAAACAAAAATTGTATAACTACTTGCATAAGACATTGGCAGCTTTACTGTTTATGTTTTGTAAATACTCTGGGATAGGCGCAATAAGCTTTAGCTTCTGCCTATTCCATTTCAGACTTTATGTTTATTTATCATCTGTTTGGCATCTGTTGAATGTTTGAATATCTGAATAAAATAATCTGAATCTGAATCTGAATCTAAATCACAGCTTTCTACACATAGCATTAGTCAATTTACAGTTTTCTAGCACTTAAATGAAAGTTTGCTAACGGGGATTAGTTGAACAAATGATGCTGCTGCCTCACTTGTGTGTTATATCAGTATTAAAAATGGTTTGCATTGGACATTTGGTGCATTGCTGTCGGATAATAACTTACTGTACTTACATACTAATGGAGTGTGCAGCAAAACAGAGCAATGGATCAATAGTCAATTCAAATCATATTATCTATCTAAATCAACCCTTTACATCTTCATCCAAACATTTTTGAACGAGCGGATCAGGTGTCAACATACTCCATAGTGCAAGAATAACCTCATACTTTCACTTTACATAATGCAATCCACAGTTCTGTAAGCTGTAAACTAACTGTAGCCATTAAAACACAAAAGCAGAAATGTTGTTACCTCTTCTACGCTGAGTACAAAGGGATACACCTCCAGTTTACCATCGGTCAGGATTATGATAATTGTAGACGACGGGGTACTTTGTTCTTTCATTTGATCGGACACCTAAAACCCCAACAGAAACACACAAAGAATACATAAACGGTTCATTGTTCCATACCAAACACACAAAAGCACATGTCTGATCTGGCACAGTGAGTTCCTTGGTGAAATGCCGAGCAGAGTGCACGCCACATGAATGGAGCGAGTCCCAGGGTCGTTCTGGTTTCCTGTCTGTCCCTATCGACGTCCAAAAACTCTGGAATGTCATTCATGAATCTCAAACTATAGCCACATTAAACACACTCCATGTTTGGAATAAAACATGTAGTGTGTTAAGGACTTATTACTAAAGTATGCAGTATGTTTAAGTGAGCTATATATACTAGCTATATACTTAAGATATACCTAAGAAGTATTAGAAACAGCAAAAATAAAAATGTTCAAGCTTTTTCAGACCATAACCCGGAACAAATCGGAAAGACACCTGTTGCTTTCCACCTTGAGAAATGTTAGTTTTATTTAATTGTGTAATGTTCTAAAGGATTTTCATGTTTTACCAAATGTTTGTAGAACCCCACACACTTCAGTTAGATGCTTAGATAGACTGCAGAAGGGAAGTTTAAACCCCCATACACCTGTTTAAACAAATCCATTTATGGCATGGCTTTTTAACCTTTTAGGCACAAGAAGCATCTTTCCCCAGAAACTTGATATGGAAGAAGAAAAAAGATAAAGTACTGCAAAAATCAATAAAAAAAAATATAGAAAAGAAAGAAAAGTAAGCTGTATAGAAAGTGTCCTGTATTCAAAAGCTCATATCATACATCAAAATAATGCCATACCATACCATGCCAGCTTTATTTATAAAGCACTTAAAAAACTTTACAGTTCAGCCAAAGTGCTGTACACAAAAATAAACACATAGAATAAAAATACATATATAAAAAATAATGCATCGGTTATAGCGCTTTAGCCAAAATGCTTCACATGGCGTCATTCATTCACTCCACAGTGCTCAAAAACTACTACTATAGCCCCAGTTGCCCTGGTGCTACAGCAGTAGGTTGACTTTTGGAAAATAACTGCCTTCCACTCACTACTTAAATTATATGTATTCTTAATAGATGTATTTAGTTCATGTACAGAGCGGTGATGACTTACTGCTATGAGTCCTTCGTGCATGTACGTTTCTCCCGCTGGTTTGATTTGGCTCAGCCTCTGCAAACCTCTGTCTATCTCTGTCCTGCCCAGTCACAAAACACAAACAAAGATGACCCGATAAGCACTGGATTTCTGCAGCTGACGGATGAAAGGGCAGGAAGACTGCAGAGAGGGGAAGTGTACATACCTATCTCCGGTAAGTGGAAGAATAACTGCAGCCTGAGCCGAGAAGACGATGTAGGACACCCTCATCCTGGGACTGGGAAGACATTTCACAGGTTGATATATTTTACTGAAATAAACTATTTTATTATTCTTAGGACGGCTAAAGAGGATTCTATGGTCCCTTTGGGGAGACATATAATGTAAAATCTATGTTCTCTAATTTAGCCATGTTCCCCCATCAAAATAATAGTTTTTAGACCAATTTACGCTGTTATGAAGAACTATAGGCGCAAACAACTCTGTCCCTTCAATTTAAAAGATCCTGTCTCAGTCCTGTATCTGTCTGATGTCAATGTACCACTATGACATCACGCACACAGAACAGCAAAAGAAGTGCCCATAAATTACTTCCGGAATTTTCTCAGGTGAACTAACGCACTTTACGATCACATGTCTGTTTTTACAGCCAGATAAACCAATGTCCTCATTTTAAAAGTGGCCGCGCTGTAGTACTTTCCAGATTGAGACTGAAGTGCAAATAGTATTGTAGTTAGCTGTATAAAGTAGTGAATTTTAAAACATTAGAAAACATGGGTCAGATTTATTGTACGTAGCACATATGAAGATGTGATAATAGTTATGCTCATGGAGACGTGTACAGTATACCTCACATCTGGGCTTATCAACAGGACAGACTTCATCAGCACCCCCGCATTACCTCCTCCCAGCTGCTTCCTGTCCTCTCATGTAGTGGATGGGACACAGAAGCCTTTCCCCTCCACATCTGGGTATGGGGTTTTGTCCCATATTTAGAAACTTACTATTAAAACTAAAGATGTCAAGTGTGCCCTTCCCGGTGCACCACCCAAAGGAAACTGAGCGACTTATTACACCACATCCATACAGTATATGTCGTGGCTTAAATGAGGTTTTTAACATAATGTTTTTTTCTACAGTATACATGATGAAGTGCAAAGTCCATGCATTGTTGAAATCCTTATTTTGATGCATCAAGACGTGCAGCAAAATTCTTTAATCCGCGCTCCTCGATATAGATCTGGTTTATTTAGTTATAGTAAAACAAGTAACAAACATGTAGTTACGAATAACTAACAAAATGGATCAACTCTCTATTTTCTATAAAGAAGGAATGAGTATAAAAAGGGCATTGTACCAACCTGACAAACCTGTGGGTGAGCTGCTCCACAAAGTCATAGATCTCGTTCCAGTTTCGGGCCACGCTGCCAGATCTGGAGAAAGACATCATAATAACTATTTTTACCTACAGCATTTCTTACTTTAGTTCAACTTCATTTCTCAAACATAAAAGTCGCAATAAGACTAAAGAAAGCCATAATGTGCCAAGACTGTGGACAGTGTTGGACAAGTGACTGTAAAATATGAACACCATTAATCATGTGTTTTTTATACATCATGAAACATAGAAAGTGAACAAAAAAATAATCATTTTAGAATCAGAGTCATTTTTATTGCCATGAGAGTCACAGAGAGTCACAGGCTTGGAAAGTGCTAAGGCTCTTGGTGCAAACAAGTCAAATGTAGAGAATAGAATAAGGAATAATATAAATCTAAATTGTAGAAAGTAAAAAATATACAAAAAAGACATTAAGCAGTGCAGTAAGGTGACATATTTATACATTTTCACTCCTTTTCTATTTTTTATTACTGGAATGGATTGTTGTCCACTGTTTTTTGGACTTTTTTGGACTTTACTCTCTCTCTCTCTCACTCTCTCTCTTTCTCTCTCTCTCCCTATCTTTATGTCTATACACTTTATTATATCCTTTGATTAGTGTACTTTGTAAAAAAAAAAGGAATTCCCGGCAAAGGAACTAATCAAAGTAAAATTCAATCAAATCTGCAGCTCTAATCTTGAGTTACCTTGTTAATAACTCGATAATGTGACTAATGTATTTGTATTTTCCTTCAAAGTAGAAAATGTCGTAACTTTTGTAATTAGTTACTCCCAAAACTGCTAATAGCCCATGAAAGTTAAATGACATAAACCTTTTCTTCCTATTCAAATTCCCCTGTTATAATACCACACATACTGCAAAGTAAGTATTAGACTGATAGAGAGCAGTGAGAGCATGTGAACTAAACAGAGCCATACAAGGACAGGACAGAGCAGAGTGGTGACTTTGGAAGGCTGAAATCACAGCACAAATACAGTTCACAAAGATACTGACAGACACCAACAGTTGTCTCACCTGTCCAATACAAAGTAAATGTCAAAGGCTCCATCACAAGAAGCTTCGTCTCCATTGTGAACTGTGGGAGTCACCAAGACTGGGATGAGTAGCAGTATCTGACAGCACAGACAGAGATGCTCCATGGTACGTTATGTTTCATAGCAGCAGAAGTCTGTGTTGAAAGTCTCCACAGCAGAGGAGAGCAGACATCCTTTCACATGGTGCAGGCTTCACTTTGACTCAGTCCTGTGCTCGTTCTCGTGGTGTTGAGACGACAGAAGACAGACTGAAGTGGACTGGGCAGGGCAGACAGCTGCTGCAAGCTGCTGGTGGGTTGGGCAATGTGAGTGCAGAGAGGGTGTTCCTGTAGTCCTTCACAATAAACAACCTCTAAAACACAGGAGTCTCAGTGAGGATTCTGATTCAGTTGTGCTGCCAGTTGAAGTTAAAAACCACATTGGAATATTTGTGCACATTGGAAGGACCCAGAGTGCAGAATAGACAACAAAATACTAAAAGACAATTATTCTGATTATTATGGAAACAATTTGTCCTGACAAATCAAGATTGAACTAAATGCATTTGCAGTTGTTGGTGTGGTTCACTTTCGCCGGGACATGACATGGTTTACTTTGGGGAAATGCTTCACGGATCTATTTACTGACACATTTACAGCAATGTTGATTAATGTGTATCGTCCCTATTCAAATAAACTATTAAATAAAATAAATAAATAAATAAAATAAATTTCAGAAGAACTGATGTAAAGCTCTGGAACCTTTTTTTTTTTTTTTTTTTTTTTTAGATGAAGAGTAAATGTTTGTTTGTCCCAGCAGAAAGAGTCTTATAAATGTAACATTTTGTGCACAAATCACACCACAACACGCTTTCTTCATCTTGTGAAAAAAACATGTTACATTTTTCATACTTGTAAGAAACATCCCAGTGATTCACTCTTGACTCTTTGGGCTGAGAGCTGATTGGCCACATGAGGGTCGTCTGCCATTGTTCACTTTCACTGTTTGTGAAAACCAGAGATGGAACCAAACTGGTTTAGGAACCAGGAACTAGATTGACATTGATTTTGTTGCATGGTGACATTTTGTGTGGTTTGAAAGTTAGGTACTGAAGCTTTAAGTGAAACACAGCTGTGTTTCTAGTGGACACATGTTCACTTGATTGATGATTTTGAATCCACACATACATTTATAGAGCACATTTTTACTTTGTAGAAGAGTTCTTTTGAGGTGGAATTTCTCTCTGCACTTTTCCGCCCACATGAATGACTATTTCCCGGTCAGCTTACACATGCACTAAAAACATTTATTGTGCTGTATTTATGGCCAAAACCTACAGCACCTGTCTGTAAATGTGTCCCTTCAGAGTAGTGGATGTCAAAACCCATCTCCATGTGCAATGTTCCTTTTCTGAAAAAAACATCCTTAAAGATATCTGGGTTCATGTGTTTTACTTAGAAATTCTTAGCATTGTTATTCCTGTGCAGCAAGTTCATGTCAGTAATTTATCACAACTTCCCAGTGTTGATGGAAATACAAAAGTAACAACAGTTTGTCCAAATTGACCCATATTTAACCATATATTGATGCATATTTTACTGTTTCATAAAATAAATCGCAATGTGACGGTTTGATTCCAGTGAAATGATGTCAACCACTTTGAACCACATGTGTCAAAGAACAATAATAATGTGTCACAGGGACTTCCTTTTGTTTTTCGCCAGTACAAACAAGTGTGGGGAGTGATGTGCTGGATGGGGCTCAGATGGAAAGTCCAAACATTACACTATTGTCACACCATGGTCTTCTCTGTGTGCACATATTTATCTGTGAAAGAAACACCCAACACTAGTTTATGTTAGAGATTGTTACAAGGTGGAGTCACTCACATTACAATGAGTTCCTACAAAAGTGTGCCAAATAGTTGCTACTTCCAAATTGCATCATGATAACATTAAAATGAAAATGAAATCATACTGCAGGCTTATGTCGAGGCTATAACATCCCCCCAGGATTCATCTTAAAAGCTGCAGCGCATTAGGTTCCATCACGTTTGTGGGTGTAGTCAGGGGTTTGGGAGTTGAGATGATGATGTGGTATATAAAATATTTCAGTCGTGAAGTCATAAAGCTAAGTGAATGTAAATGTCGTATAAGGAGGTCACAGAAATGGCAAGAGAGGCGACTTGATTATCCTCCTTTAAAGTCAAAGGCGTCACTTCAATTAAATCTAAGCCAATAAAAAGTCAGTGAACAAGCTGTGGTGATGAACTGTGGTTGTGGGTGGGAGAGCAGATTGAATAGCTGTGATGATAACTTCATAAGACTGGGGTGTTGGGTAAGGGCACTGTAACAAACAAGAAATAATTAAAAAATTAATACATATTCAAGAAACAAGTGACATTGCACTTATTTGAATCATACTGCATGATAATGAATGTATGGTAACGAACTCCGATGACTTCTTAATGGTAAACTATGAGAACTAGAAATGATAAAATTAGAATACATATTTGAAAATAATACAATAATATACTTAAAGCGCTTTTTGGACCCTCAAAGACGGTTTATAAAGGGACAGGTTTAAAAATAATAAATACATAAATAAAAAGCGAATTTATTTGTTCTATACTTGCAAGAAATAGCCCTGTTAGTAACTATTTGGCGCTTTGGGCTGAGAGCTGATTGACTGAGTGAGGGTCCTCTCCATTTCACTTATAATCTATCTGAAAAAAGTGTATCTAAAGATAGGATGTTATATGTGCGTGTAAAAACTATGATTAAATGTTTGTGGTTTGAAAATTAGGTTCCCCAGCTTTACAATGTCACACACAAAATCTTCATACAGTTCACTATGTAGGTCGACAGTACCCATTCTTTCCACGCGGGGGCAGTAGAGCGATACGTTCAGTTTCCATAACTCACTGCTGCTGTGGTCCCATGGATGTGCTGCTGTGTGTGATGTGAGTGCAATTATAAATCTGAGTAATTATTAAACTAACATTTGTATAGAAATGGCTGCACTAAAAACGACGCCAGGACATCAGCGCTGTGGATGATGGTAAAGTCTTTTCAATCAGTTTTTTTGGTCTTGTTTTGGCGAAAGAGATAGCTACATGTCAACATTAGCACGCTAGCTGCTACTGTATGGTAATGGTGGAATCAGCCTCATCCTGCAGTCTGCATACAACGCTTATTATCGCTGTTATAAAGGCATTTCAGACAGAGTATGTGGTGCACCCGGCCAAACAAGAGTACATAGGTTTAGTAACGAAATGATAAGTACATGTATGTCTGTGTACATTCTATATGACACTTTGATTACTGATCTGAGCCAAAAAGTAGCAATACAGTAGGTACATGTACATATATGTTTTATATAATTACCTCAAAGTATGTAGATTTAATAGTTTAAAATACAGTACCAAAGGTGTCAAGGTTGTTGGTCAAATACCAATTTCCTATGTTCAGATTCATATTCAATAAGCTGTCTACTTCAAAGGCACGATAACCTCCTCTGATTGGACAGAGCATACGTGACGCACTGCGTAATTACGCTGCTAGACATGTTTTACTAGTACTAGATTTTCCATGTGCACTTTGTCTGAAACATCTGGCCTTATTCACTCATAACCCTGCTCAAAAATGGTAGACTGAAATCTGAAAATGTCCTGAAGAGGGTAAGTGAATGTGTTTTTAACAATAATTTTTAGTGTAGGTATAACGATTAACAACATCTTTTTATTTTGATTGTATGACTTTCATGATGCACCAGGGTTGAGAGATGAGAAGTGTGTTAATACCAACACAATTCATTAAAACCCAAATCCCAATAGTTTATCCTATCACTAGTAATAAAGCTGGGGTACTTAAATAAAACATATAATTTACCCCGACAGAAAGAGTAATCAGACTGCAACATGTTCTCTTCATCTTATTAGAAAAACATGTTTCTGTTGCAGACTTGTAAGCAAGAGCCTAGTGAGTCACTATGTGAGGGGTTGGGTGGGAGCGGATTGGCTGAGTGAGGGTGGTGCTCTCTATTTCAGTGTTTTTCAACCACTGTGCCGCGGCACACTAGTGTGCCGTATGATATTGTCTGGTGTGCCGTGAGAAATTCGTCTACTTTGTCTAAAAATAACTGCATTCGCTGTTGACGAGCGGTGACTTGTTTTGAACTGTGGAGTAACCATGTAATACTTTTTCAAATCAGTAGATGGCAGCAGATAGCTAAGTACTTTGAAACTGAAAAATTGGATGCGACCACTGGCTGTAACAGGTCAGCATTGTGGCGAGAAAGGTAAAATTGGATGCGACCAACAAATGTGGGAGGGAGCGAGACAAGAGCTTTGTGGCGAGTGAGAAGTGAAAGTGATAGAGACGTTTTTGAAAATGAATTATGCCGTTTCTGAACAGGATTAACATCCTCCGCTCTGCCCCGGGGTAGCTGTGGCCGCGTTGTAGTGGTTTAACTATGAAATGTACAATTTTTGTACAACAGCTCTCGCGAACGCACTTCTGAACTGGGTACCGAGCGCAGACCATAGTTGAGTGGACAGAACCATAGACATGCGGACCGGACAGAACCATGGACTCGCGTTCAGGACCTCCCGTGTCCCTCGTCCAAAACTCCTGAATTTAAAGCTCGGATACCTAAATGTTTTCCCATGCACTAACAATGCATGTTCTTTGTGTGAGTTATTATTTGACTATTTGGGCAGAGAGTGGATTTTCTTAGTTTTTTTCCACACAGTTAGTGCCACTTTATTCCCAAACTCTTGTTAATTGTATCGAGAAATATTAAATAAAGCTTAATGTCAAGGCCTGGACTTAAGCATTTTGATGAGAATAACTGTATATTGTGAATATAGGCTACAGAGTATACTGTATACATTATAAGATAAGATAAGATATACTTTATATATCACACAGAGTATGTACAGTATATATTTTTTTACATTAGTACTGTATACATTTTTACATTTTCTCCTGGAGGTGTGCCGCAAGATTTTTTCAGTGAAAAAAGTGTGCCTTGGCTCAAAAAAAGTTGAAAAACACTGCTCTATTTGACTCTTCTGTCTGAAAACATCGATTTAAAGATGTGAAAGGGGAAAAGATGACAGAGCACTACTGATGGAACCAAACTGTTTTAGAAGCAAGGATTTTTTTTTAAGTTACGCACCCCAGCTTTGTTCTTCTCTATTTCTACATAGCAACATGGTTGTCAGGTGACAACCATGACATTCTAGAATATGATGTCACATTTATCTTAGAGTAGAAACAAAATAGCTGCTTATCAAGGCCGAGAAAGTAAGAAACTAAAAAAGGCGATAAAATTCATCTTAGAAAATGGACCAAACAACATCCAGTGCATCAAATGACAATGAAGAACGGCTTATGAGTAAAGTAAAGGAGCTGAAAAGGCGTGTTTCTGATTTGGAACAAGAAAGACGGCCTCGGGATTTGGAACCGGGAAACTCACAACTTCAGAAAAAAGTTGAACAAGCCGAAAATAATTTGAAAAAGTCCAATAACATGTTAGAGAAGTATAAACAAATGAATGTAAAATTAGTAGAAGACTACAAGAAGTTAAGTTTAGAAAGATCAGATTTAAAGCATAGATGTGAAAAGTTAGTTGGACTTTGTAAGCAGAAGGAAATTGAGAATGCTGAACTTTGTGAAAATAGCCGCATCATCAGTATCGATTTAAACAAAGCCGTTGAAGACAATAGATTATCCCAGTTAGAACTGAAAGAGTTTAGAAGCCGCGAAGAAGATCTGACGACTTACCTCGATCTGCAAACGCTTAACGATAGATTGAAGGAGGAGAAAGGCATATTGAGTAAAGATTTAGACAGCATGCAAAGGAAAATGACAGTTCAGCTTAAGGAATCAGAGAGAACCAAGAAAGCTGCGGAAGAGAGGATGGCTGTGATGCAATGTGACAACGAGAAAAAGCAACTGAAGATCAAAGTGACCGTGGATGAGATGGAAAAACTCAAGCAGCAACTAGAAAAAGAGCAAAACAAAACCAAGAGACATCACAGCAATGCAAAAAATGCCAAAGAATTAGAAGAATTGTTGAAGACGCAAGAGTATGAAAGTGCTAAGATCCAGCAATTGATGAAGAATGACGTTTTGAAGCTACAAGCTGAACTTAAGGATACTCAGAGGAAGGAAAAAGGAGGTATTGACAAAATGGAGGCCCTTGCTAATGAGAAATATCTACTTGAATGTGATTTTCTCAAAGCTACTGACAAAATTGGGACGTTGAAAGAAGATAATTTAAGTTTGGAAGCAAGAATTCAGCAGTTGGACTTTATAGTTGAGGAGAAATCAGAAAACCTAAAGATGGCAAATTCCAAAATAGATCTTTTGGAAGTGCAAATGTACACAATGAAAGAACTGAACGAGACAATGAAGGCTGAGGCGGATTTGAGAGAGAAAAAGGAGCAAGACATTTCCAAGCTTGTATATAATGTTGCAAAATTGGAGGCGGAATGTGACTCTCTTCGGAAAACCAGCGATTCTTTAGCAAATGACAAGTGCATGTTGCTCAAAAAAGTTAAGAATCTGGAAAGAAAATGCTCACGGTTTGAAAGGGAGTTAGCCGAGAAACAAGAAGAGGTCGATCTCTACGCAAGCGCATTGAGCGAACACGTAGAGAATCATTATTTAATGCTGAAGAAAGTAACTCGAGAGTCCAACAATCTTTCCCAAAAATCCAAACCCTTAAAGAGAAGGCGTAGACAGACTCACTGGGCTGATGCTATGGCTCAAATGCTGCAGGATTATAGACTCACCGGCAGAAAACAGACCCATCCATCCAAAATCCTCCATCAAACGTGCATTAACAAGATGGACCAACTCAAGTGTGAAAATGTTGAGTTAAGGGCCAGGTTAGGACGCGGCCTCGACCAACCGTATAAAGAATTGTACTATTGCAAGAAAGATTTGGAAAAGATGAAAACGGAAAATGAGAAATTGAACTCTGAATGTGAGAGATACCAAAATTCGTATTTGAGAGAGAAAGAGGAGAAAGAAATGTGGATGCGTAAAGTTAAAAGTACGCCTCCTCCAAGTGAGAGTCAGTAATCGAGCCGTCCGCACTGCTACATTTCAGCTTATAGTGTGACGTGTGTGGTTGGAAAAAATTAATAAAAGTTTGTGCATGAAACAAAGCGTGTGATTTGTATTGTTACTAGTCTTAATCCTTAGTCCTGGTTCAAACCGGATCTAGACTTTTTGTAGTCCTGGTCCAGTCATTGGCCAGGCATTTCCCTTAATCACCACTTTCTGTCTCTTTCAAGTCTCTTCTGCAGTCTAGTATAATTTAGTATTATTAAAATGCAATTATCTTTTCTGTGTTAGTGTTCTGTGTTCTGTGCACGCTTATGAATGTATTTGGGAAGACCATTTATTAAGGCGCTCTTATGACTTTTACAGATGCTCCTTGATTACTTAAGTGCTTCGCTCTGCTATTCCTTTAATGTAAGTCATGTTTTACTAACACCTGTTCTATGAATGTCATCCATCTGGAATAATTTTATATTTTGTGATATTTTGGGGTTCAAAGTTATGTCAATAATGTCAGTCTATTTTCTCCTTAAATATACAGTATCATGTTTGAAATATCAGTTTGTAAGAGGAGAAACAGTTTTGTGTTGTGTAATTTGACTTATTTGGGATGAAGACCTCGTTCCCTTTATCATTGAGGAACACATACAGCAATATTCTATCTATTCATTGTCATGTTAGAGAAGTATAAACAAATGAATGTAAAATTAGTAGAAGACTACAAGAAGTTAAGTTTAGAAAGATCAGATTTAAAGCATAGATGTGAAAAGTTAGTTGGACTTTGTAAGCAGAAGGAAATTGAGAATGCTGAACTTGGTGAAAACAACTGCATCATCAGTATCGATTTAAACAAAGCCGTTGAAGACAATAGATTATCCCAGTTAGAACGGAAAGAGTTTAGAAGCCGCAAAGAAGATCTGACGACTTACCTTGATCTGCAAACGCTTAACGATAGATTGAAGGAGGAGAAAGGCATATTGCGTAAAGATTTAGACAGCATGCAAAGGAAAATGACAGTTCAGCTTAAGGAATCAGAGAGAACCAAGAAAGCTGCGGAAGAGAGGATGGCTGTGATGCAGAAGATGACAAGAAGTTGTCTTCTGCCTCATCCCTTGCACAAAGATGGTATCCCTTTCTAAATGGTAATTGTGTGTTTGTCTGCCCACTCAGCCTGTGTGTGCGCCGCTGGCTGCGTGACCAAGCCTCATGTACAGGATGCTGCTCAAGGTGCCTCAGAAGCTGCTGCAGACGGCACACTACATCGAGCTGGGCAGTTACCAGCACTGGCCCGTCCTCATCCCACAGAGAATACGACTGTACACCTATGAGCAGATACCCCCGTTCCTCAAGGAGAACCCTTACATCACCGACGGCTACCGGGCCCACCTGCCCTCCAAACTCTGCCTCAGAAGGTGCAGTTCTGTGTGTTTATGTTGCTGACATGTTTGTCACCGGCTTGTTTTGATACACGCTCCAACGCAGTCGTAGAGTCGGTGTTGTTTGCCGTTTAACTAATCACTAATAACCTAACTTAAGTCAAGTTAAGTCAAGTGTCAAAAAGTGACACAAATGGCTTTTAGTAGAATAGCACACACAAAATTCTAAGTAGGTGCTGTGGTCTGATTTGTTCACAACATTTAACTATTACGAGGCAAACATTATTCATGGAGCAAAAAACCTTATATACCCCAGTTCTAACAAAGTCATGATCACAAGAGAACCGTCTAAAAATGTCTTACCATGAAATGCCCCTGTTATTCATTTCACAGGAAAGGCTACTATTTATAGAATAAACGGCAGTGGCCCCCGGCAGAATTCTTCCCATAATCTAAAAATAACAGGCTTAATGCACCGCGGCGAGAGAAGAAATCTCATTGTTGCTAGTAGCATTATAATGTACTACTGCTTGATATTGATTATGTGCATGTTTCCAAATAAACTTTTCATGGGGTAAAACTGTGCACATTTACATTTACATTCTCCTTTATTGTCTCCCATAGAATACATTTGTTTTGGGACAGGGGTTCACATGCTTTACAGTTTACACCACATACACCACAGTAGACAATAAACATTAAACAGACTAAAAATAGACACAGGTCAGAGCACCATCATAGATCTCTAGGTCCAGTAAAACACTATATGTTTTATACAAATACCATTCAGGTCTGCAACGGTTGGAATACATTCTTACCTATATTGTAAAAAGGTATTGAAAGAGTCCTTATTTGACTTGACCAAACCTGGGGCAGTAAAGTACATCTTCAAATGTTGCCCAGGGACAACAGTTGGAAAGTAGCTTTGGAGCTAAAAATGCAACTTTTAGAGAAACGTCCATGAATGTGTATTATGCGTTTATATTAATCATTTGCTTTATGTCATTCTCTCGGCTGCAGCATTTTCATCATGTCTAATGAGACTGTGAACATATGGAGCCACCTGCTGGGCTTCCTCCTCTTCTTCTCTCTTGGAGTCAATGACCTGTGCACTGTGCTGCCGGCCTCTGGAGCCAACAGGGAGGACTACGTCATCTATACCATCGGACTATTCTGCTTCCAGGTAAAAAGCTGAGGTTGTGTAATTGATCCAGTCTACAGTGAGTCTTGTGGATTTGACCATCTCACAATACAGCACTGTTCTGTCGAAAATGAACCTAGAGTTGTTTTTATGTTCATTCGTGTGATTATTAGGAACTTCTGGCACAAACATGCAATTTTTGAGCTTTGACGTTATCTGAGTGTGATGTCAAAGCTCCCGCCACTATGACATCACACTCAGGAGTTTTTGCCATTTGAAGCAAAAGTAGTGCACATAAAGTAGCCTTGTCAATTTCTCGGGTATGTTCTTAACAATCGCATAATTGCAAATTTGTAATTAAACAAAACAAATTCAACTCCTCCCTCGACTGGGAACATGGGTAATTACTGGCGGAAATACATTTTTACCCTTGTTACTTGTTTCACCAGATATGATCAACTTTGTGGTATTATTTCACATTCAAAAACTAGATATGACAGAAGTAAAAAGTGTCATTATAATTTCTGATGGCCAAAGACAATGTATAATTCTTCACGACTCATGCACACAGTGATGTCCTTTGTGTGCAGGTGTGCATGCTGTGCTCTGTGGGGTACCACTTGTTCTCGTGCCATTGCTCAGAGAAAACCTGCCGCCGCTGGCTCTCGCTGGACTACGCTGGCATTTCTGTGGGCATCCTCGGCTGCTACGTTCCCGGGATCTTCTATGCCTTCTACTGTGATGCTGTAGGCTTTTTCTATTCATTTAAATACTTTCTGTGACATAATTTGACATACAATAAAATCAATTGTATTCATATAGACGAGAACAATTACTGTCAAAGCCGCTCCAGCAACATTTTAGGAGAAAGTACATGTTGTCCACATACAGGTTGCACTTGATACAAGCCACATGTTTTAATGTTGTAATGTAGCAGATCAATGGCTTGTGCTCAGTAGCACATTGGCCACCATGGGCACCGAAAGATTAGAGGAACTTGCCCATATTTGGGGATCAAATGAACTTCCATGCAAGTACTCATTCATCAGTCTATTTTGACATTAGAATTAATTGTATAGCTACTAATACTTGATGGAGTCAAAATAATAAGTTAAACTCTCAAACTCTTACACATTGCTATATAAGCTGCCAAAAGTTGTAGTTTATAGTCTGGAAATTATGGTACTTATTTTATCCAAATGTTAAGTATATACTGCAATCTCATTTATGGATAATGTTCTTTATACAAATCTTATATGAACAGTTTAGTTTATATGGTTTATTTTAAAGAGGCGATCACTTAAAGTGATTGTCTGGAGTTTGTCCGAAAAAAAGAGAGAGAGGTACTTGATTTGAAAAAAACAATGCAAGCTCCTCCCCCTTCCTTTCTGATTGGTCTATGCCTACATTTCCGTAACACATTTAAATGTTAATCTGAGAACACATTATACTTATACATTATTAATACACATGCACAGAGGTTTTCAGAATTATTTGTTAAAGTTTTCATGAAAAAAATAATGTTTTTATGCACAAAAAAGCGATCGCGGCAAACCCGCGGCTAGCTATTATAGTTAATTGCACGTTATAGAACATGATTATGGATATAGGTTCAGTATATAAATGATTATGGATATAGGTTCAGTATATAAATGATTATGGATATAGGTTCAGTATATAAATGATTATGGATATAGGTTCAGTATATAAATGATTATGGATATAGGTTCAGTATATAAATGATTATGGATATAGGTTCATATATAAATGAGTATGGATATAGGTTCAGTATATAAATGATTATGGATATAGGTTCAGTATATAAATGATTATGGATATAGGTTCAGTATATAAATGATTATGGATATAGGTTCAGTATATAAATGATTATGGATATAGGTTCAGTATATAAATGATTATGGATATAGGTTCAGTATATAAAGGATTATGGATATAGGTTCAGTATATAAATGATTATGGATATAGGTTCAGTATATAAAGGATTATGGATATAGGTTCAGTATATACATGGGTAACTCAGAGCGGATGTTCAGAATTCTTTGTTCAGTTTTCATGTAGTTCCAGAGCCTAATAGAGGCTTGATTCAGAGGCTCCGTGAAAACAAACAACTGAGCATGAGCAGCTGCAAGCATCAGCGCCGATGATTGACAGCTCTTGGCATGACTCGATTGGTTAACCTTGACGGCACCGTGGATTCTGAGCTATAGCTAAGAGAAGGGAAGGCGGGACTTACCCGTAATATTAGAATTAATAAAATAACTTATTTTATATCAACATTTAAGGCCAGGAGGTCAATTTAACACAATTCTTAAAATTTGTAATTCATTTAGAGTTCCAAACTATCACTTCGCTGTCCACTGTTACTGAGATTGCATTCATACTAACCAGGTCCTCCGTGTGTGCGCGTGTGTGTGTGTGTGTGTGAAAGTGAGTGGATGTTTATGTAAGTTGAATTTTTGTTAGTATTATTTTTTTTCTTGTATTCTGTGTTCTGTTTTTGTGTTTTTAATGTAATCATTTCTGTTTCTCACATGTGACGCCAAGGAGCGAAATGTTTTTTTCAAAATGTATGTGAGACAACGACTCCAGGAAGAATAGCTGTTTTTATACAGCTAATGGAGATCGTAATACAAAATACAAATACAAAATACAAATACAAAATACAAATACAAAATACAAATACAAATCACTTTAAATCACTTCTTTCAAAGCAAAACAAAAACATCAAATCAAACATTCTTCAAGATGGGGTAAATCATTATTTATTATATATTAATATAATATATTAATTTTCACCCTTCATAAATCCAAAAGAGGTGTCACGGTGCCGGAACATACTATGGCTCTTCTCAGGACGACACTTAGAGATTATGGCTCTTACTCTCTGACCAGTTTGCCACAGCAGCACTCGTTTGTCTTTGATACCTGATGAAGTGTGTGTTGTGTTTTGCAGTTCTGGCGGCAGGTGTACCTGGGGACCGTGCTGTCCCTGATCCTGGCCGTGTTCTGCGCACAGGTTCACCCTCACTACCTGAGCAACGACTGGAAGAAGATCCGCATGGGCATCTTCTGCTGCGTGGCCGGGGTCAGCGTGGTGCCCGCCTGCCACTGGGTCTGCCTCACCGATGGATTAGCCTCTGATATCGTGAAGGTGGGGCAAAGATAAGGCAATTACATAAACTCATGCTGCTGCAGTAGGTTGTGTTCATATGGCATCACATTCTAAAGATCATGAAGTTTAAAATAGAGGTAACATTTTTGAACCAAACCATTGTTACCAGAGATTTACAATTTTAGGGAAATAAGAGGAGAGGAAACACTGAAATGAAAGTTCCTGTAACTAAAGATACTTAACTTTTTACCTGAAAAATAAGTGTGTTTTCACAACAGAAAGAGTTTTACAAAGATAACATGTAAGATAAAAATCTTTCTGTCTTTATCTGATGAGAAATAATGTTATATTATGCTTACTTGTAAGAAAGAGCCCTGGGAGTAGGTATTTTTACTTTTCTGTCTGAAAAAACTGAACAAAACTGTTTTAGATTTAGGAACGTGTTTGATATTGTATTGCATTGTTCAATTTATTTGGTTTGAAAGTTATAGTTATAGTACTCCAAGTTAAAGCTGCACTAACTGACTTTGGGATTTTGAAGCCGTGGACTCGCTGGCCTCTCTCTTTCTGCTCCCCTCCCCGCACCAACGAAGCTATCGCCCCCCCAAACCCACTGTTGGGACGGAGCTAGCCTCTTCCAATATGGATAATACATGGACATGGATTTGCACGTGGATGGCGTGACCATAGAACGATAGAACCGGGAAGCGCGGAGGAACGGGTGTATATCCCAATGCACTACATGGACATGGATAGCATTTTCGTAGTGAATACATAAATAAAGTCAGTTAGTGCAGCTTTAAATTCCAAGCAACAGCAAAAAAAAATCAGCTATATTAATATTTGTTTATATTTTTTCTGTATGTTACAATTTTGTAAATGGTAAAATACATACAACTTTAGAAGTAAGTAAGTAAGTAATCTTTATTTATATACCGCCTTTCATAGACCAGAGTCACAAAGCGGTTTACAATTGTTATTTTTTGGGCACTTGTCCTCTCACTCCACACAGAGATGGGAGCGGGGTCGTCAGTACAGGAGGCACATACCAGACCAATTTTACATATTTTTAGTATAAGGGCTGTTATATGTTGTGGCTCCAGACAGAAAAACTGCTACATTTATTTTTTAATAACAAACCTTTTGATTTAACTCTAACCCTAGCATTAGCATTAGCATTGTCCATCTATAGACAGTCCATGGTCGACAAAGAAACTGACAAGTTGTGAATGGAGAGCTATGCTTGCAAAGTATTCGATTGCCAAATAATAAAGATATTTGTCATATTACACTGTCTCTTGCGATGTGTTGTGATTCTGTCAATGGGTAAATGTGTGATTGAGTTGTTTTTGTTCTATCCTCAGCTGTTCCTGCCCCGAGTGTTAATCATGTACCTAATCGCTGGATCGGCGTTCCTCTTCTACGCCACAAAGATTCCTGAACGTTATTTCCCAGGTATTTTTGTTTATTTCTTCACATTTATTTTTTGTCCTTGCCCCAGTTTTAACATTTATGAAAGCTTGGGGTCTTTTGTGGTAGTTGTGGATGGGGTTATTTCTCCTCTCTAATGGTTAAACCGCCCATTCTTCTTAGCTCTTAGCTTCCAGTTCCTGTAAATTCCTCTTGCACAAACGACAGATTTTGAGATCTTTGTAAAAACAGTTTCGCCCAACCACTATCAATGAGTGAGAAAAACGTTATGATTGCATTATGATTCGTTATCTCCAAAATATGACCAAAACGGTGAAATCTCTGGCTGGGTTTGTAAACTTTCGGGACATTTAAGGACATTTATTAACAGTTATGGACATCAGTCATCAGTGCTCCCTAAGGCAAGGCAAGTTTATTTGTACAGCAGAATTCATACACAAGGCAACTCAAAGTGCTGAACAAGCATTAAAATTACAACTAAAATCCCTCAGTTGTATGCACAGCTAAACAGAACTGTTTTTAACCTGGTTTTAAACATTGTCAGAGAGGAGGCCTGTCTCACATTTTCAGAAAGATTGTTCCAGCTTTTAGCTTCTATGTGTTTTGTTATTATTGCATTTCCTGTGTTGGAATTGTGTGAGTCTCTGATCTGTCCTTTAAAAGCCTATATTTATGCTGAGGCAAGGTCTGAGAGTTTTTGTTTAGTGCACACGTGTATATATAAATACACACATTATGTCCTTTTCCAGGTCAGTTGAACTACGTGGGCGCCAGTCACCAGGTCTGGCACATTCTGGTGGTGCTGATGTTCTACTGGTGGCACCAAACCGCTGTTTACATAATGAGGTTCAGACACAGCCAGCCGTGCCCGCCCCAGAGCCGCAGCAGCTAAGTCCTCTGCACACACGGGTCAGCCTGGAGGGAGGGGGGGCACATCATTTTTAACTGGATGCTTGACATTGAATGAAAAATATTAAGGCCAGTATTGTTGAAACCAGTGGATAATCCAACGGGAGCACTGAGAAATATACTTTATGAACCATGCATGAACTAAGATATTAACTCTGAATGTCTAATGACTTAATGTTTAAATGTTCAACTGATACTGTGATTTTGTACATATCAAACAATGTATTTTCAAAATGTCAAGAGAGGAGTTGTCTATATTTTTGGGTAGAAGTTTGAGCTGTACAAAACTGACATCACTATGCATATACAGTTGAATTACAAAACTATTGCATTATGACAGTTATAGTCGACTAACATCAATACATTTGTCCTGAAAATTAAAAATAGCCCTGATGAGTTTAAAGGGGATTAAAGTAAGGTTTTGAGTCAGTTTAGGGCGTGTTCACACTTACTTCTCAGAGGATCAGAGATCTGGAGCCGCATGTTCATGATGTTCTCCACTGTTTTTAGTTTTGTTTTAAGTTCTATTATCTTTGTTCACAAACTTCCTGAAAAAAGCTTGATTCTCAGATTGTTGTTGCTTTTTCATGAATCATAAACTTATTTAACATTTATTTATTAAGAGGAATAACCCCTTGAGATGAAACATCTTGTTTCCGAGCATACTCGGAACTTACTGTGCATACTTGACGTATGCACAGTAAGTTTATGATTATTGCACATGTTCAAATGCAGAGAACTGACTGAGGTTGCAGTGTCTCCCTTCACCAGTAGAGGGCAGTGTTGGCTGTACAAATCACTACATTACCACCAGTGTTGGTCACTACTCTGTAATGTTAGTGTATTAATATGAATAGTTACTGTGATGAAATGTAGTATTTGTATTACAGTATTACTGTTTGTAATTTGTAACTGAGTTACATTATTTTGAGTTAATTTTGGTCCAGAACATTAATTACAATATAAATATCACACTGATTGTGTTTGATTGACACAAGTTTTTTTTAAATTACGTCTGAGGTTTCAGGACACAGAACGTTTTTTTGTTATAGTTGAATTAACTATAAGGATTGTCTTTAACATAAAAAATTGCAAACGGCTAAAAGCAAAACAAATATGCGCATTAAGTATGGCTTTAAGTTACAAAAGTGAAAATATATACACTTCTGTGTTACTAAAAAAATCATATATGACTGTAATGTATTACACAAGTAACTATACTCCCAGCACTGGTGACAACTGGTGGGCGACAGTAGCTCAGTTGGTAGAGCATTGGCCTTTGAGCCAGAGGGTTGTGGGTTCGAGCTCGACCTTCACCATCAACTCCCACTGTCTGCTGTCTTTGTGTCATTGGCAAGACACTTAACCACCAGCCACAGTGGGGCGGCTGTGGCTGTAAAGTGCCAAACTGCCATTGTGTCCTTAGGCAAGACACTTTATTACCCCCATTGCCTAGAATGAGTCTGGTGTGTGGTTGGTGGTGGTCGGAGGGGCTGATGGCACATACTGGTTGCCTCGCTTCTGTCAGTGTGCCCCAGGGCAGCTGTGGCTACAGTAGTAGTTTATTACCACCGTGTTTGGAGAGAATGAATAATGACATGTAAAGCATCTTTGAGTGTCCAAAAAAGCGCTATATAAAACATTCAAATTCATTCATTCAAATTCACAGGTGCTTTTCCAGCTATGTTTTCTTAGGTCTTAAATGGACCTGAGTATGACCAAAGCTTTACAGATTATAGTTTGGTCTCTCCAGAAATGAAGCGTTCTTAGACCCAAATGCACCAACGTCCACTTCATACAAACACATACGGTTGGCTTCAAATCCAACTGTAACATAACTGATATGTACATTACATTTTAGATGCTTTAAAAAGTATGAAATCATTGTAAATAATTAAAAGATTGTTGTAAAAACTGGCTCTATCAAGTGTGAACACGCCCTTTCTTGAGAGTTCAAATCCCTCGTATAATCCTTCTGTAATGAATGAGAGAAGATGGATTTGTTTTAAACACAGCATACAAATGGTCATCCAGCCTTTTGATGTTTCTCTTTTAATAACTATAAAATGTATACTCTCAAATTTAAGGAAAACGTTACAACACTAACTTAATTCATCTCTTTTTTTTGAGAAGACAATCACTTGAACTTGTCTATTGGATGTCACTCTGTATACATATTTATTCAGTATAAAGTGGATTATAGCACTTAATCACAGGCAGGGGGCGCCACTGTCTATGTTATTGTTGTTACAGGCTAAATGTGCTGGAAAAGGGATAAAAAGCTTTGGGATCATGGGGAAAAGTTTCATAAGCCAAGAATCAAGAATCGTTTTACTGTATGTTTTATGCATGTTCTCGATCTGCCTTATTTTATGTTTGTACTGTGTGAAAATGTCTTTAATTTGGATTTACTGTTACACCACTTTTGATGAGCTGAAATCAAATTATGTTGCCTTTTATTATGTTGTGTTTTATTTATTGGAGTGCCTATGTACAAATCTATTTTTAAATACTTGGGGTTAATAAAGAAGAATGCTGTACATAAAGAGTTGTGAAGTGTGAGTTTCTTATGATTCTAATGTACCTTCACTCAAGCGTTTTTTACAATCATTTTAATACAAATCCTGGAACTGTCAAAGATCTAAATATAGAAATGTCCCTCTTGTTTCTATTCAACTCAGACATTCTGGGAGCTCACAATTACACAATAGTCAAAATATGTGCCAAAAGGCTGTTATAGGGATTTTAAATATATGTTTTCTGGAGCTTTTTGCCTTATTTACAAGTTTAATCTGTGAAACAAGAATTGTCAAAAAACAACAGCTGCTGAGATTGTCAATTAGAGCTAATTCCAATCCACAAACACCAGCTATTGCCTCCTTTTATATTTACTAAAGAAAATGTATGCAGACTTAAGGGTTTGATTTGGTTTTTGTTTCTGAGTGTAGCGGGTCTGATTTTCTCTGCTCTGCGTTGTGTTGTTTTGTGTTTGTGGCGCGGAAGAACACACAAGAGACAAGATATCAAAGCCTTCTTTTATCTGGTCACAAAATAAAAATACCATTAACATGTGCCTCTGCAACAGTCCCAGCCCAAACTAATAAGACAGAAGAGTAAATAATTTCAAAATGATAATTAAAATAGACATTTTGAGACATAAAAACATAAGTGACTGACCTCTTCCCAGACACAGGATTTTAAAGGGAAGAGGCAGCGGGAAAACCCTGCATTTATAGTGGGAGACTAAAAAGATAATTAAAATACAGTAATAACAGTGTAATTCACATAAGTGTATTTTTATTTTGTATGAAGTGTTAAGTTTTGAGTAAGGTCCCTAAAATTATTAAATTTGCTACATGAGCAGAAATTGTTCCCAGTCCAACAAGGTTCATTCTTCTGATAGATACTACAAGTTCTCTATTTTTCAAGGCCTGTGTGGTTTATTTGTAGTGATGCAATGGAACATACATTGGGGAAGCAATGGGAACTTTTAGTAAAAACATAAAAAAAGAAAATGTGAGAAGGAGATGGTGCAGGTGTGCACACGAGCAACAAGACAGAGCAGAACAAGAGCAACTCAAATCTCCAACCACTGTATAAGAGAGAACCACATTATGGACTGGGCCGTAGTGAATATGGGGGCAGAGGACAACAACTCTGGATCAAAGAGGCAATTGAAATACAGAAAAATGCCCCCAGGATTATAGACTGTGACGTAAGGGGGCGTTACTCTCACACACCTGGGATTCTGTCCTGAAGAAGTTGCTCTGCAGATGGCGCTGTTGTTCTTCTGGGGGTGTTAGGGAAGACGTTGCTGAAAAACGGTTAAACATGTATAAAACAGCTGATCAGACACGTCACAAGAACAGCACATGACCACTCTCAGGAAGAGTGCACCAGCAGTAGAAACTTCCAAGTGTGCAAAAACCAGTTGGGTATTTAAGAATGAATCAACTTGTAGAATGGATACATAGTTCTCACTTATAATTAGAGCAAATGAGTTCTCAGAGAAAAAAACTACAGCTTCACAAAAATTGTCCAACCATTTGTTCGTCTTCCAAAGGCCTTAAAAACAAATTAAATAAAAAAAAATCCCAATATTTTCCCTTGTTTTAGGATGTGTTGAAGGTTAGTTCATGTAAGGGCTTTATAACTATAGCAAACAGCCGATCACATGATGCTGTGTCTTGGCTCTTACAAATGTGTGTCTCGCTCATGAGACAGTGATTAAAGTTTTAAGAAAAATAAATGAAATGGTAGCACTTTAGAATACCCCTTATTGATTAAGTGCTAGTTAGTGTACCCTAAACCTAAACTTAACTGCAACCAGTGCCCTAACCTTCACACACACAAGACAGGGTCAGTTAGCAGTTAGTTAGATGTAGAATAAGGACTAATAAGTGCATAGTTAATACCAGTTAAGAACTAATAAACCACTGCACTAAACCAAACCAAAAAGTGTGACCAAAACAATATACTAAAAGAATCTACGATGTAAAGCTGGGGTACCTAAGTATACACAGTCTTGTAAATCAGAACACATGATTTCTCCGTGTTATTAATAAACATCTTTTGTTTTAAGAAAGACAACCATGAGTGTGAGTCACTATTTGACGCTTTGGGCTGATAGCTGATTGGCTAATCTGATCTAAAGATTATTCATTCATGTAATTGTACCAAACTGTTATCTTTAAATTTATGGTTTGAAAATAAGTGACCCAGCTTTTGAGAAACATCTGCTGGTAATGTCGTCTCCCTTTAACCAAAACCGTTTTGGTCGAGTCACAATAAACTTGAAAACTTACACAAACCTTTTTTATTCAATTCAAGTCTTTCACATTAAGGCAGTGTCAGTCAAGCGTTAACAAAAACATTATGTCAAAAATAAAAGCAGATTTTGGACATTACTAGTGTGAGATTTCATAACACTTTTAAGCAACTTTTGTTAAAGTTAAACTCATCATTCTATCAATGTGCAGAAGCCTGTACTTTTCCCTTGTTTTGTCTATCTGAAGGCCAAGCTACATGGCACCGTGGCAGCTGCTGATTGGAGGTCTCCATGCCTCCGCTCTGTATAATACACTTGCATTCTGTTGTATCTGTGATCGTGTTGTTCGTGCTGTCTCTACCATCGACAATAAAACATGTCTTCTGTCTGAATTAAAGACGCGATCCCAGACATGTCATCTTCTTCACTAGTATCATTTTTCACCAAGATTACATAACTTCCTACTACAGTTGTATCAAAGAAGGTTAGAATGAGTTTTCCACACTCACTGAAATGTTAACGATTTGTAAAGTCCTAAACCTGAGATGAGGCCCTAGTGACAGAGTAACTACACTTCAGGTCATGTCAAGGACAGTGTTCTTCATCCCTGCCTGTTATGGGAATATTACACCAGCAGGTTAAAACATGGAATTTGAACAAGTGTTGAAGTGTCTTATTCTTGGTCAAAATGTACACCTTTTAATGCTCCATAAATACTGTGCAAATTTAGTGTCCACAGGTTATGGTTGACGGAAGATTTAACATTTTGTCAACTGATTGGTATAAAATAGTGAGATTTACATCATAACAGAATAATATATTACACTCAAAAAAAAAATCTGTTTTGAGGGATAAAGCATTTAAAATAATTCAGCAGTCTTTATCTGAAAGTAAAAATGTGTGCCCAACTTAAAATTGTGCTTTTGGAGCGGGCGCCTCATCGAGAAGTCTTCTTTGTAAAGTGCATGTTGACAACAGCTTAAGACCATGATTCAAAAAAGGTTAATTTAAAATGATGAATATGTTTTTTCTGTTTTTTGCGAGCAGCTCTACAGCCAAACCATGTTAACGCGGTGCTACATCCTACTTGTCTTTTAAAATAACCAAAAGTCAATAATAACCTTTGGCTGTATGAGCTCAACAGAAGAAGACAGGTGGGTAAGACAGTGTTATTTAATATTTTACTTGTACCAAAGCACGCCACTCATGACGCTCTGTTTTAATAGACTGTAGCTTAACCAATTCATCCCCAAATAAATGAATAACTTAATTTAAACTCTCACCTGACAAAACATAGCTGGAGAGCCCTCTAGTCCAGGGGTCAGGAACCTATGGAAAGGGAGTCAGATCGTTTGATGATTGTGTCGGGCTCTCAGACATATCTCACTCGGTATTAATAGTAAGAATGTTTTATGCATTAGATTTCTTCAGTATACAAAAAATATAAAATGGAAGAATACATTCCAAGACTAATATCACACTATAAATGTGTTGATCTAGTTTAAAAAATATGACACATATTCACAGAGTCAATTGTATATGGCTCTCGTAGAAAGACATTTTTGGCTCTCTTAATTAACAAGGTTCCCAATCTCTGCTCTTGTCCCACTTCATTTTCAGAGTTATGAATTTTAAGAAATATGTGAACGCCATTCTCTTTCCAGGAATATGTGAGATGGTGAGACTTGTTGAAACTTTTATCATTTTGTGCCTCTTGCTTTGGGCCTAATAGTCAATATTTGCAAAAACTTATTCCAGTGTCTTTTGAAAAACCTTAAGTGTGATGCAGTTTATTCTTTGCAAAGGATTCCAACTCCTTTGTAAAAATATAAAAAACAAAAATAAAAAAACCACCAGAAATATGGAGTACAGTAACATGAACAAACCACTTTTGGCTTCTTCAAAATCAGAGCAGAGTTGTCCATTTTTTGCAAATGCACATGAAGCCCCCAAACTAATGCTGTGTAATGGCGCTTTATCATAGCTCAGAATAAGCTTCTCTCTCCAGCACCTTCCATAGCAAAAAAACACTAACTGTGGAGCGCCTGAACATGACCCTTAAACCGCAGTCACGGCCGCCCTGCTCTCTGCTTCTGCTGCTTTGGGTGCAGAAGCGTATTCCACTGCAGCGTGAACTGTGTGGAACAACAACTGACCCATGTGCTGGTCATTTTTACCAAAGAACTCTCCCTTTTGCAGCGTGTCTATGACTGATGTATTACAACAAGCCAGACACACGCCAACCCCAATGTTGTTGTATTCTTTGACCAGTGATTTTAGCGTTGCCAGACCGGACGAGTCGACAAACGGCACAGAGGAGCAGTCCAGAACTATCGAGTGAAAGTCCAGCTCGTTCTGAATGAGCCCCACCACGACCTCCCCGTTCATTTTGTCCTCGTTGGCCTGCTTGGTGGACATCTTGGCTTTTTTCTGTTGCTTTTTCCGCCTGGTCAGCTCCAGGAAGGGCTCCACTCCAGCGCGCTTGTACAGAGCTTTGAGGAAGGCGTCTTTGTTGGCGTAGTACAGAGGAGCCTGGTAGCGCAGGACTTTGACACGGGCCGGGGCCAGCAGGTTTTTGTACTCGTCCATGTCCTCGTAAAGGTCCGAGTCGCTGGCACGTCCCAGAAGAGAGACCTGAGGGGAGATGGGGACGTCATTAATGCTGTGGTACCTCATTTTCAATCCACAACAAAATTAAAATGTTATAAACTCCATGGAACTAGTTTTTTGACAACCTTTCCTGATTGAAAAGTGGAAAAGAGAGAACCATAGCAACCAAAGAGCCAATCAGGAGCAGTGCTGTTACCCTCCAGGCTATTCACTGGATTAAGACACATTTAGCTGTTAGACACAAATTAAACAACAAGAACGTATAAAAAATGAAGTGTAAAAAAAGTTCTGCAAAACAATAAAAACATTGCAAAACAGACAATTATTACACCCTTAATACACTATAACACTCACTATTACATTATTATTACATAATTTTTACACCCCTAGTACACCCTTAAACATAAAACCTAAAAGATAAACAGTCCCATTTTAAAATATAGGAAAAAGTACAACTTGCAATTCCTGCAAATACTACAAAAGTTAGAAGTACCGAATAATGCGATGAGTCACACCTATATGAAGATCTGCAAATAACAACTTTTCACATAAAAAGTTTCTACGAGTACTTTTAAGTACTGCAATACTGCAAATACTGTAAGACTAAAAACAATCCAATATAAAGATTAAACTCTAAAAAAATCTAAAAGATTCAAAACATAAAATAAAAAAGACAAAAACATTTAAATGTAAAAGATTTAAAACAGCCCCATTATAAAACAGGGGAAAAAGTATTAGTATTTTTCTCCCCCCAAAGTGATATCGGACACCAGTATCGTATCAGTGCATCCCTAATAATCCCTAATAATCCCTAATAATCCCTAATGATCACTCACCTTTGGGTTCTGAGTTTTGTAGATGACCACAAACATGGAGAACACGATTCCCACCAGAAGTCCCAGCTCCACACTGATGAGCGCCGTGGCTGTCATGGCAACAAGCCAGACCACAGCATCCTCACGACTCGCTCTCCACTTTGCCGGGACGTCCTTGAACTTCCTGAGCGCCCCCCGCAGGCTGACAATGATAATACAGGCCAGGACGCACTTCTGAAGAGCGTAGAAGAAGGGAGCAAAGAACAGCAGCACGAGGAGGACCACGAAGGCACTGATGAGACTGGAGACCTGATGCAGACAAAATATATCAACACTAGGTTTATGCAAGCTTTCAGTCATACAGGAATTATTCAACTTTCATGACTGGGCTTTCATTTTCTTGAGAAAGTTCTTTGGATGAGAACGAAACGCCGGAAAAGCTGCTAACTGAAAGTGATGGGTGAGCAACCTTCCTTTGTTTTTCTTTTGTTTTGAGGAATAGAGGTTGAGTCAATATTTATCTTATATGTTCTGCCGTTCCTGGACACACTAGAGGCGAGCACCACTGTGGAACGAATTAGTCTTATTTCATATTCTCTCCAATTCAAAACAGGGGCTGGATGCTCACAGAAACACCATGTACTTTTTCCTATGATAAAGTTAGACTCTATAAGTAAAGGTCAAAAAAAGATCTTTAGATACAGTCATTTTTATTGAGTAATCTAACATTTTTATTTAGTCTTTCCCCCTTTTGATATTTTGACTTTCATAACAATTTATCTTCAATAATGAAATATAAATGCTCTTGCTAAAATGCGGCACAGCGTTAACCTGGCCCCGCCTACTTAATATTTCAGCAAAATAATTATTAAGGGGTCATAATCCTGAACCATATCGTTAAGAATAATATCCTATTTTTTTGTTTATTTACTTATTTATTTATTTAGACATTTATTTAAAGAGGAATAACCCCATGAGATGCATCATCTCGTTTTCGTGGGGGTCCTCTATATACAGGTTACAGCGTAGTCATTTGATGCACAACAACATCCAAAGAAACAAAATGACTAAAATAAAATAAAACGGAATACAAACACAAATGCACACCCATACACACACACACACACACATCACACCGCTCTCATTTACCCCCCTCCACTAACAATACTTTACAGATACCATTGCAATCTTTTGAAAGCATGTTCAAGAAGTACATTTACAAACATACATTTAGAGTTAAGTCACACGTGAGTAAAAGGTAAACATTTCTCCTGCACACAAACCAATAATGAAACCATTATATTCAGGCAAATATAGAAAAGCATTAGATAAGTTGAAAACTATCCAACGAGAAAAAAATAAAATAAATAATAATAATAAAAATAAATAAAAAAATAATAATAATAAATAAGAAAAGCCACAAAGATTTTACCGAAGCCCTTCGATTGAAGTTGTCCCACTCATTACAAACTGTAGCTACAAACACAAACAAATATTTTGCAAGTGTGCGAAAGTGGCTCTTCTGAAGGTAAATAATGAAGTTATAGAGCGAATAGAAGCCGGAAGTCGGTTCCAGTCTCGAGGCGCTTTAATAAAGAAAGCGTGTTTCCCTACGTCTCTGATGGCTCTGGGAACAGTAAAGAAAAGAGTGTCATTGTGACGGAGACTATAAGATGAACTGAAAGGAACTAAGTATTGCTTTAGGTAAGATGGGAAATTAAAGTGGATGCATTTGAAAATGAATTGAAGCCAATGGTGTTGACGTCTGCCTGTAAGAGAGAGCCAAGACAGTTGTTCATACATGAGGCAGTGATGTGTCCTGTAGGGGCAGCGAAGGATGAATCTGCAGAGACTGTTATAGACAACATTTAGAGAGTGTAGACCGGTGGCGGAAGTGTTCAGATATACGAGGTCAGCATAATCCAAAATCGGTAGGAGCAATTGAGTAACTATTTTTTTCCTAATCAGAAACTTATTTATTTTGGGACAGTACATTGAATATTGAATTGAAAGTCCCCAGTATCTAAGTACATATGATATCAGCAGACTTTGAAAGATAAGCTGCTTTGGCATTGTAACCAACAAATATGACCATATCTTGGCACAATTTAAAATAGTTATATCGTCTGAATATGGTCTTTCACACACTGTACATGAGAAGTATATTGTATTATTGAGGTGTGAATTTGCGTCTGTATTGTCTCGCTCTTGTCAAAGCCGGGTCGTCACCTGTGTCTGGCAGCCGGTGGAGTCCTTCACCATGGTTTTGGCCAGAGCAGCACTGGTGGTGAAGCAGTGGAAGAACGAGGGGATGATGTTGCAAAAGCCGATCGCCAGCATCTCCTGATTCGGCCGCACGGAGTAGCAGTGTTTCTTAGCCATCATCTCGGACAGCGACACGGTGAAGGCAAAACTTAAGAAGAAAATAAAACAATATAGAGGTAGAATATTGTTTGATGCATGGGACTTTGACTTTGAAATGCGAAATATGTCACATTTGAACTTCTACATTTTTAATACAAAATAAAACAAGATATACATGTTCTCTAAAGCTGGGATACCTACACTTCAAACCACAAAAAGTGAACTGTGTAAAAAAAAAAACATCTAACTATTTAACATTTTTGTATTTCTGTCCTCTAGATCTTTACAGTTTACAGACAGAAAATACACCTTTACTCAGCCAATCAGCTCTCCTCCAGAAAAAGTCAATTAGAGACTCACGGGGGTCTCAAGAGAATTTATGAAAAACAAAATACAGTTAGGTACCACAGCTTTAAAAACGTGTAAAGCCAATATTTAAGTTGACAAATTCACCTCTGCTAAAGTATTGATCTGCGAGACATACACGCCCAAATGTTACACTCTGCCTTTTGACCTATTCATTATTGATTTAATCTTTATCTGAAATACATGCATACATTTAATAGAATTTTTGAATTTCCAGAAACAGCCCAAATATATACAATAAAAATAAAAATATAAATAAACGGTTAGAAATAACAAAGTAAGAAATTGACAAGCTAAGAAAAATAATAATAATAATATCTTCAACTTTTTTCACCATATATTTTCTAAACACAATATTATCTAACATTCTAAAACATGAAAATAAACAGTCTCAGCATAATTTTGATAGTCAGAATTAATGCCTAATATTTACACTTTAAAGGTGATCCTCTATCCACCCAAACATGTAAGAGGAGTAGTGCAGTACCTGATGACGGAGATTGGAATGGCGTCCAGAGCGACTTGAGGCATGACGTGGAGGCTGGGGGCTCTGGGGGGGATGAAGCCTGTGGGGATGTGTCCAGAAACACTGGTGCTGTATTTACTGTTCAGGTCTCCGAAGTGGCTGGCCAGAGTCGCAGCTGCCACCACCACAAGCTCCGTGGGCAAAGGGATCTTCAGCCGGTCTTTGTAGCGCTCCTGCAGCTCTTTACCGGCCACTGCCACAACGGAAGGATAGGGTAAGGTAAGTAAGTAAGTTTATTTATCTAGCGCCTTTCACAGACCAAAGACACAAAGCACAATTGTTGTAAGCATTTGTCTCGCACTCCACACAGAGTTGGGAGTGTTGCTGCCGTGCAGAAGGAACATGCCAGACCAGAGGAAACATGGGGAGAACAAACTACACACAGAAAGTGACGAGCTGCTTTTATTGTGGATCTTTTGAAGTTTTGAGCATTTGACCAAACTGTGGACCTTTAATCTAGGTCAGACAACAACACAGCTTGAGTGATCTGCTTTAGCGAGGTGGTTTCCAAAATGGGAGTCGGGACCTTAGCGGGGCATTACCATGGATCTATTATAATAACTGGATAGGGTACGACTAGCTTGGAGCTGAAGAACTCATGTGCTCGGGGGATTCTTGTACTGGTACTGCAGACAGAAAAAAAATTCATGCGGGCCACCCAGAAATTTTCCCCATAGAACTCAATGTAAACTAAAAAAGCGTGACCTCAGCTGACAACCTACAGCTTTCTTAAAGGTCGGATTTTGTGGGGATTTTTGTGTCCCTGAACTTTTTTTCTTCTGAAGTCCTTCGGTTTTCTTTAAATCTACACTTTAGTGCCACAAACTCTGATCGTCTGTCTCCCACTCTAAGGCCCCGACTCCACCGGGCGCGTAAAACGGACGACGGATCCGTCCAAACATGTCCGTTTCATCTCCGTCTCCGTTATCTCCATGAGAGTGAATGGAAGTGGCTCGACTGCCTCCGCATGCGTCCGTCCAACGCACGTCGGACCTATTCCGTCAACGGAGGGTGCAAAAGACGTGGACGGACGAAATAGAAACAATCCTATTTGTTCCGTCCGTCGACGCGTGTCGGGTCCGTTTTCCATTGAAAATGCAATGGAATAATATATTTACAACATTGTTAAACATGTATTGATATATGCTGTAGTCCTTGTTTAGTATTTGTTAATGACAATGATTATTAACAAACGTGTGTAATGTTTTTCATGTATTAATTTAAATAATTGTTTCCTGATCGTAAATCTACCATTTATTTTTCGCGTAATGTTAATCTTTACATACACCTCGCTCTTCTGTCCCGTCTACCTCCGAGGCGCTCTCTCCTCACCGCCGCGCGCTCCCAGACAGACAGACAGACAGACAGACAGACAGACAGACAGACAGACAGACAGACAGACAGACAGACAGACAGACAGACAGACAGACAGACAGACAGACAGACAGACAGACACGCACACACACACAGAGCTGCACTTATGAGAGACATGATCTCACAACACTGGATATGTTGGAGTTCTTTTCTCTCTCCCCTTTTTCCAATTGCTTTCAATAAGTTTTGCTTCATCCATCGCGACGTCCTCAATGCTTCAATATGCTGTGCTTTGCACTGATCATAGCCACAGCTCATTCAAATCACACACCGCTTCTTCTATTTAAAACTATAGCTCTGCCTGTTGCCTAAAGCCGCGGAGAGGCGAGTTGGCTCCGATAAAAGTGTATCATGCGCTAAATAAGTAGAAAACAAACGAAGAGGCTGGATCATAATAAACGCTGCAGTCACAGACCCAAACACACATGCACGCACACGCCTCCCACCACACACACACACACACACACACACGGGCGCTCTCACGCACACGCTCACGCACACATGCACGCCGACAATACATAACTCCTCCATCAGCCAAACATTCATTCATTCACACAATGCCCAAACATGTCTCCTACAAAAATAAAGCAGGCTGATAAACGCACAGCCAGAGTTGCATGCTGCTGCAGCCGGTTTGACCACTGGTCCGTTTTACGGACGGCTGACGGACAGCAGCCAACGCGCGTCAACGGAGACGCGCCCGGTGGAGTCGGGGGGTCAGGCCCCGACTCCACCGGGCGCGTAAAACGGACGACGGATCCGTCCAAACATGTCCGTTTCATCTCCGTCTCCGTTATCTCCATGAGGGTGAATGGAAGTGGCTCCACTGCCTCCGCATGCGTCCGTCTGATGCACGTTGGACGTATTCCGTTAACGGAGGGTGCAACGGACGCGGACGGACGAAATAGAAACAATCCTATTTGTTCCGTCCGTCGACGCGTGTCGGGTCCGTTTTCCATTGAAAATACAATGGAATAATATATTTACCACATTATTAAACATGTATTGATACAAGCTGTAGCCCTTGGTTATAAGTATTTGTTAATGACAATGATTATTAACAAACCTGTGTAATTTTCTTCATGTATTACTTTAAATAATTGTTTCCTGATCGTAAATCTACCATTCATTTTTTGCGTAATGTTAATACGCTAATCTTTACATACACCTCGCTCTTTTTTCTTTCGCTCTGTCCCCTCTACCTCCGAGGCGCTCTCTCCTCACCGCCGCGCGCTCCCACACAGACACACACACACACACACACACACACACACAGAGCTATACTGCACTTATGAGAGACAGATCTCACAACAACACTGGAGTTCTTTTCTCCTCTCTCTCTCCCCTTTTTCCAATTGCTTTCAATAAGTTTTGCCTCATCCATCACGACGTCCTCAATGCTTCAATATGCTGTGCTTTGCATAGATCATAGCCACAGCTCATGCACATCACACACCGCTTCTTCTATTTAAAACTATCAATCAATCAATCAATCAATCTTTATTTATAGGGCGCTTTTCCTGCACAGGGCAACACAAAGCGCCTCACAGTCCACACCACACAATGCACAAATCATCACCATTAAAATACAATTAAAAACACATATGTAATTAAAAAGCATTAAAATCACATAAGTAATTTAAAAACATAAAAATCACACAAGTAATTAAAACAATAAAATAGTTAAAAACACAAAAAGTTACAACAATAAATAACAAGGTGTGTTAAAAAGATAAAATTCTCTAGTTGTATGCACGGGAAAAAAGAAAAGTCTTTAACATGGATTTGAACATTGACAGAGAGGCAGCCAGTCTCACATCCTCAGGAAGACCGTTCCAGACTCCAGCTGCATAAATCTGAAAAGCAGCCTCCCCCTGTCTAGTCCTGACTCTGGGCACTAACAGGAGTCCCGTCCCTGCGCTTCTCAGAGTCCGGGCTGGTTCATATGGGACTAGCATATCATGGATGTACTTTGGTGCAAGGCCATGGAGAGACTTGTACACCAGGAGAGCTGCTTTAAAGTCTATTCTCTGGGCCACGGGAAGCCAGTGCAGAGACCTGAGGACCGGACTAATGTGGTCGTACTTCCTGGTTCTAGTCAGGACTCGGGCTGCAGCATTTTGAATATACTGCAACTGTCTTACTGCATGTTTGGAGATACCTGTGAGCAGGCCATTGCAGTAATCCAGCCTACTGGAAACAAAAGAATGGATAAGAATCTCCAAGTCTGCCCTGGACACAATATTTTTAATTTTGGCAATATTTTTCAGATGATAAAAAGCTGCTGATGTTAGCAATCCAATGTGGCTATTGAAGTTTAAGTCAGAGTCCATTATTACTCCCAGATTTCTGACCTTATTTAAGGGCCTTAGGGAGAGAGACTGAAGGTGACAAATGACGGTCTCTCTTTGTTTCTCGGGACCAAAGACAATCATTTCGGTTTTGTCCGCATTTAGCTGGAGAAAATTGCATTGCATCCACTCACTGATCCGCTGGATACAGCGAAGGAGTGAGTCCACCGGCCCATGCTCTCCTGCAGTCAGTGAGACATAGATCTGAGTGTCATCAGCGTAATTGTGGTAGGACACTTTCATACTTTGAATTAACTGACCTAATGGCAGCATGTAAATATTGAACAGGAGAGGTCCCAGAATCGACCCCTGTGGCACTCCGCAGGTCAGGGCCATATTATCTGAGACATAGTTTCCAATCTCCACACAATACTTCCTTTCTTCTAGATAGGACCTAAACCAGCTTAGGGCGGTACCAGCAACACCAACCCAACCCAGTCCTCCAGTCTCTGCATGAGAATCTCATGGTCAACGGTGTCGAAAGCGGCACTCAGATCTAACATGACTAAAACAGAGACTTTTCCTGCATCAGTGTTAAGCCGAATATCATTTGTTACCTTGACTAGAGCGGTCTCAGTACTGTGGTGTGGTCTAAAGCCAGACTGAAACATGTCAAATGAGTCATTAGATATTAAAAATTCAGTAAGTTGTTGGTAGGCAACTTTTTCAAGAATTTTTCCCATGAAAGGCAGATTTGAGATGGGACGGTAATTTTCAAGTACCGCAGCATCCAAACTGCTCTTTTTTAGGAGGGGCCTAATGACTGCCTTTTTCAGGGCCATTGGAAATGTTCCAGATAAAAAAGACATGTTTACTATTTGTGTCAATGAGGGTAATAGACTACACATAACAGACTTCAGAAATCTAGGAGGTAGTACATCCAGACTGCAGGTAGAGGAACTAAGACCTGTGATTATCTTTTTAACAGTTTCATCATTGACAGGTGCAAATTGAGCTAGCTCACAAAGCCTCACTGGATGTTGCATTGTTACTTGTGTTGTAGAGGTGATGGCATTTCTGATACCCTGAACCTTGTCTCTGAAGAACTGTGCAAACTCATTACACCTGGATTTGGAGTAGTGTTCTAATGGCAACTCAACAGGGGGATTCGTTAATCTATTGATTGTTGAAAATAGAACACGCAGATTGTTGCTGCAGCCTTCAATAGTTTCAGAAAAGTATAATTCTCTTGTTCTACGTAGTACTCTGTTAAACTCACACAACTTCTCTTTTAAGAGTCTATAATCACCCTGGAGGTTGGACTTTCTCCACTTTCTCTCTGCTCTCCGGCACTCTTGCTTCTGTGCCCTGACCGGGCCTGCTTTTATCCATGGGGCTTTTTGCTTATTTGTGACCATTTTTACCTTCACAGGGGCAATGGCGTCCAGAACATTCAACACACTAGAGGTGACAGAGTTAAGCAGTTCATCTACAGTAGAACATGATGCGTTCTCAAAATGGATCATTCCCATAAATAGTTCACCCGTGTTTTCATTTAAGTGTCTACTTCTAACAATTTCATATTTAGCGGGTGGTCTGGTAGCAAAACACATGTTAAAAAATACACAGAAATGATCCGACAGAGCAACATCAACTACATTAACTTTTGAAATATTCACCCCTTTCGTGATAAGCAGGTCCAAGGTGTGTCCTCTGCTATGGGTGGGGCCACTCACATGCTGAGTGAGGCCAAAGGATTCAAGTATGGAACTCAGCTCTTTTGCGTATCTGTCATTAACATTATCCACATGAATATTAAAATCGCCTATAATGACTAAACCATCAAAATCTGTGCACACAACTGAAAGCAACTCAGTGAAATGATCAGTGAAACTATGGCATGACTGTGGCGGCTTGTACACAACAATAATAAGAATGGAAGAAGATTTCTTTTGTTCTATTTTAAAAGAAACATACTCAAATGATGAAAATTTCCCAAGAGACACCCTATGGGAGACAATACGATCTTTAAAAACTGCTGCTATGCCCCCCCCCCTTTTATTTTCTCGTGTTTCATGTTCAAATTTGAAATTTCAAATTTGAAATTTGGTGGTGAGGCTTCTATTAAAACTGCATCTCCTGTATTATGGTCAAGCCATGTTTCAGTCATAAACATAAAATCAAGATCATACGAACAGATAAAATTATTAATTAAAAATGATTTGTTGCATAGTGATCTGACATTAAGTAGAGCAAGGTTAAAATTAATATCAGTGTCAGTGGGTTTAGTTGATTGATTACAAAGAACTGGAATTAGATTTCCAGAGTTGGACCGTCTAACTGCTGTCCTTCTTTTAAATTTGTGTTTATTCAAGTTAAAACACATTTCTGAGCTGGTGCGAGGAACACACACAGTCTCTATTGGTTTAAAAAGTGAACTCTGTTGTACTTTGTTAAGTTCCAGATGCATAACTGAGTCAGCACAGTTCAGTGGCAGGACTGTCGTTACACTGCCAGACGGACAGGGGTCAGTGTTTGCACCACAGTACTCACCCGGTGCTGGTAAGGAAGAGGAGGGGGGGGGTGGTGAGGAGGAGGAGGGGGGTGGTGGGGGCCGAGAAGCCTCAGATGTAAACAGTCACGCCCCCCTCGGGGAGCACTGAACAACATGGCGTAGGAAGTCCGTCAACAAACTGGTGCCGTATCTGTTCGGGTGCAGACCGTCTGGACGATAGGCCACGTGACGCTTCCAGAACAGGCCAAAGTTGTTCACAAAAATAAAGTTAAAAGTGCTGCATGTAGACTGGAGCCACATGTTGAGCGCCACAACGCGACTGTAGAGGCAGTCTCCCCGGTTTACAGTCGGGACTGGACCAGAGATAAAAACACACAACCCGGAGGACTGGAGGAGGCGGAACAGATTCATAAAGTGCTTCTTTGTGACCTCGGACTACAGCTCTGCCTGTTGCCTAAAGCCGCAGAGAGGCGAGTTGGGTCCGATAAAAGTGTATGACGCGCTAAATAAGTATAGAAAACAAACGAAGAGGCTGGATCACAATAAACGCTGCGGGCACGCGCGCGCGCGCACGCACACGCACGCGCGCGCGCACACACACGCACACGCACACGCGCGCGCACACACACACTTCTCCATCAACCAAATATTCATTCATTCACACAATGCCCAAACGTGTCTCCTACAAAAACAAAGCAGGCTGATAAACGGACAGCCAGAGTTGCGCGCTGCTGCAGCCGGTTTGACCACTAGTCCGTTTTACGGACGTCTGACGGACAGCAGCCAACGCGCGTCAACGGAGACGCGCCCGGTGGAGCCCAGGCCTAACTCCCGCTCTGATGAGCAGCTCTGATTGGTCAAAGCCATTGATGATTTCCAGATTTTTTTTTTCTATTTCTTCATCACAGTTTTACATTCTTTTTGATACAAGCATAAATTTTTAAGTGATATTAGATAAAATAGCACAATAACTGGCTCAAAAAACAGCATCAAAATGAATTCAACAAGTATTATGATGCTTAAAATTATGACTATATTATATTGTATACATTAGTCCCATCAATCCCAGGAACATTCCCAGAAAGATTCAATGTTCCATTTGTCATAACTTTTCCAGGTTTTCTATGACTGTAAACACGCTGTTTTAGGTTGGTGTGCATATTTCACTCAACAGCTTAACTATGTTGTGCAAAAATATAAAATGTTTACCTAGAACGGAGATACAAATGACACTGGTGATCAGGTCGCAGAAGTTGGTATTGTGAATATTTGCGAAGATGTTGAACCAGGTGAAGAGCACCACCCCAGGGCCCTGGTGACGTGGGATCTTCAGGCCCAGGAGGTACTTGGCCTGAACGGTCAGGATGGTGAAGGAGGCGCCTGTGGCAAAGCCGTCCAGCATCGGAGCAGAAAGATAAACAGAGACGAAGCCCAGGCGGAACACGGCCATTAGCACCTGAGGGAAAACACACATACAGTTTGGTCTAAGTGACTGCTCATGTAAATACAACTTCTTACAAACGCGTGTTCTTGAGCTGAGCAGATATGACTTGATGGTTTTCTATTTCAAGCAACATCAGATTATTTTTCTTGTGTTCTTGTGCGTTATGTCTGAACTTGTTTTTCAATAGCTGCTTGTCAATGAAAACTGGAAAGCCGTTTCTCACAAGAAAAGAGGGCTTGGAAATGCTACAGGCCATTCTCTTTAAAAACACATTTTTACTGCTTTGATTTTATCATGATTTTAATAAATTTTTATGAAAAAATCACTTTTGATGTTTGTTATAACAAATTAAAACATGACATTCTTCCCAACAGTCTTTCTTTAACAATTTGTGACCAACTCAGCAACATCCTGTCTTCATCTGATAAAATAGATATTAATAATTAGCATACTTCTAAGAAAGAGCCCCTATTTCACACTTTTCTTCCTGTAAAAGCTGATCTAAAGATGTGATAAGAGTGCAAAATACATGCATCTAGTATAAGACCAAAGTGCTTTGAAAGTTAAGAACGAGTTAGATAGATTTTATTACATAGTTCTAATTAGTTGTGGTTTAAAAGTTAGGTACCCCAGCTTTAAGAACTAGTACCACAAGGCTATTTTTTTGTACTTATCAATGCTACACGTATGAATACAGACTGAATACAGACGACCACCATCAAATTGACCACAGGTAAAAATACAACATGTATTAGTGGTGTTTCTAACCTGATAAATGCCAGCCAGACAAGTGAGCGTTGCCGCCACCAGAATGGCATAAGACTCTTTCTCAAACGGAACTCCAAACATCTCTATCGTCTTCGTGGTCATGTTAACGTCCAGTGTGCTGTTGAACATGTCTAGCTGAGATATTTTTGAGTCTTCGCTGGTGTCAAAGCCGGCCTTGAACACCTCCCTGTCCACCACCTGGAAAAACACAGAAAAATAAGTTATTATTCCTTAGATACCTTTTTTGAAAACTTGTATTATGTCCATCCATCCCCTTCATCCATTACTCGGTCAGTACTTGGTGGCAACCAGAGCTGCCACCAAGATTACCAAACCAAATGTTCAAATCAATGAATCAATCAATAATTTATATCATGTAACATCCATTTCAGTAGTTTCTGGCTTTAAAAAAAGTTTGGTTCTATCACCAGTTTTGAAGAGCTTTTCAATAAAGCTGTTTGCATGAAAGTTAAGTATACCAACTTCATGTTAATGTTAAGTTCATGTTAATTACATATTACACAACAACTCCACATAATAAGTATTGGGTGTGTGCATGCAGTCTGCAGACCTGATCATTTTGATCCACAAACTCTCACACACCTGCCCGACCATCAAGCTCATGAGGCTGAAGATCCCCACTGACACATGTCTAGACGTTCCCATGAGGAAGTAGATGATGTTGGCGTAGAAGGAGGTGTAGAGGCCGTAGATTGGGTCCACTCCGGCCAGCAGACAGTACGCGATGGCCTGTGGCACTAGAATAATCCCCACGATGAGCCCAGACATGACGTCGCCCCACACATACTCTCGGAGCCTGTACTTTGGAAGCCAGCGCACCACAGGGAACAGGCCGCTCAGGGTGGAGCGCAGGCGCGGCGTGGAGCAGTGCACGCCCTGTTTGAGTCTGGATTTGAGTAGAGCGATGGCGGACGGGCGCTGGCGGAGCTGCCGTTCCAACAGGAACGGAGGGCTGCGAGGCTCCATGGCTCTGAGGAGGGTGTGGAGGAGGGAGGATGGAGAGGTCAGCTGTGGTCCTGCAAGAGAAAGCATGGAGACACTGGTTACAGCAATGGGAAATAACATGGACACAAACACAATTATAAAGCACTTTTCAAGGCACTCAAAGCACGTTTATTTCAAGGTAGGGCTGGGCGATGTGGAAATAAAAAACTCTCGATTTACGATATATATCTCAATATTTTCACAGGATAAATAACCCCTCAAAAATTACTGCAAAAACAAATATACCAATTTGACATGTTCAGTCTTTTATAATTGAACCTCAAAGAGTGCTTCTGTCACAACATTCATGGACACTGGTCTCTCCCAATGGACCAATTCATTCCATTCTCATATTTTGTGTCTTAACTGTTGATTCTCTGATCTGTACTGGTGATTTCAATGACTTCTGTCGTGATTTAGGGCTATACAAGAATAAGTTGTTGTTGTTGTTATTTGTTTTCATTTCCTGTTTCTCATTTTTTTAATTCTCCGTAGTGGACAGTTGCGGGAGTTATTGTATCAAATAGTAATGACTTGACTCTGTGTAATCTGTATCTGTGTTTTATTTTAGCTGTGTATAGGGTTTTCAGTCTCTGGTATGAAGCCACGTTGTTCAATAACAAACGGAGTCTGCAAGAAATGCCACAGACTCTGATGCTACACGACCTTCCGTCATATTCTACACTCTATTTTTAGACAAGTTCGTTTCCTCTGAGCATGTTTACAGTCTATGGTCCTAGCTGAGCAGCCGCCGCCGTGTGGAAGGAGACGCATGCGAGGGGAGGGGGTGCAAAAACATAAACAGTTTGTGAAAGTAGCACCAGTCGAGTGTCCACTTTAGCTTGTGTTGGAACCTTATTTTAGTTGTTGTACTGAGAGTTTCTTAAAGCAAATCTTGTGTTCAGACCGCCAATAAATGATGAGTTGTGAACCCTGTGGTAAATGAAGGGCAGAAACGACTTCAGAAGACAGAAAGCAGAGTTGACTGAACAATTTATTTTCTTGAATTTAATTTTAAACCTTTAACTGATCTATTTTTCATGACCCACTTCTATGGTATAGTTTTCACCTAAACTTTCAAGGAATCACACAAAAGAGTTTCCACCAACAGAAAGTTAGGTACGGTTGCTTTAATATGTGTCGTCATGGGCTAGTCAGAGGTCTGGTAGGAACCAAAGCAATTTATGTACATTTGTAACAGGCAAAAAATCACTAAAACCACTATACTTATATCATCTTTATCTGGTTGCTTAAAAAACAAGAAAAACACACACTAGAATAAAAGTAATATTCAAAAGTATTTCTGGTTGCTTCCGCTGGAGAGCTTGGATGTGTCATGGTGTGGATTTTATTTTGTATTTTGGTTTTATTTTGACATGTTCTCTGTTGTTTAGTTTTAGTTTGACTTTGACGTCCTGTTTCCCCTGTGTTGATTGTCTGCCCCGCCCTGATGTGTTTCACCTGTGTCTCTCTTTGTCTATATGTACCCTGTGCTTCTCTCCTCTTGTTGCTGGTCCATTGGCTTGTCCATGTCTGTCTCTGTTTTGTTCCTGTTTCCTGGATTTTGAGTTTTAACCTGGACTTTTATTTTAATAAATCATTATTTTCTGCATTCCTGCATTTTGAGTCCTCCATCAAATCACCACGTGACAGGATGAGTTCAGATCCTGGGACAGATTTATTGTGTAAGCTCTATCAATTCAACACAACCTTTGGGGGACTCACAATCAAATCTGTTTAACACAAGTAAGTAAGGAAGTAATGTTTATTTATATAGCGCCTTTCACAGACAGAGTCACAAAGCGGTTTACAATTGTTATTTTTTGGGCACTTGTCTCTCACTCCACACAGAGATGGGAGCGGGGTCGCGGAACAGGAGGCGCATGCCAGACCTATTATACATATTTTTAGTATAGAAATATGTATAATATGTATAGCAAAAAACCACATCCTAATTCCTCTCACAGCCTCCGGTCGAAACATGTAATCAATCCTGTTTATGTTATTGTCATTTAAAACAGCAACAACAAAAGCTTTCCATTATCCCTAAGCTCCCCTCATCCTACATGTATTCCTAAATGAATGTCACTCACATGGTAAACATAATACCATTCTCAATATGATCTGCGTTGATGACATTATGGCCTCTCCCGTCTCTCGTCCACAGTAGCAGCTGTGTCTCCTGGTGATAACCTCTCCACATCAGCCATAAAACACAATCACCTCTGACATCACAACAACTATGTAATGTGCTTAGAATCTAGACTTCCTGCTCAAAACACAGGAATGTACAGTTTTTTCATGCTTCCTGAACAAGCCCCAGTGCGTATACGGCATCATCTTTTCTGGTGCACACTAGGGGTAGTCTTGCACAGTTTTTCCAATGCGGTTTTACTGCAAATGGCAAATAAATGAATCTGAATCTGAAATATCATCAGGGTAAATGCCATCAACACGGACTAAATGTCTGTATTGATGGAATATATTAGAAGATATTTTGCTTTTTGTCTTTTTTTAATTGTCATTTTTGTGTTTTCAAAAATATCCCTGACATTTAAAGTTTCTAGATGTTGGCCAGCTTATTAAAAATATAAAAGATGCAAAGTTCAAGAGAATAAAAAAATCCTAATAAAATAGAGATGTCATTGGGTCCAGTCCAGTATACTATGGGCAGTTTACACATGGTTTTCAGAGTGATTTCTTATTTTTGGGATAATTTAGCAAAATTTGAGATCTATCAACCAATAAAACTGCATTTATAAATCCCCTTTCAAACATAAAACAGATTTACATTTCATTAAATCAATTCTACATACTGTATGCCCAAAGCGTCATCAACCACAGCACACACAGACAAATGGTTACGATTATTGGATACACCAAATTTGAAAACTGTTTTGATTCGGCAGCTGTCTGGCACATACTTTGATAGACAGGACCACAAGTGGAGATTTCTCCCAGAATAAAGGTTACTATTCCATCTTGTCAGGAAAACTCACAACGTAATATTTCATCTTTGTAAACATTACTAACATGATCATTTGTTGGAAGATTTTGGTAATTTTTGTTAAAAGTATTTACATGGGTCAAACCTGATGCTCTGAAGGCAAACTGGGACAGATCATGGACTGTAGATGGACCATACTAACTCCAATAAAGAAGTACTCAAGTAAAAGTATGTGTCATGCTCACTATTTTAGGCTTAAAACAATGGTTAATGGTTTAATGCTCTCTATGATCCTGTATTTACAGACTTTATAAAGTTTGTATCCAGTCATCATGCCTGGACCAATCAGAGGCCTTCATTCACAGGGGAAACTCCAGCTGGCCTTAACAACCATATGAGTGACACTTTAGTTTGCATCTGCCCCTGTGTCAGCGTGAAGCTAACCCTGTCAGAACAAATGCCCATGTAAAGAAATTGGCTCCAGCTATCTTATGTTCAAATCGGCTTCTTCCACTTTCGACAAACATTATTGGTCAGTCTCATACTCGGTCAGTCCAGTCCTAATAAACGCTCTATGACACAACGGCATGGACACACAGAGAATCCACCCAAATCCAATAACAAATTCTACATTATATTCTACCACATTTTGCATTTGTATGACTCACTCATGCTTCCTTTCTGTTGAGAAAAAACACATACAAACACCTTCAACTGAATACTCACGATTAAAATTATGCAGACTTAAAAAAAGTCAAAACTCTTCACCATAAATGCAGAGGTAGAATGTTAAACTCAACTCAAACCACAAAAAACATAACTAAAAGATTGTTGCTCTCAAAACAGTTTGGGTTTTCACATATTTCACTAGTTTATCGGTCCATATATTGTTTCACATTTTGATATAAGTTAGTTCATCCTCACTCAGCCAATCAGCTGAAAGACAGCATGTTGTAGTCTTGATTTGTTCACAACATTATACGTTTACATGACTCTTTGTATGTGGACAGACAAGATGTATTATTAATGGGGTAGTAAAAGTTAGGTACACCAGCTTTAACAGCATTAACCAGTTTTTTTCTGGTTTCTGGTGCGTACTAACCATGTAAAAATATATATAACTAATATAATTTATGGACCAATAGCTCCTGTGTGATTGTTATGATTGCTACAAAACGACTGCTGTTGTGAAAATAATAAATTGGCTGTACAAAATAAATTGAATTGAATGGAACTAAAATCCCTAAACATAAATACAGTAGTTACTCGCCACAGTGACTATATTTATGCCACAATTTTAACAATATGAGGACGTAAACGCGACAGTAAGTCAATGCACAATAATCCACACTCGAGGATTTCGCTGAATCGTTTTCTTTACAAGATGAAAGTTTAAATACATTTAAAAACCCTGAAAAGAAAACCTCGCATTAACTCTGAAAAGCAAGAAACAATTGATTAGATTCTGTGACCAATCAATGTGTTGGCCTTTAATCATGTGATACAGTGGTCCGTCGATAGTAGGAGCTTCAAGAACGTTTAGTGACCACTGAGTCAATCACAGTCATCCCCTGGGACCTTTTTGTTACTTTTTACATTTAATTTGGGATAAAATTGCAAGAAAAAAAATCATAAATGCAAGATCAAACTGTAATTTCATTGGATATCCATTTGAAAAAATTTTTTGACCAAAATTAATCAAAAAGTTCAATTTTGTGAATGGGGCTAAACCATGAAAAAATAAAAAAATTGAGCAGCTTTAGCTAAATAAAATAACACATTTTATTTAACTAATTCTACGAAATAATGATAATAATAATACAAACATTAAAACATTAACAACATAAAAATACACAAACACAAAAAAGAGATTTTTTTTTAACCTTTTATGGTAAACAATAAAAGTGCCTATATTTTTTATTTTTTTTACCGTCAAAACAACCTTTCCTTTAGGTTCAGCCAGAGCCGGCGCTTCCTATACGCAGACTACGCAGTATGCGTAGGGCCCCGCAGCTGGAAGGGCCCTGGAGTGCGG